GGAGGAAGGGAGGAAGGGAGGAAGGGAGGAAGGGAGGAAGGGAGGAAGGGAGGAAGGGAGGAAGGGAGGAAGGGAGGAAGGGAGGAAGTGACCGACGCTTGTGGCCATGGGATAGAGACCATAGAAGCTATCACTAACATAGACTATTAAACGGGATGATACCCTGGATGTCGTTTTCCAGAAAGCATAGGTGAAAATAACTAAGGGTCATGCCGCTTTTCCCTCTCAAATCCATGCACCGACCGCCTGCCAGCACTTATTCGGATTACTGATGGATATGTATGCATAGCTGGGGACTCCTTCCCAAGCTGCTGAAAGGAGTGTGCAAACCCGGACTCTTGGCCGATGACGGGGAGACTAAGCTGTTGCCCCCAAACCAGGAATCTCCACAGCCAAGGACTTGGAGGCTGCCAAATTGCAAGGTTTTTGCGGCATGACCGTGACCGTCTCCGCATTCCCCTCACCAAAATGGCCTACAAAAAAGGCGTATCGGGGAATAGACACGTGCCGGGAATTGGAGAATCCACACAAAAGTCCCCATCCTTCAGTGAAGATCCCTCCCTTCATCCAATCCGCTCACACCCATTAAGCCAGCAAATCCCACCCGGGGCAGCTTGTGCGTCTCCTGTCTGGGTCCTCTTCCTTCATCATATCGATTGAGCCCTGTTGTCATCAATGTCTCGCACGAGAGCACACCATGCAGGCGACCAAAGACGCCGCCGAGTCCGTTGATGTGAACGCGGCCGTGGCCACAACCTCAGGCGGTGCAGGCGCCGAACCCACTCCGAAACAACAGCGTTTGTTCATCGCCCGTCAGGTACTGTTCCTTCCTTGACCCGTATGGCCACCTGTGGAACCCCCCATGTCTGACTCGGTTTGCCCTTCCCCAGGCGTGCGAGATATGTCGCCAGAAGAAGACGCGTTGCGATGGCGGCAACCCGTGCGGCATGTGCCGGTCCAGCGGGTTAGAGTGCGTCTTTGCTGAGCGCAAGGCCACCAAGTGAGCGGCCCCCGGGCTCCTGGCCCAGCAGCCGGATTCCATGTATCTCGTACTGAATGCCATGTGTGTGTATAGGAACGAGGTGTCTCTTGGCATGATCTTCAATGCCCTGCAGCGCATCGAGCGCAAGATCGAGCACCCTGCCCCTTCCCCCGGCGCCGGTGCCGGTGCCGGTTCCGCCCAGGCCGTCTTGTCGTCCAAGCGCCGTCGGAGGGAGAGTAGCCTGAGCCAGGGCTTCGTCACGTCTCCCGGCGCCACTTTCCGTGATGAGCCTCCGGAGCCGTATGTGCAGGCTGCTGCTGGCACGATGGCCCAGATGACTACGGCCAGCCCGGCCAATACCGTCAACAGCACCGTCTCCGCCCCACGCTCTGCTCCCCATGTACCTGTCATCGAGTATCCTGCTCGGCAAGCTGTAACGTGGCCTGTGATTCATTCCATGCTCAAACGTGCCCTCGGCGAGGACAGGTACCAAGGCTACAGCGTCATCCAGGCTACCTTGACGGAGCAGAAGCGGCCTCCCATTGCCTTTGCGCCTGCCTCGTCCATGTCTGTGCATCACCTGTCGCGTCTGCATATCTCTCATGTCAGAGACCTCTGTGACAAGTTCTTTGCGACGTTCAACCTGACCTATCCCATCTTGGACCGTAAGCTGTTCAGTCAGCATACTTTGGGCGTTGCCATCAACAGCGATTTTGGATATAACATCGAGAGTTGCCTCGTTCTGGTCGTCATGGCTCTGGGCACCTACGGTCAGAGAGCACTCCATGAGGGTGGTTTTGGCTTTCCAGCGGCTCTCGCAGGTGAGGCTGGGCCTCGGGTGTCTGAGTCCGTGCCGGAGGATGGCTTGAGCTTCTTCAACGAGGCTCGTCAGCGGATAGGTCTTATCAACTGTGACAACAGTATCCAGAGCTGTCAATACTATCTACTCTGCGGGTAAGCGAAACTGGGTGTTAGTGAATGCTTGAATTCACTGCTAACAGGTGCAGACTCTTTTACTCACAACTCCTGCGTCCAATTGACTGGTGGACAATGGTCAACCGAGCCAGTGTTTGCGTGACCAGTTTCTGGGCATGGTATGTTCACCCGTTCTCAACTCTACGTAGATCTAGCTAACAGACGTGAAGCCCACCTGAGCAATGCGACGGCTGGATGATCGACATGCAGGCCCGCCTCTTTTGGAACACAGCCATGTTCCAGGCTCTGCTCACTCAGGAGCTTGATCTGCCCATTTCCAACCTGGAAGACTTTGAGGATCGAGTGCCTCTTCCCAAATTTGTCGAGTTTCCCGGCCTGTCCTCGATGGTGTCGCTGACAGCTACCACGAACGAGAGTGATGAGCGTGATGCTTTCTGTCACTACCACTTCCTGTCACAGATTGCGCACCGCATCATCCTGACACGCATGTGTGACAGCATGTTTGCAAGCCGAAAGAAGCGTTCGCTCCCGCCACCGACTTCTGAAGTCACAATGACTACCATGTCGAGGGCCGACTACCCGCCTCAGGCCCTCGAAGATGAACTACTACACCAGCTCGATCAGTGGCGTCAGCAACTACCTCCGTATCTACAGTGGGATGATGCTGCCCCTGTACCGCTACCAGACTCGCCAGAGAACATACTCGTCGAGCCTTGGCTGCGAGGCCGGTTCTGGATTGCAAGATATCACCTGAGGCGGCCATTATTGCAAGTTGTGCTCTTTCTTTCAAGGTATTGAGTAGCTCGCTAACGATGAGATGCATGCAGACACCGCGCTCTCCACCACCCAGAAACCATGACAAACGCCGACTTTGACAAATGCAGAGACGCACTCTCCTGCCTTTTCAAGTGGCACTCCATCGTGAGACACGGGCTGACGATAAGGAGTTGCCTTCCGCTCACATTCTTTATCTGCACTCAGTATGTCCCTGCCTCTTTCAACGATCTGGCAGTGCCCAGATGCAGACTTTGAGAAACTAACGCATCTAATGCTGGTGTAGGTTGTTCGGCCAACTCCTTATTCTGGAAGCTCTCCGTCGCTCTCCTGTCCAGCAATTACGCGAACTCCCGCCTGACGATTACGACTTGTGGTGCCGGTTCGCCTTGGGAATTCTCGAGGAGTATGCCTCGGCCAGTCCGATCGTCGCAAGGGACTTTGAGATCGCTTCTGCGCTGCTGAGCGGCAAGTGACCGTCGCAGACTGTAGTAGCCCGGACACATGAAACAAGCCTCTTTGTCGAGACCCTCTACAGCTTAGCGGGAGGCCCTCCCGTACCCGTTGAGCTCGTCAAGCCACCGTCCACAACCAGCGTCTGGCCCGTGATATATCCCGCAGCCTTGTCGCTCGCGAGAAAGACCGCCGCGCTCGCGACGTCCCAGGCGCTGCCCATACGGCCCATCGGAACATTGTGCTCGGTGATCTTCCTGAACGTCTCCCGCTCCGAAGGATCGGCGCTGTGCTCCAGCCGCGCCACGACTGGGACGTACATCAGCCCCGGCGCCAGGCTGTTAAGCCTCACGCCCTTGGGCGCGTAGATGCACGCCGTCACCTTGGTCAGGTGCACCACGGCCGCCTTGGCCGCGTTGTACGCCACCTGCGGCTTGCCCAGGTAGCGCAGCCCCGCGATCGAGGCGTTATTAACGACGGCCCCGGAGGCCTGGCGCTCCATGACGGGCAGGACGAACTTCATGCTCAGGAAGACGCTGCGCAGGTTCAGGTCCAACTGCTTATCCCAGACCTGCTCCGGCAGCGAGGCCGGGTCCCCGGCCGCCGTGGCGCCGACGTTGTTGACGAGAATGTCGATGCGGCCGTGCCTGGCCAGGCAGTCGTTGACGAGGCGCTCGACGTCGTCCGCCCTCGTCACGTCGGCGCGCACGACGTCGACCTGTGCCGAATGGTACCGCTGGCGTATTCGGTCGACGGTGTGCTGTGCGGCGGCGAGGTCGATATCGCACCCGAAGATGCGGACGCCGTTGTGGGCGAGCATGCAGGCGATGGCGGCGCCGTTGCCCCAGGTAGCGTCTCCGGCGGCACCCTCGAGGCGACCCTGCCCGACACCGAGGACGAGGGCGACTTTGTCCTTGAGGTCTGGGTAGGTCGGGTAGCTGTCAGGCATTGTTGAGTGTGTGTAGTCGAGATTAATGGCTCGAGGTCAGCAACTAGGTGCTTGAAGTTGCTGGTACGGTCTTTTCTTGTATGTAAGGGGGCTGGTGGAAACGTTGAGCCGTAACCTCTTACGAGATTGTAGCAAGAAAGAGTCCAGGATTTGTTACTAGGAGAAATAAATCTGGCTCCTCCGGCTCAAAGGAAATCAACTCATGCAGGAACTGGTGGAGTTTGTTGCTCCCGTGCGGGGATGACATCGTCCGGAGTTGTGTTGGTTTCCCAGAAGACTCTCCTCACAAGACTTTGTGTGCGGAGTAACCTAGAACTTAGAACCCTTCCTGCATTAGTAGGAATTCGTTGAAGTCAATCCACTTGCCATATGAATTGAGTATATTGTGTAGGAGAAGGCTCTAGACCGATAGTTCATTCGTATTATCCATGTCCAGATCGGGGATGCTTGGACAACTCCGAGCTTTCTGTCTTAGCGGGCATGCCGATCAGTGGTCAAGGTTGCATGGATCCAGTTGGCCGCACTTTGTGTACCATCTCCCTAGTTCTGACTCGTCAACTGGACAAGCTGGACCCCATGGGGAACCCGCTCACCCCCACCGCACCCTGGGCAGAGCGGAGGTGATTTCGTGCGATCAGGCAAAACGGGGCATATAATCCTCCCTCGTCCGTCAGCCCACGGGGAGTGGAGGCGGCATGAACCTGCGCACACACACACTCGTCAGCTGTGTAATTCTAGGCATCTAGAGTGGCCGAAGCAGAAACTAGGAGCTTTCCTGTTTCCGCAACTCCTCCCGCTTCTTTGAGTTAAAAGACTGGGGAAAATCGACCAGAAGTTGCAAGATTTTCCTCCTCTCTCTTGCTTGATCCTCTATTCCTTTCTCTTGTCTACCTTGAATCATCCATTCCCTCTTATTCATCTCGAGGCTGTCGATAAATTATCATGACAAGCACGGAGAAGGTCGACATGGCAGCCAACCAAGGGGTTGACGTTACGAACGTCGAGAATGGCAAGGTCGAGTCTGAGCTTGGCGCTGCCGTTCCCAACTTCAGTGAAGAGGAGCGTGTCATCGAGAAGAGGTGAGTGAGACTCGACAAGAATTCGTACAACAAACTCCTTTCCACAGAGGCCTGACTGAAGAATCCCAGGATTGTCCGCAAGTTCGATTATCGCCTGTTGCCCACCACGGCGCTCATCTATCTTCTTTGTTACATCGATAGGTCCAACATTGGTGAGTCCTGTCAACCCACACACAAAGCCTTACCTGCCCTGTCCTCACAGACAACTCATCATCCTGTGTGCTTTAGGTAATGCCAAAATCCTCAACGCCGACACGCACGATGACATCATGTCCACCAACCACATCAGTCCCAATGACTTTACCATCGCCCTCATGCTGTTTCTCGTGGCGTACTGCATCTTTGAGGCGCCGAGCAACATGGCCTTGAAGATCTTCTCCCCCCGAGTGTATGTGTTAATATCCTCCTATCTGCCTGTGCACATTTGAAGCGTTTTGCTGACCAGAGTACACGGCCACACAGGTGGCTGTCATTTCTTGTGGTGGCCTTTGGCGCTTTCTGCATGGGGATCGCTGGCACGACCAACACGGCCGGTGTCACCGCTCTCCGTTTCTTCCTCGGTGCTGCCGAGGCTGGCGTCTTCCCCGGGATGATCTACTACTTTTCATTCTGGTACAGACCCCAGGAGAGGGCGGCTCGTATCGCTTCGTTTATGTGTAGCGCTACTCTCTCTGGCGCCTTTGGGGGGTGAGCCGATAGTCTTGATCCTTTGTTGTGTTGAAGATGCTGATTGTGTCTGTTTGATAGATGCATCGCCTATGGAGTTGGACACATGAATGGAGTTGGTGGATTAGAGGCATGGCGCTGGCTCTTCATCCTGGAGGGTGCCCCGTCTGGTAAGTTGTCACCGACATTGTTGTTTCCGCCTCGTACTAACAATGTTTTCATACAGTGGTCCTCGGTTTCTTCCTCTTCTTCCTCCTCCCTAGCTACCCGGAACATGTTAAGTGGCTCTCGGAGGAGGAGAAGCAGATCCAGTCTCGCCGAATGGGTATCCATAGCCTTGCAAGGTACGCAATGCCCAATATAATTACTTTCCTCGGCTCTTGATGAGAACTTGCATCTAACATATTCTTGTCTTATAACAGTGAAGAGAAGCTCAACTGGAAAGATGCCAAAGAGGCTCTTAAGACCTGGCGCTATTACGTCCACTACCTCGCCTACTTTGGCGCCGGTAGTGGTGTTGCTTCCCTGTCGCTCTTCTCCCCGACCATCGTCGCCGGCATGGGCTACAAGGGCCTTAATGCGCAATTGTACACCGTCCCCCCTTATGCCGTTGCTTATGTAGGCGCTCTCACCACCTCATACATCTCGGACAAGATGGGCAACCGGGGTATTGTGGCTGGCTCTTCTTTCGCCATGGCGACCATCGCTTTCATCATCATGGGTAAGAATACAAGTTTGATTTTCATGTTCTTTTCCCTACTTTGCGATTTTGAGACTTTTTCTTACACACTGCGTCGTGTAGCTGCCCTTCCTGGCGAGAACTTCAAGGCTCGCTATGGTCTTCTGTGCATCGCCTGCACTGGTGTCTTTGGCGGCTTGCCTGCCTTGTGTGCCTGGGTCGGAGACAACAGCCGCACCACGACAGCTGGCGGTCTCGTCACTGCTCTCAACATTGCATTCTCCGGACCCGGCCAGATCATTGGTGTCTGGATCTACCGCGCTCAGGATGCCCCCGTGTACCGCCTGGGTCACGCGCTCAACGCTGGGTTCGTGTCCATTGGTGCCATCTCCAGCTTTTCGCTGTACTTCTACTACAAGAACCTCAACAAGAAGTTGGTTGGTACCAATGAGCAGAGATGGTATGTGTAAAGTCAGATCAAGGCACGACAACAGAGAACAGGCAGGACACGATGGAAATAACGAAGCAGTTGGGGAAAGTCTTCTAGGCAGCAAGGCATGGTTTTACAGCAGTCGTGCTTGAAAATTCTGATTTAAGAATGCAGTAAAGTTCAAACCAATGCCACATTGAACCATATATATGACTGGTGCTACACTTACCAGACCTTTGTGGTGTTCTGGGTCAGTACCACAACTCTGAAAATGTGAATGATCAGCATCCAGCTCCACGGCAAAGGGTGGCAACGAGATTGCACCCAGAGAGACAGAACCATGAGCTCAACCCTGCTCGCAAATGCCGCGAGTGGGATGACGGGACCGCCGTCGGAAATTGCCCAGGTGTCAGTGTGAGGCGAAGTATCTGATCGGCTTTTTAGGCCGACGAGAAGCCATGGGCTGATGCTGTAATCCCCCGCATCTGTTCATGCACGCGCGGCGGGGGAGGCAGGGGGGATTTCTTGGCCAGTCGAACGGGGAAACTAGCGATTCCTCCGCCTTGCCCTCCCTCCCTCCGCACTTGCATGTTTACTCCTCTCTCACGCCCGACGAGACGAACCCACCTGCTCTGGGGACAGTGTGGAGTATTCCACTTGCTCACAGGCAACGGTAGACAACTGCGGCACACGATCGCCCTGGCCGCCCTGATCGGTTGGAGCGCAGGTGCTCTCTCGGAGCTCTGTAGCGAGATCGGTGCTTTGTCCTGAGTTTCATCGCGGTTAAGAGTGCTGGGCATCTCGTGATGAAAGAGCGCGAATGATACGTCCCCTTTTCAGCCGCACCTCCTGGAAGACAGCATCAGATTATCATGGCCGTCACAGTCACTCTAGACCCCAGCCTGCCGGCCCAGGCCGCCGGCAAGACGGCCATCATCACCGGCGGCGCCAACGGCATCGGCGCGGCGACGGCAGCGCTGTTCAACCGGCACGGCGCCCACGTCGTCATCGCCGACCTCTCCTTCGCCCAACAGGCCGCCGAGTCCCTCATCGCCACCCTCGCGCACCCGGACAAGGCGCTCTTCGTGCCCGTCGACATCCTCGATTGGGATCAGATGAACAACCTCTTCAAGCAGGCCGTAGCCAAGTTCGGCAAGATCGACATCGTCGTCGCCAACGCGGCCATCATGGAGACGAGCCCGGTGCTGGATATGGATGCGCTCGATAGCAAGGGGGATCTTGTGGAGAGCAGGGAGGCGAACAAGGTTATTGATGTCAACATCAAGGGGACGTTGAACAGTACGTTTTCCGCCAAAGTCGCCCTCCCTTGAGGCTCTTACGGGCACTGACATAGATATAGCGTTGAGATTAGCGATACACCACATGCGCTCCTCAGGCGGTGGCTGCGTAGTCATGATCGCGTCAACATCGGGCTACTTTGGCGGCACGGGAGTTACAGGCTACGTCACTTCCAAGCACGGCGTGGTCGGCCTGATGCGCTCCTCGCAGAGCACGGCGGCCAAATACGGCGTCCGCATCAACGCCGTAGCGCCCTTCTTCACACCCACGCACATCACGTCCTCATATGCCGATGCCTGGAAAGCGGCTGGCTTGGAGGCGAATACGCCCGAGGGAGTAGCGGCTGTCATCATGCAGGCTTCGCTGGAGCAGAAGAGTGGGAAGTGTATCCTGGTAAGTGCTTGACTTGAAAAACCTTGCATTTTCATTCTACCCGAGTACCGCTAAACCGTTCAACGTGGGGAAAATTGCTAACTGGAAACCTCATCGCAGGCTATTGGAAGTCTATTGAAGGAGATGGAGGGTCCGCACGCGGAGTTCACGCCGGAGTGGGTTGGGGAGGATGTCAATGCCATCATGGTCAAGGCTGGCAAGCTGTTTGCAGACCTCGGTGGCTATCCCTTGCCCAAGAAGAGGTAGCATGGCTGTCGAATAAACAAGTTGCTCCCCTCAACGACACCCAGAACTGGCCAACTGGTCCAGAACACCCATAGCAAAGTCCGTGTGCCTCTCCATGACTGGCCGCATCTTGACCCGGATGGCTGGGTTCAAGAGATACTGGGAAGCCACTAGCTCAACGATAAAAGTTCGGAGGGGGTCTTGAGGCAGGGTTGACGCGAAGAGCTCATCTGCCATCGCTGGCAAGCCATCGTATGCCAGCCAGAAGTTCTCCACGGTCCCTCTAAAGCGCTTCTCAGCCAACAACTTGAGTGCTGGAACATCGTACTTCTCGGCCATGACGTAGACCCTGAGTGAGATAATGATGCTCGCGACCAGGATATTGTCCTGGCAGTTTGCTGTCCCCGGAGGAAGCTTCCCCTTGTTGGTTTCCTTGTTATACAACTCACGCAAGCAATTTGGATCGGTATGCTCCGACACCTCCGAATCGTAATCCAGAGGATCCACTTCCATCTCTGAAATGTCTCCGTTTGTATCGCTTCCCTCTGTCACTTCCATCTCTGAATCGTCTCCGTCTGTATCGCTTTCCTCTGTCGTGGAATATTCATCATCTCCCTCTTCGTCGCTCTGGGCCTGGTCGGCTGATGTGACGCTTTCATGACTTGCGTCTCCATTGGCGGCGTTGCCTGGAGGCGTCGTTGTGTTTGACAGTATGCTGGCGCGTTCTAGACCACCCTCCTGAACGGGTCCCAGTGTCGCTGCTGCAAGACTCTCTGATACTGCCGCTGGGCTCATCATCGCAGGCTTTGACGGTAGACAATCCAGATGCTCTCCATCGGAGTAGGTCCCGGCATAGAGAAACTGGAAGAAGCGATCCAAGATCTCTGGGTTTTCCTCAGGGAGGTCAACATTCTGCTCGATGCCCTCCTGCGGCCACTGTTAGCTTGGATGCGTCAACAAGGCGTGGGTCAGCTACATACTTGGAAGCCGCTGTTGCACGCCTTGTCGAAGAACGGCGACTGCGAGCACACGATTGCCTTGTGCACCCGGAACTGCTGGCCGCGGCAAGTCACTGTCAGGTCGGACATGTGTCCACTCTGGTACAACGGCTCCAAGGCCGCGTGAATCATAGATGTGGCCAGAAAGGCCATGTCGCCTCCGCCGTTGCAGAGTGCTGTTCTGAGCTTTTCGTCGCGAGTGTGGGATTTTCGCTGCCAGGGTTCCCGCGTCTCTTGCTTGTCGCTCATATTGGCTGATGGTCTGTGGACGATGGAAGACTGAGCAAGCTTTCCCGCCGGGTTTTGTTGAAGAAGGGCAGCCCTGGGAAGACGGGATTACCTGAGAGGAACAGAAGTCCAAAGATCTGTGAGGTTGAAGGAGCGGTGATGTGGGGTCAAAATTGGGCTGCCTGGGAAATTTGTGGGGAAGCCACCACCGCTGCTGTCACCTCGCGCCTGCCTTGCTAATTAACACGTCTAGCCTACACCAAACATCCAAATCCCAGTCACTCTTGAGGAAGGAAGTCACATCTTGTTTGCATTGAATACTTCACAAGCAGGCTGATATATCAGACTGATATATTAGACCCAGGAGATGGGTTTGCCAAATGACCAAATGCGGGGCCAGTTCAAACCAATCACAGCCCGACTGTTCCTTTGGAGGCCTGAAGCTCAGCCGCACCTGACTTTTTCAATCACGTTCCCGCCACCAAGGCTCGATGGAGAAACCTCACGACGCGAGGGATGTGCCACTGACACTCCTCAATGTGATTTGAAAAGCTGGTAATATGAGCGACCAGGCATTAGATCACGCCGACCAGCAAGCCGCGACAGCTCCTTCTCGATCGTCGTTGACGCCCGAGGAGCTGGAAGCGATGCGGAAGATGCACGACTTCTTTCGCGAAGCCAACCGCATGTGCGAAGAGCAGCAGCCTCCAAAGTTTAGCTACCTGAGGCTGCGGCTGGACTGGATTCGGCTCATTGATCTGCAACCTGGGTCCGAGGACGATCCAATAGTCTGCGCCCTGAGCATGCAACCCCTTCAAGAGCTCCCCGCCGACGAGTACGAGGCCGTCTCGTACGTATGGGGGGAGAATTTACACAAGGAGACAATCACTTGTAACTGGCGCATTCCCGTTATCACCGCGGACTGGCAAATAGCATTCGCGGCCCCGAAAACCATCACAAACAACTTTTCAGTGACATCGAATGTACTAGGTCTACTGAAAGGCTTGAGATATACGGATAGGCCGCGAAGACTTTGGATCGACCAGATATGTATCGACCAGGAAGATGAGGCGGAGAAGGCCGAGCAGATCAAGATCATGACCGACATCTATGCCGGGGCGACCCGCGTGCTCATCTGGCTCGGCGATGGGGCAGACATTTCTGAAGAGGACACCGAAGACATCTTCGCGGCGATTGATCTGTACGCAAATCTATCAGAGCTTTCTGAGGCGGCAATTTTCAGCTTCTTTTCATGGGTCATCACTGGGGAGACAATTGACGTCTACGATATGCAAGAAGAAGACGAAGAAGGGCACTCGACGCGTACACATCACGGCATATGGAGACAAATCTTCAGGAAACTTCAGCCAACACTAGCAATATTGAATGATCCAGGTTTGGGAATTGAACCTCGATTGCAGGGAATCATTTGTCCAGGTGCCGATCGCTTTCTGCGTTTCCTCGAAGAAACTCCCTGGTTCCGCCGAGCGTGAACCTTCCAAGAGACAGTCATGGGACGCGAGGCGACTATCGTTCTGGGGAGGTGGAGTAGGGGGTGGGAGGCGATCTACAAGGCCTGCCGGTACCTTGCGACAGGATTCCACTTGACAAGAGCCCGACCTACTCCGTGTGGGCATAGCCGTTCTTTTCATACAGTTGCCGATGCGGTTGTCTCGCGTGGGGAGTACCGTCGGGACCTTGCCATGACACAAATATTCAGGCAAGGACCTTCACACCCGCAATTCAAAGAAACGATAGAACAGGCGCAAATTGCCGATACTTACGAGCGTCTCAAGAAGTGGCGCCTCAAGAGGCTTCTTCCCGAGCTTAGATCAGCTGGTGCGACCGAGCCCAAAGATAAAGTCCTGGCACTGACTGGATTCGCACACGATGATGGCCGCAAGATTGAACTCCCCAACCTGCCACACCAAGTGTCGCTTCTCTACCTGACCGTTGTCAAGTACTGGATGACCACTCCGGACGACAATCTCTACATACGTACTCTTGGACAGCGAGGGGAGGCAACAGAGTTGTTTAGGGCTGACTCGTGGCCTTGTCCCTTGTCGTCCAACGAGCCAGAATTGTCGTTCTTGAGCCACGTGGGCCAAAGAGCCCTGGACAGCATTCCCTCGTGGGTACCTGATTGGAGTGTTCCATCCAAGGTCAGGCCATTGATTGAGAGAAAAGTGTTCTGTGCCAGCGGACGCTGGACAGAGCCAGTGGAACTAGACGACTCTGGCGCACATCCCCTGCTCCGCGTGAAAGTGATCAAGGTTGCAACTATCGACAGGCTTACTCCCGATATGACCGACATCCAGGCAAATATGGATATTCTCAATTTGGTGGCTTCATAAAGATCAACCTACCCGACAACTAACCTGAACTATTTTCAAGTGTACAGCCGCATAACTAGTCAATACAGCTTCGACGTTGCCCAGACGCCAGAACGCCTAGAAGGAGATGCCAATGACAGCTTCTGGGCCTATGTGAAGAAAATGGAGACAACTGCGGCTGGGGATGGCACAGTATCTCGAGGGGTACCACCCGACAAATACACCCCAGAGAATCTCCGGGAAGCAAGAAGGGCACAATTTTCCAAAGCCAAAGGGCGGGAGAGAGCCTTCTATGCAGGCCGCACCATGTTCACATCGAGCAACGGCCTGATCGGGCTAAGCCCTGCACATGCAGCTGTAGGGGACAGTGTCATCATAATCGCGGGCGCGCATGTGCCATTTGTCGTCTCCAAGCGACCTGACAACTACTACGAGATCAAAGGAGAGTGTCTCGTCTATGGTATCATGCACGGGGAGGTGATGCAGGATGTGCCAAATGGAAAGATCAAGGAGCTGACACTTGTCTAGGACAGGGAATTGCGTGAGACAGTTTTTAATATGCACAGTGCCGGACGAGCAACTTTGGAGCAATCGTGTATTGTATCAGCTAGATCGACTTAGAAGCAATCTCAAAAGAAGTCATTGGAAACTAGCTGTCAGAAAGGAAGAGCTCCAAATAGACCATGCCATAAGCGAGTGTACTGTGGGCGAGCACCACGCAACCCCTGACTGCATCCCCTACCAGATCCGCTAGACTTGAAAATGCCAGCAGAGGGCTTAGATAAAAGTAGCCACTTCGCCACTTTACAGGATGTTGAGCTTCTCACCGACGAGGCCGACCACGGTGGCGAAGCCGACGTCGGCAGCGGGAGTCACCTTGAAAGTCTTGCTGGCGCTGTCCCAGGTCGCCTTGTGCGAGTCGTGCTCCTCGGAGTGGCTGCCGCCGCCACCGATGCCAATGGGGATGCCAAAGATGCTGATGCTGCCACCGGCGCTCGACGTCTCCTTGTACTTGGTATCGATGGTGCTGGCGGTCGACGCGCCGACGGTGATCTCGTAGCCGAGGCCCGTGGCGATGACGAGCTGGCTGACGCGGGCGAGGGCCTTGACGTCCTTGGGAGCGTCGCTGCGGAGCTTGTACTTGGACGTGTCGATGTTCCTGCGGAAGAGAGGGCGTTAGTGGCTGGGCTTTTCTTATGTATGGAACTTCAATGTTGCCAAGGGCCATGCAATGATGTGGGGGATGTGCTAGGCCAACACGTACCACGAGCCGGGGACAATATCGACCAGCTCGATAGTGTCATAGGTGATCTTGACGGAGACATTGGTGCTGTCGGAGCCGGTCTCGAGCCTGGTGGACTCCTCCGAGTGGCTGGCGCTGGCGTTGAACGAGAACCAGCCGCAGAAGGTAGAGGCGCTGACGCTGGCGCTGCCCGAGGTCTGGCCAAAGTCAAAGTCGGAAGTGTTCTTGCCCGTGTCGATGGTGAAGGAGACAGAGTTCTCCGGAGTGTAGTCGCCCGTGGCCTTCCTCATGGCAGCCTGGACCGCCGCCTTGTACTTGGGGGCATTGAAAGCAGGGATGCGCTGGAAGTCTGGAGGGGGCACCTTCTCGCCCGCGTTGGCCTTGCGCACGAGCTCGGCAGGGCTCAGGATGTTGCCGAAGGCACCGTGCATGTTGACACTACGCTGTGTTAGCCATGTGCAGGAGGACAGACTAGCGTTCAAAAGAGCCAGCTAGCCCTGAGAGGTAGGTAAACGTACCCTGGCCAGTCCTTCTGCTGGTCGCTACCCTGGTCGTACTTGGACCTGTCCTTGTTGATAGTCGCAGCCATGGGTCCAGCAATCTGGTTCTGGATGTTCTGGATCGTGGAGCCGATCTGGGCAAGCTGCTTCTGAGCAGCAATGAAGGCGGGGGCGTTGCCGGAGTAGACCCAGTCATAGAAGCCCAGGGTGGTCAGACCCAGGTCCTTGTCGTCCTTCCACTGGGAGGCCGCATTCGCTCGCTCCGTCGCGTACTTCTTCTGCATAGCTGCCTGGTCCTGGAGGGCTGAGAGCAGCGCCGCATCCAGCTTAGCGTCCGGCTTGCCTTGCTATGACGGGATCAGTAAAAGTTATCGCCGGACGAAGCAGGGCATCTTACCAAGTCGACCCAGTTCAGGTAACTGAAGCTCACTGTTAGTGGGCGAAGAAAGTAAGCAGTGATCCAGGAGACGAGACTTACGTGCCGATGGCCTCGTAGTAACCATGCAGGGCAGAAGGGTTGTAGAAGAGGTTGTCAGTAGCCAAAAGGTTGTTGCCAATGTCATACAGACCCTGATAAGTGTACTCATCAGGGATGTAGTCACCGGCGACGGGACCCTTCTGGGCCTCGGTGGCTAGGAAGAAAGCGCCAGTCTTGCCGAAATTGGCTCCGGCCTTGTCCTTGATGGCCTGGCCGTAGTAGAGCCAGAACAGCTGGTTGATCTTGTCGGACGACATGTTTGTTGGATGTGAGGATGGAAAAAGGTATTTTGAGTACTGTGTTTGGTCTTGAAAGAAGAATTGTAGGATTGCTGAGGTGCTGATTTGTTTCTCTGCGATGAGACGAGCAGGAAATGCGTCCAGAGACAGGAGTTGAGCTGCACTTATATATACTTGAGAAGCCTAATGGAGACGTAGAGTGCATACCTGAGTTTCCTCTCTTGCCATGAACTTTCCTTTCACATGTCGCGGGTAGCTCGGCCATGCCCCATGAGTTCGAACTAGGCAACCTTCTCCTCCACAAGTCTAGACTCAGCCATCACAGCCCATCACAACTAACCACGCTCTCAGTCTCAACCCGGAACGCCCATTTTGGGATCGTCGATGCCGCCATTGCCGGTTTGCCGTGTTCTTTTGACCGTTCAACGATAATGTGATGCAACGATTATCCGCAATCCTCCGAACCCAGGGTAGGATTCTGTGCTAACAGCCAGCCACGGCGTTGGACCAATCTCTATACGGCCTCGGTCTGCGAGTCGACGATCTTGGGGTCAGCATGTCGACGTTTTGGGATGCTGTCCTTCGCCGTCGTTGTTGAGCACGCGGCTCGCTGACGTGGTATCGACGAGAGTCAAAAGAAAGGCGGCTGCATAGCAGCATGAGCTACTACAGCTAGCCAAGAGTTGCAGAAACTCTCGCCTACAGCACAACTCCACGCTGAGGCTGTGATTGGGTTGCATCGGACCCGCTCTCGGCTGGTCTGAGGCAATAGCCGTTCCGGTACTCAGCTGGCCACCAGGATCAGCAAGCCACTGAGGTCGACCTGCTCCCAATGCGGAAATCCCGCCAGCCACCACACCGTTGACCATGCAGAGCGGGAACGCTTGTCTCACCTCTTTCCGTAAAGGATCAGTCGACACTGCGGTCTGGGGCGCGAACTTCACCAGCTGGGACTGACCGCTGATGTTTCTCGACCCTTTTGGGACGTTGCACAGCAGAATAAGTTGCCGCTGTCAAAAGGACAACAAGGATGGTGAGACTGGAGCAAAGGAAATCACCACAGTCGATCAGAGTCACACCCGATCAGAGTCACACCGAGCCATTTCAACGGCAATAAATATTCTGGTGTCCTTGTGTGTTGAATTTGTGTTTTTGCGTCGCCAGAGGCAGCCTACCTCTATCTCTACAGATTCAACTGTTCTTAACTTCTTGTCTGACTGCAACCATCACTACATAGCTGAGGCTAGAGTTGAACATGTCTACACCTTTGCCCAGATCCTTGCAGACCCTTCTGGATATTGGCATCGTCCAGTCAGCTGCATCGGACCGTGCCGATCCCCTAGCTCCCGTGCCTATCAGGGATGGCCCTGCAGCACTTAGTGGCTCTCTCGCTGCATCAAACCAGGTCGTCCCCATCCCACCACGGTTCGTTGCTCCCAGGCCCAACGCACCCAACGGCCCCGATGCTGCCCCTGCCACGCAGCCCCCTCTCTTCTGGAAGGCCATTGGTCTGTGCCTCAAGAGCAAGTTCACCAGCTCTGGTAGCCTGTCCGACGATCACCGCGCAATCTTCTTTGGCGACCCAGGACAGCTTGGCGTTCTCGAAGGGCTTGGATGTCCTCCCGAGGTGACAAACTATCAGCTCTTCACCTATGGAGATATCATGCAACGTGTCAACTTTCCAACTTTCAGGTTGTCGGGACGTTCCTACTTTGACTTTGTCGACTTGTAAGCACATGCATACAGCCAAACCTGTGCAACGCGGACCATCACTAACTTCCTTCTCCCTAGGTACTTGGAAAATGTCGGAGAAGTAAGTCATATTGCTGTGTACAACAGAGCGAAATTGATTTGAGCAAGACTGACCACCTCCCATCGCAGGAGAATGAATCGCCCGAACTCGTACAAAGTCGCGAGAACCTGATCGCAGCCAAAGGCAGGAAAGACACAGTCTTCCGCAGCCACCTACAGGCTCAGAGCTCGAAGACCAACAATTCCTTGATCGATGCCATTCGCAGCAAGGGCAATTACAGTGCCGCGTGGCAGACAGAGAAGACCGCCCAGCAGGCTCTTGCCGACCTCCGGGCTCCGTCATTGAGCAGTGCCTCCGCCCAACTCGAAGTTGTTCGACTTGCCGATATGCGCCTTGAACCCCAGAAAGGGTATGAACACCCCTCTCTGTTGTATTCGTGTGTCATTACTGACATGCACTAGCAACAACATGCCGGTGATCACGGTTGATCAAGACTGGCTGCAGATGGCTTTGCACGACCTAAATCACAGCATCAAAGACCTAGTTGACCCCACCACTGTCTTCTATCAACCTTTGTACACCTTGCCGTTCTATGAGGTCACCACCGATTACTGGATCAAAGCCAGTGTCGCTTCGACCGACATGGTGCGCGACGGACCGTATCAGATACCTCTGGCTAACGTCTGGGATCGTCTTTGGGCTGATCTTGGGCATCCGTTGCTCGACCAGGCAAAGCCTCATGAGAAGCTGACGGACGACCAGAAGAAGTTCATCAACTCGCTATCCGCCACGCTGACCTTCATCCAAAAGCCCTATGCTGGAAACGTCAGCCGGGGCCTGTGGGACGTCAGTGACATCCGCAGCATGTTTCCGCTGCAGCCCAACGCCCCAAAGAGTGTCAAGAACCCGGTCTGCAAGACCTCGAAGCTGATACTCACGTGGGGCATCGAGATAGAACTGACTATCCCAGAAGTCATTTCTCTGGACGAAATCGCCAACACCACGTTGGCGATCATGGACTTGCCGCTGAAGCGTGTCGCTGGAAGCAGTAACAAACTGGTGTTTTCCGCTGGGAATGATGGGTTCCCAATCCTTATGGGGGCTCTTGCAGATGTAGTCTAGTTCAACAAGCTATGAATTACTGTGCGCAAGGAGTTCAAGCTTCCTCATGTAGTTCAGAGCAGGGTCACACTATATGACACTAATAGAGTCTTCATGTTGAATTGGTAGACGTTCGTGCTGTCCCATATCGTGATAGAGGTCTTCGTTCCCTCAGCGGTGCTTATGAGTGAATCAGTAACGTTGCTGCTCCTCATGAGCTTTGAAAACATCCATATTAGGTTAACTCACCGATGTGCCGGGGATGAAAAGAATGAAAGAGTGACATTCTGGCTCAACTCCTCGAGAATGTCGACGATGGCCTTGCTACTAGCAAAGGGCTGCCGCGCCGCCCCAAAGTTGCCTTCAAAATATGGAACAAACTCCCGGCTGCCAATGATGGGAGTTTGCAAAACCCGCGTGTCTGTAAAGGGGTCGTTGAAGAACCGGCCGGTGATCAGCTGGGCGAGTGACATCCAGATGGCTTGGTACGTGAAGTATTCGAACTCCATACCCCAGGGGTCCATCCTCCCGTTCGGCGCACCCAGCGCGATTGTGTACGGGATCTTGTCTTGCAGGGAGGTAGTCACTTCTGTCGCCTGGACACCGTTAACAAAGTCGAACTTGGTATCGTATGTAGCGTTGTAGAGGCTGCATATGCTGTATGCCTCCTCCTGGTATTGACCCGCCTTGACCCATATATCTAGTGCTTTGGGGAGGGTCGCGTTCTTGAGATCTTCATAGGACATTGGCAGATTGGTGAAATCGAGCGCTGTGAGCTCGTTGCGAGGCGTGTACGCCGGTACGAATGCATAATAGCTGACGAGAGGCCTGCCTTTGATGCGAAAGACTGAGTCGTCCGGCACTGTCTGTTTGTCGACTGCCTGGATAGATGCGATCGCTGTATCGTCTGCTTTCTTGCAGCTGAGGACTGGGGCGTGGAAGCCGATTCGGTAGCTAGAGTTACTGTACTGCTGCACCATTGCCTGGATGCGGCCGCTTGAACAGGTCGCTGAAGAGAGCACCACTGTCTGTGCGTTCGGATACCGGTACTGAATGCCTGAGTTGGAGTTTGTAGGGTTCAGACTGAGCGGGCACAGTCCTTTTGTGCATGTTGCCATGGCGGCGAAATTCGAGGCATTGCTGAAGCCTACCATGGGCACCGTCGCCTCTACTGTGTGTGAACTGGTGCGAGGCGCAGAGACGACCGTGAGCGTCGACGGCGTGACGATGGTCGACAGCGGAATGCACCATGCTACAATTGCAAGGACAGTTGCGACCTTGGCAGTGCGAACCATGGCAAAATGTCGGAAGTTTGTAAAGTCGGATACACTGGAGAACATCGCATCGATCGTCTTCAAGCTTGGGTTTTTGCGGTCCAAGGCGGTCCAGACCTGCTGAGCGTGGGCGACGATGACGGCCACGGTCCAGCACGTCTTGGCCACAAAAGCCAGCACCGACCCGATACGCAGCGTCCATTCCTGGGAAAGAGGTGCTACCGAGACAGATCTGCCGTCCATGGAGTGATAAAAGAGCAGATGCCCGAGGGCCCCGAGAAAGCCTACCAACACCAGGACTCCCATTTCCGTGGGCGCGCCAGAGAACCGCGAGCCGCCATCATGTCGACGCGTCCTCGGCTCGGTCCGCTGGCGGCATAGCCTGCGCTGGCTGTTGTCGCTCATTTGCGTCACCTCCTGCTCGAAACTCGCCGCACTCGCCAGGGGAACTTTGGTGTACTCCATGATGTGGTCCGCGAATTTTGCGAGGCCATGTTGTCTACATGATTAAAGCCTTTGAGAAATAGGCCACACCGAAAGGAAAAGGCAGCAGAGTCCATCACATTCGGACTCGTCCCCATCACGTCGCGCCCGCAGGGGGGGGTTTGCAAGCCGAAGCTGCGGCTAACACTGCGGCAGTGCCTGGTATGGGACGGATGCCATCTCCTTAATTTCTGCTGGGGTCGCCAGGATCAAAGCGCCAAATGCAGACACCTGACTGGTAACTAGCTATTGATGGAACATTTAGGGCTGAGCATGTGGGACTGATGCGAGCTATTCAGCACTGAGCCCAAAAAGTCGACTTACACAGCCCCCATCCCATCCTGAACACCGACGCTTGCCATTCTGGGTGCGAGCACGACAAGAAGAGTAGTGTATGCGATGGATTAGAATCTGTCGATATGTACTGTAAGCTAACAGAATCGCCGGTCATAGCATGCCTTTGATGAGAGAAAGAAGGGAAGAAATTGTAGCTCCGCCCGCCTTGATAGAAATACCACCGCAAGCATCCACATCACCATAACTCGCAGGTGGGCGGCTCCTTCTTGGGGGCGTCGAAGGCCTGCAGAAAGACGCTCTCCCAGCGAACCCTTGATCCACGCTAGACCAGGCGAGTGGATATCCCGTTTCAGCTGGGACAGCGTCTGCTCCAGCGACCGGATCTGGCACTGAGCGCGGAGAACGTTGGTCCTTCTAGTAACTAGGGTAATGAATGTACTCTGTAGAACATTGTGCGTGGTGCCTTACCGTGTCGTCTTCGTCCAGAGTGACGTCCGGTGTGAAAAATGTCGCGATTTCCCACTTCTGAAGGTTGATAAAGGCTTCCGAATTGGTCTTGTTGGAACAGTCATCGACTGGGAACATATTGGCAATGATGTTCAGGAAATCCATCAAAGGATCAAGGCCAGCCTTCTTGATGCTGGTCTGGTCCATGCAAGTGTGGTATGTCTGCTGCATCCGTGCCATCGCCAGATTTTCTCTATCGGTCTCCACCTGGTCCTTTGAAAGCGATTTTGTGACCCAGCCAACATCTGAACCTGTCGGATACGGCCCCTCGAGAATTTTCTTTATGCCTCAGTACACATCGTGTTGGATCTGAGGCAAGACCTCTACTTGTACAGAGTCATCTCCGCTCGAAATCTTGGTACGGCTTTCCCACGGCGTGATTCGGGGCAGAGAATCGTTGCGGCCAGGTCAAGCCTCCGGTTTCGAAGCAGTGTGTAGTGTTGAGCATCTCCCGGGGTTTCCACAAGTAACGGTAGCAGTTGAATGGAGATGTGAGTACGAGCCTATTTGTTCTCCAACAAACTCTGTTATGCGGCATGCTGTTTTATATATCTTCGATTTTATCTACGCAAAGGAAAACTCCAAGAGTTGGGTGGCACTTTTACAACCGACGGTTTTTTCCATCTTCGCTTAGGCGATCCTTGAAGACAAGGGCAGCTTAACGCTTATCACGTAATACCCCCCAAAATATGAGCCACAAGACGAGGCAGGTAATTTGCGACGATTGGAGCAGTTAAGCTTACTCCAGCATGGCTGAAGGGGTGGTGAGTGGGGGAAGGAATAATAGATATCCAGAATACTGAAGAGACGAAGTATCAAAGTCATCTAGAGAAGTCGGGGTAAATTGGCCTCCGGGATGATTAGGGTTCTCGAGAAGCTGTTGGCCGCAAAAGCCATCTGTTTCGTCAAGTATATGCTTCATTTCATCTTGGTCTTTGCTTTCTGGATAAAATCTTGTGATGCCAACCCGGGAGAGATATGTCTGTTTGATTCAATATTGATAGAAAGAAGCACAGTAGAGGTTGCCAATGCTAGAGACCTTCAGAATGCAATTGTAATACTGCAAAGAAAAGGCTTCCGGGATGCTCAATCTCCCGATGAGAAGAAGAGAGTGTTGGATTCGGTCCACGATCTAATAATCGAGTGTGCAACGACGAGAATGCATGTGCCCGCATCGGGGTTTTGCTTGCCCGCCTCGTTCGACCAGATTGCTCAAGGAACACCAGAACCATGCATGCTGTAATCGTCTCTATAGCTTGCCAACTTCAATTCATTCATCCAAGAGATGCTCTATCCATTCTCAAGAGTATAGCGAGCTTCAGGAATTCGTGGTTCAGATAGTGGTGAATATCGTGCAAACTTATGGAGCTCAAACGATGAGCGGCCATGACACAAAGCTTGTAACACATGGCGCCACATGCCTACAGTCCTCGGCAGAGGAACATCGAGGTTCTTGAGGCAGTCTTTCAACTTTTTGCCAGGGCCCGGATTCACGACTGGCACCAGCCTCGTCCAGCCAGCACGATGCCAGGGCAAGGTGAGTCGAGACAGACCACATCTCTCCCGCTGCACACAGCATTCCATCAGGTTGCACGAAACGCGCCAGCTCTCTCCACCAAGTCCGCCGCTAAGGCCGGGACTATTGTCCATTGCGAGCTTCCTCCCCCCTGCTAGCGAGGCCCATCCCCCACACCAGCTCCGAGACCAGCCTCCCCGCATCCAACAACCAGTCCAAGTTTTCGGGCGTCTTTTCAGCTCAAGCTTTGCCAGCCCCTCTCGTATTGGACAGCCGGGCGGCCAGCTCACCCAAGTAACGTTAGCTCAGCCGCCCAGGGCGTTACGGACTTGCCTGAACCGGAATGCGCGGGCCATATGCATATGCTGGCTTGCGTGTCTTGGGTGTCTTGGATGTCTTGGATGGAGACAGCTCAGTCCAAGTGTCGTTGGTGCAACAAACAATTCATTGTCTTTGTTTGCCCACCCACACACGCCCCCATTCTTGGTGCTAAAGCATGCGAACTAACGACACGACGGGCCCACCACCACCACCGGCTGGCAGCATGTTCGGGCGGTGATGCCGAGGCACCGTAAAGCCAAGAGGTACAAGAGGGATCGATCCCTCTTGCACCCCATCTCTCCGTCGACTCTCGAGACACCTCCCCCTGCCCCACATCCATCTCCAGAAGGAAGCCCGCGATGAAGCCCTCTACTCTGCTCGCAACCGCGCTCTCCGCCACCGCCGTCGCGGCGGCCGGCAACGATACCTCTTCTGACTGTGCCACCGGCCTGTACATGATCGTCGCGCGGGGAAGCGGCGAGCCCGCGGGCACGGGTCGCATGGGCACCGTCGCCGGCAACGTGACGGAGCGCATCCAAGGGTGCAAGGTCGTCCCGCTTGACTACCCGGCCCAGTTCTCGGGGTACAGCGCCTCGGAGGGTGCTGGTGTGACAGCCATGCGGCTCGCCATCGAGACGTACGTCAAGAAGTGCCCGTCGGGCAAGTACGCGCTGCTGGGCTGGTCGCAGGGTGCGCAGGTCGAGCTCGACACTATCTGCGGCACATCCGAAGGCCAGGTGTTCAACAAGACGGAGCCCATTGACACCAAGCTGACCGAGAATCGTAAGTGCCTTCCTTCCCCTCCCCCCCGGAAGCAAAGACCGTGGTGCGGCGAAGCTCCAGTGGTGCTTTTTGTGCTAACGAGCTGGCGCGGCGCAGTTGTCGCGGTGGTTGGGTACGGTGACCCGACACACGTCCCGGGCCTGTCTTGGACACTCGGTACGAGCAAGGACAAGGGCGTAAGTCTCCCCCCTTCCCATCTCATGGCATGCCCTCCAATCTTCAGTGAGATGGCGCAAAGGCTGAACGAGGCTGACCCTCCGTCTCCAGATTTTCCCCCGCCAGGACACCGCCGCCTGCGATCCCTACGCCAGCAGGATCCACACGTGGTGCGACACTGGTGACATCTACTGCGACGGCGGCAACATCACCGCCGTTCACAGCAGTTATTTTGCCAAGTACACCAGCGCGGCCGTCGACTTCATTGTGGAGCGGTACAATGCGGCGGTGAACGGCACATCTGGCGGCGGCAACTCTTCGTCCGGCGGCTCCGGCTCCGGCTCCGGCTCCGGCTCGGGTAGCGGAAGCGGAAGCGGAAACGGCGGATCGAGCAAGACAAGCAGCTCGACACCGTCGCCTACGTCTTCGACAACGAAGAACGGCGCGGTGCGGATGAGCGGCGGCGCTGTGGGATATGTCGTCGCGGGCGTTCTAGCTCTGATGATTTACGCGTAGTGAATAGGGACGAAACAGAAAATGAGTTTATGATTGCACCACACACGGTTTTATCCTACTTTCACTACCGTAACATCGCCCCATACGCTATCATCTGAGGTGATGATCGACGTAGGAACATGCATGTCAGACTCGCTGTTGCAGGCCACTTCAAAATGCCAAGACTTGCAAGTCGCCAAAGGGTTGTAGTCTATGTACAAGTAGTCTTCGTAATTGACCTGAAGCGGGTCAGACTACTGGGCTAGCCTCTCTCTCCTACTTGTTTGTCCTTGTACTCATCCTCCAGCGAGATGACCCGTCTCCACGTCCACCCACCATGGCTCTGCAGGACGGATTTTGCCTCCAGACAATATAGAAATAAAACTATAAGCTGGGTTAGACTCAGCGACTACCTAGGATACAAATTAAAGATAAAATAAATAAGGACAGAAATCACAAGAGACCAAAGCAAAAGACAAAAACGTACAACACCGAGGATTCCCCAGTCGTCACCGACCTGAGTACTAGTTCAGCGATTACCAGCTTGTCTATGGGAGAGCGGACGGGATCCCGAATTTTCTGGTATCTATGGTCGTACGTGGAAGACGGGGGAGTCTTGTTGCTTTATAGCGTTCCATTTTCTATGTTTCTGCTCCAGGTGGGCTTATACGGACATACTTCTCTCCTGGCGAGTTTCAATCCTGATTGAAGGTTAGTCTCTCTCACGGCTTCCGTGGCCATGTATCCTTGAGGGTATTAAGACATCTAACTATCGCCGTGTATTGAGCTTTTCAGATGTGTTGCGGCACTCAACGCGTCCAATAGAAAGAACCATATCCTCTGTCCGTGCAGGCTATTAATTGTCAAACTGTGACGCAATTGGGTGCGCGAAGCGCGTCTCGCATTTAATTCAGCGATCCTACCCTGAAAGGATTGCACCACCCATCACGCCAGCGTTGCCCCTCGCCTGTGACTATGCGGCATTTGAGTCGAAACATCCTTGCTTACATATCTGCGACTGAATTTGTCCAGCAGATACACAAAAGGTCGTCGAGAATGCCAAGTGCGGCGCATGCTCGAACCGAATTCGTCGCCAACTTGAGTCATCTCGAAAGCGAAGAAAGAACGCATGGCTAACGACGGTCCCGAATCCCAACCTCTACTCCAGCGAGCAGGTTCGGCTTCGCCTCCGGCTTCTCCGACTGTCATTTCCAAGAAGCCCGACACGTCATCGCCGTCGCCTCAGAGCGAGGAAGGAGGCTCCGAATCTAATTTCTATCCCTCGCGTGCCGTTGAAGATGACGTGCTGCCCGAGACCTCGGCCATAGGCCGAACACTGAGCTGGCAGAGCGCGTACATCCTCGTCATCTCCCGCGTTTTCGGCAGCGGCATATTTGCCACACCGGGTGCCATCCTTCGCTCGGTCGGGAGCCCCGGCTTGAGTTTGATCTTGTGGGTCGTCGGTGCCTGCGTGGCCGCCTGTGGGATTGCCGTGACTCTCGAATTTGGGAGCATGCTTCCTCGCTCGGGCGGACACAAAGTCTATCTCGAATTTACATACAGACGCCCGCGCTTCTTGGCATCGACACTCGTGGCAGTCCAGGCTGTGGTGCTGGGGTTCGCGGCCAGCAACTGCATCGTCTTCAGCCAGTATGTGTTGTTTGCATTTGGTATTGAGGCGGCCAGCGAATGGCTGCGAAAGGGACTAGCGGTTGCCCTGCTAGTGGCAGTCACTCTCGTACACGGCATCACTCCGCGGTTCGGCGTTAGACTCCAAGACTGGCTGGGTTGGATCAAAGTCGGCATCATCCTGTGTATGATCCTCTCTGGGCTATTCGTCGTTATCTTTCGGCGTAGCAAGCTCGACGTAGAGCCAGACTCGGCCGGTTTGGTGACTGGAGGTAGCTTGTGGGACAACTCGAACTGGGACTGGGGTGTCATTGCCACGTCCCTCTTCAAAGTCTCTTACTCGTATGCAGGCCTCGACAGCGTTACCAACGTTATGAATGAAGTCAAAGAGCCGGTGCGAACATTGCGTTCTGTGACGCTGTCCGCACTCGCGACGGCTTGTGGACTCTACATGCTCATCAATGTGGCCTACTTCCTCGTAGTACCAATTGAAGACATCAAGTCTAGCGGAGAGTTGATTGCCGCCTTGTTCTTTGAGCGGACCTTTGGTGTTCAAGTCGGCCGCAAAGTGCTGCCTCTAGCAGTCGCCTTGTCTGCGGCAGGAAACGTGATGGTAGTCACTTTTGCCCAGGTACGATATCCCTTGATGGGAGACTTCATGGGCGGTCTGCTAATCCCTCATAGTCACGACTGAAGCAAGAAATCGCACGCCAGGGATTTCTGCCTTTCTCGGCTGTCCTCTCGTCTACCCGACCTTTTCACTCCCCGTTGGGCGCTTTGGTTGTGCATTTTATCCCCTCTTTCCTCGTTATTGTTCTTCCTCCGTCCAATGATGTCTACTCCTTCATTCTGGAAGTCGAGGGATATCCCGCACAATTCATTAGCATCGCTCTTGCTGCAGGCCTTATTTGGCTGCGGTTCAAGCGCAGCGACCTTCGCAGACCGTTTCGAGCCTGGATCCCCGCGGTTCTCCTCCAGACATCGCTGAGTCTTGCACTAATTGCTGCGCCGTTCTTCCCGCCAGAAAAGAAGCCAGAGTCGGGGTTGTTCTACGCAAGTTATGCAATTGTGGCCATTTCAGTGTAAGTTGTTCCTTTCTCCCGCCGGCTGGGATCACAGAATCCAGCTCATCATATTAAGGTTTGCACTCGCAATACTCTACTGGTACATCTGGACAGTTGCCATTCCATGCTGGCGTGGATATAGACTAGAGGAGGAGACCGAAGTCTTGAAGGATGGCACGTCAATCACAAAACTTGTTCACGTTTCTGCCTGAATCGCATGTAGACAGTTGTGCTTATAATTAGAACAGAGCTCACAGAAGCTGACCTGCTATAGAGAATGGAAGTCACTGTCAACACAGATTGTCTGGCAATCTTTGACCATAGCACATTTACGCCGAAGGCAGCGGTCAATCAGCAACCATGTTTCCTCATATGATTTACATTTTTGGATATGGCATCCATAAGGTTCTCCTTGACACTATGCTGAACCTCTTTAACGCAGATGCTTTTTGTGGTCGCTAAACTCACTCTATTTGTTCTTCACCAGCTTGATCAGTTCATCGTACTCTCCAGTGTTTCTCAGCATGTCCCAGAACGTCCCTTGCGCTTCTATTAACTCTGACGGGGTGCCCATTCTGTTTCCTACGTTAGCACTAAGTAACTTGAACAACGGCAGCGAGGAGAACTTACTCAACGACGCGTCCCTCTCTCATGACGATCACACGGTCATAGTCTACCACCGTACGCAAACGATGGGCAATCGTGATAATAGTCGACCCAACAAACTCGGAGCGAATTAGCCTCTGCATGCGCGTGTCCGTATCGTGGTCCACTGATGCCGTCACCTCGTCCATAATGATGAGCTTCGAGCGGCGGCACATGGCTCGTGCGAGGCCAAAGATCTGCCGTTGCCCGTTGCTGAAGTTCTTTCCACCGCTCGCAATTGGCATATGCACAGACAGCTTGTTCTTGCGCGTCACATCGCTGTCGCTGGCAGCGAGGTCGTCCTGCTGCGTCAGGTCGCACGTTTCGAGGACAGACTGCAACTCCGATTCGCCCATCTCTCCAAAAGGGTCCAGGTTGAACTGCGCGTCGCCGGAGAAGAGCATTGTGTCCTGAGGAATGAGGCTAATGGCCTTGCGCAGGCGTCTCAGGGGTATCTTGGCGATGTCAACGCCGTCGACGATAACCTGGCCGGCGCTAATATACGTTGACCGTAGAATGGAGAGTCCGAGAGTGCTCTTGCCACTGCCCGTTCGCCCGATGATGGCGATGCGCTCGCCAGGCTTGGCGTCGAAGCTAATGCCGTGTAAGACGTCTGCTTGGTCGACTGTGTAGCGCGCCTTGACGTCACGGATCTCAACCTTGCCTGAGGATGGCCAGGATGCAGGGATGCTGTTCTTGGCCAAGAGAGCCTCAGTCTCCGGGCTCTCTTCAGGGGCAATCTTGGTGTAGTCGTAGATGCGTTGGAATGAGTTGAGCTCAACTTCCAGTTCGTTCATGTTGCGGACCAAGGTCAGGATAGTCTGACTGAGTCCGATCGCGTTGGTCAGGGAGAAGCCGACGAGACCTGCCGAACCGGATTTGTAGTATGCGATGCAGCCCGCGGTAATAGCGATGGTCGCTGCGCAAAAGTCGGACCTGATTGACACCCAGCGGTTGCAGTTGAACTGTGCTTCGGCCGCCCGCATGTGCTGGGAGAGCTTGTCTGCGAGGAGTTGTTGGAACACTCCTTCGAAGGAGCGTCGGGCCCGGATGACAGCCATGCCAGTCGAGGTTTCATTGAAGTGTGAGAAGACGGGTGCGAATTTGATTGCGACAATCCTCTTGATCGAGATCTCGGCTCGTGAATACAGCTCTCCAGTGGTGAAGCCGATCATGCAGAAGAACCCGGCGGGTAAAGCGAAGATGGGCATGATGGATGCGATGCCGGCAAGTCGAAGCATGAAGCGGAGGCCATTGTCCAGAGTCATACGGAGCCAGTCAACCAGCACCGCGTCCATGGATTGGGTATCGAGCCCGAAGCGGTTGAGGATCTGTCCTATTGGGGTATGGTCGAACCAAGCGACAGGCGCTTTGACAATAGCACTGATGAGTCGCTGGTGCATGGTCTTCGATGCATGCCATCCGCCTCGTTGGTAGATGAAGTTGTTCGAGAACTGCAACAGAACGAATCCTAGGACAGTTCCGGTATAAACGTACAGGTAATAGCTCTGGCTCGTGGGCTGGCCATCTTTTCCGGCGGTGGCGTTCGTCCAGACCGAGAGCCAGAGTGTGATGGAGAAGTAGGCGAGCTGCACTACAAGCGCACTGATGATGGCTAGCAAGGCATGCGGGACGCCGCCAAAGAGCACCATATACTTCAGGACTGTGGAGTAACAGTTAGTAGATACGATACAGGGAAGGTCGCAATATGGAGGGAAGTTGTGGACTTACTCATACTCCGAGGAACTCGGCCAGACGCTTGCTTCTCATCCGGGATGTCCTCATGAACCTCGAAACTGATCTGGTCATTTCTTCGAGCTTCGGCATCAGGGATTGACGAGATAGATTCAACGCTCGGGGTTCGACTTGAGCTCGTCTCGACGGTCTCCAGTTGCACAGCTGTCATGGACTTTCCATGCTTGTCTTGGGTGTCATAAGTGACTTGACCTGCAAAAGTTCCGCACTCATCCATCGAGACGAGAAAGTCGGCATCCTGTAACGCTGAGGCCAGGTGTGTGATGAGGATGACGGTACGACCATTCAGAAGGTCCGTTTGGAAACATCGGCTGTAAACTTGCGACGTAGTATGGGTGTCCAAGGCAGAGAAGATATCGTCAAGAAGCAACGTAGAGGCGGGCGAGTATAGTGCTCTGGCCAAGGATATGCGCTGCTTTTGCCCGCCAGACAGAGCAGACCCACGCTCTCCAACCTGCGTCGAGTCGCCCAGTGGCAGTCGGCTGAGATCATCCAGGAGATCGCAGGCGTTTAGAACTTTATTGTACCGCACCTCATCATAGGGGCTGTAGAAGAGTATGTTGTTTCGAATCGAGGTATTCTGAAGCCACGCTGTCTGGGGAACATAGGCAACATCAGGTGGACAGGTGATCTGTCCAGACTCAAGGGTAGTCTCGCCCAGGAGAGACAACAGGAGGAGCGACTTGCCGCTCCCTGTGGAGCCTTGGATCACATTCAATTCTCCTTCGCGGAAGGCCAAAGAGACATCGTGCAGGGCAAATGGCGATTGCGGAGACCAGCGGACTGTAGCGTTCTTCAACTCTGCTGGGCCAGGCTCATGTCGCTGCCTGTCCACGGGTGCGTCCAGGAAGCTGTCGACTCTGGTCAGGGATCCACGAGCCTGAGAGACCCACTGAATCACTTTGCAGAGCCAGACGAATTGGGAGCGTAGTGTCTCAGTGATGGCTAGTGACGTGAACGCCATAGGCGCGTGGAGAGGTCGGTCGGTGAAGAGGATGAGCGAGACAAACATGGCCAACAGACTGACCAGCGACAGCAGGTCCCCAGTCATTGAAACGAACATGGAGGTCAGGTTCCTCTTCCAGATTCGTTGCTGTTCAGTCAAACGGATGTTGTTGATGTTTTCAACGACCATGGGCTCCCATGCGAAGTACTTGAGTGTGCGGATCGAGTGCAGATACTCTGAAATGCGGCCCAGTCTAAGGTCAGTGGCCTCCATGACGTGGTGGTGCAGCCGTGACATGCGCTGGGAAAATATGGCGGGAAGCGGAGTCATGAAAACCATGACCGCGATGCCGACCAGGGACGGCCAACCCAGGAGCTGGTAGAGGAACGTCATGGCCACCGCCGCCGAGACAAGACTGGCAGTAAAAGCATAAAACATGTCTGAGGCGTTGGATATCATATCGGCATCGTAAGAGACGAGGCTTTCCGTTTTGACTGACTTGCCGGTAGGGGAGTCGAGAGGCTCCTCGCTAGGCACCTCCGGGGCCTGGGCTCCGTAGTCTTCTTCTTCTGTCATGTGAATCGCGTCTTCACTGCGCGATCCGAGCATCTTCTGGTAGATTTCTTGCAGAACCGTAGCCCTCCAGAGAACCATCAGTCTGGTGCTCTGGAAGATCGATCGTTGGTAGCAAACCGAGCGCGTCATGGGTCCAATGAAAAGCAAGGCTATCCACACAAACGGATGGATGACAAAGGCTGTTGAGTCCGGATCTTCCAGATATGCTAGTAGGTTGAACATAGCGAAAGCGGCGACGTATTCAACGCAGGCTGTCATCGTCCCCCAGAGCATGATACTCGCGATCTCCCATCGGAAAGTCCTGAGGAGTGAGTGGAATGTCCGGGAGCCGCCCAATCGCACGTTCGACATTCGTCGAAGCAGTCTCAGTGGGGCGTCGTATGACGGCAACTCGGGGAGATCGTCGAGTTGTAGGTTCCGTGAGAAGCCTCGCAATATCAGGTATGTGAGCCAGTCGTAGGAAAGGTAATATGAGAACCATGAGCAAATCTCCTCAGCAGATGCCTCTTCCTTGGATGGATCAATCACATCCTCGACATTAGACTCCTTTGACCTGACCTGGCGGGGTGTAATAAAAGCTATGAATACAGTAATAGCCAGAGAGATGAGCTTGACTCTTTCCACGAGCTCTGGACCCACGGGAGTTCCGATGATGCTCAGGGGCAACAGAAGCTCAACAGCTTCCAGAAGCGTGATTGCGAAAACTGTGGCGTTGACTTGATGGCGGATCGCGGACCGTGTTGTATCAGATTTGACGATGAATTGGGATAGACTAAAAAGAAAGACATATCCCACAGCAACAGACTCCTTCCATACGCCATGGTGGATTGCAATCCATAACGAGAGTGAGAAAGCAACTGCCGAGGTGATGGCCTGAGCGATGGCGTAGGCTGGCAGGATCGGGCACCTAGTATGCCTTGCATTGATGCCTCTGGAGTCTACAAGACGTGATTCTTGGCGTCTGCGGATGGTGTAGATGGCAAATCCAGAGAGCAACGATATGAAAACGCACGCGAGATGCAAGTTGCCCTGCTCGATGAATCGAGACAAAATTCTAAAGCGGTGCCTCCATATTTGCCTGTATCGTGTCAGTGCATCGTCATTATACAGGGCTCTGAACAAAATCCATACCTTCTCGACAGATCCTCGAGCATTGAGAACTGTGAACCTCTCATCTTGGCTTACACCTTGGATAGTCCAAGGGGGGGATAGTGATAAGCTGCCAGAGATGATAAGACGCTCGCAGGTATTGGACGCGTGTGCCTCAGATATGGCACATCGAACAGGTCAGATGAGCTGCGCCGACGACATTTGAATCGTCAGCAGAGCCCCTAGATTTGCGCCACTGGGAGTCCGCTCGCTGTAGAAGCTTAGAACCGGTTGAACGGTTGCCATGTATGGATCGGGATTTTACCGTTCGCCTTCCTTTCTAAGCGAGAGGGTCTGCAGACTCCCGACTTTCTGGGCCTGGAGAAGGTCTCAATCCCAGTGGCCAGTGGGGTCTGCATCTCCTACCCTTGACCGGATGGGCGAACTGGAGAGAGTTTTCGGCAAAGACGGGGTTTGGTGCGATTGGGCCGCGAAAGGGAGGGCGACATAGCCGACCTGATTTCCTAATCGGGCAATCGAGTCGGAATTGCCACCGATCGAACTCCGGCCGATTCGTCTCCCATGCAATTGATCGTAGGATAGAGACAGGTAGTTGTGCTCATGGCAATGTGATTCCTCGAGTTTATTAATTAGTATTAGCATTGAATAGACCCGCAATAAGCCAAGTCAGGCATGAGGCGGTAGACAAGGATACAGGATGAGATTCCCTACCGGAATCCTCGGGGACTTTGCACATTTCTCTCACCACTCGGTTCTTACAAGTACGACTTAGCACACATAGGTAGTTTGCAATTTGGGACTTGATATTTTAGAATCGTAATTATGGCTTCATTCCATCTCTGAGTATCTCAGGTCGTCAAGCCGATCTTTTCCAGTCTCTTTTATTCATCCTCCAAGCCATCGAAGTTGCGGATCAAGTCTAAAGGCTCAAGTTAGAGACAGTCAAGGGAAGCTTTGAGAGTAGCCATAGTTACGACTTACCATAGTAAACTCTCATGCCCTCCAAATGGGCCTCCATGAGCATCCGCTCATCCGTAGCGTGTACGTCGAGTCGTGTGCCATCCCTGGCCGGGCTGTACCGATAAATGTTTCTCGTCAGGTCCCAGTAGTGCGTAGTGTCTGTGTTCCCCGTCATTATGTTGCCTACTGGAACGACGGTCTTGTTGAGCCCGCTCTCCGAAGTCTCAAACACGGAGCGAAGAGTGCCGCTGAAGACTGCCCAAACTCTGTTGTCGGTGGGGGAGACCGGCGCAGGGGGCAATAACTGCCCTGATCGGAGCTCGACGGTGCCGGCCAGGAGAGTGCTATTCTCACTGACGAGGTCTGAATCTGCCTTGGTCAGATCCCTGAACTGCAGTCCATTCTTCTGTGCGATGGGCTCGACGATGCTCTGGATGTGGCGGTTGACGTCGTCGACGGACTCGTGGAGAGCTACGCGATGGTTGATCATGACCGTCACTGTCTCTGGCAGAGCATTGACTTTGACCCCCCCCGTCACGACATCGACGGCCTGACTGGTCTGCATCAACCACCTGTCGGCGGTCAGAACCTCTCCAAGCCGGCGGGCCAACACTTCCTCGCTGTCATGCAGCAGTGCATCCTTCAGCCACGGTTGAACACTGTGTGGCGAGTATTTTGCGTTACACTCGAGCGCTCGGCGGAACGGACTCCATTGTGGCAGTACCGGTGTGTAAGGCTGGTCTTCGAGGGCGACAATTGCTTGGGCAAATACTCCGATACCCGTGTGCGGAGGCGGCTTGGAGCTGTGTCCGCCTCTGACTGTGAGCCGGAGCTCGGCGTCATAGTACCCCTTCTCGCCAACCGCTGGGTAGGCATACATGAAGTCACCAAGTGTCTTCACTCCGTTGCCTCCCTCGTCCATCAAGAAGGCAAAAGAATCTTTGCCGTATTGCTGGAGGAGAACCTGGTTCAGGCGGGTGGCTCCTCGAACGCCGCCGGTTTCCTCGTCGAAGCCGAAAGCAAGCACGATTGTCCGCTTGGGACTGAACGATTGCGATAGAAGATCCTCCATCACCGACAGCAGCCCGATGAGCACGTTCTTGCAGTCTGCAGCGCCTCGTCCCCACACCCAGGTCCCATCGTAGTGGCCAGCAAAAGGCGGGTACTTCCATTCTGCGTGTGAGCCCGCCGGAACAACGTCCTGGTGTGCGGTGAATAAGACGGGCTTCAGGGAAGTATTACTGCCTTGTAACTTGAACAGCAGTCCGTACTTGTTCACCTTTTGCCTCTCGAGATTCGAATGCCTGCAGTTCGATTCAGAATCAGTCAATTGTGGTTTTGGAAGGCTTAATTAGAGCTCCTTCATACACAAGGGGGAACAACTCCTCCAAGACTTGGTGGAACTTGTCAAATGTCTTCCACCTAGGGTCCTCGTCAACTTCACCATTGTCGTCGAAGCTCTCTGTTGGCACTTGGACAGCTGTGCCAAGACGCTCAGCCTGAAGCTTGTGTCGCTCCGTGCCCATCAAGTGACTGCTGTCCCTGAGGCCATCGCCAGAAGGAGTGATGGCATCGGGCAACGGACACCAGTCATCAATCCTATCTTTGTTGCGACACGGTAAAAATGATACATGACGACCGTGATACTGCGAGATCAGGAAGAGGGCGAGTGCAAGGCCAGCCAGCCAAGTTGTGAGCTTCGACCACTTCTGGCGCGGCTGGGCTGGCCAGGCGGTGTATGGCGGTGTGTTCTTCTCCATATCGGCGTTTAAGTCGCCCATTACCAAGAAGCCAGTGGCCACAGTAGGTACAATTCATTATATCGACGCAGATAAGTGATGTGTGGCCACACGCGAGGGGATTGCCGAATTGGGCGGAGTCTGCCGAACGACCGGCCCAAGACCGGACGTAACAGCTAGAGCGCACCCAGTCCCTTGGATCAGCAGAGAATGTGGAGAAAGTCGCGCGCAAGTTCACGTCTAGCTACGGTACAGGTAGATAGGCTATTGCACGAGGGGAGCGGACCAAAAGGTTAACTCCATTAGATAATGAACAAACCAGTGCTTCGCTTCATCGCATCCAGGTAATCAATCCTAGTGCCTCGGTCCCCTTGCTCCTTGATAATGAATTCCAGTAACACTCGCGCCTTTGTAAAATTACCTCCCCACCTCTCGGCATCGGCAAACGTCCTGAGCACCCAGTCCTGCTGTACCAGGTCCGTGGTCTCGATCCCTGCGAGGAACAAGATACGGAGCCAGATGTTCTGTGGAGACGGCAACCGGAGCCGGTTCACCCAGGCCGAGATGCGGATGATCCGGTCAGCCGCGGCCTGAGCGGTTATCAGCTTGCTCGGCTCCAGATTGCCTACTACAGAGGCCGGCAGCAGGCGCCCATGGAATTCGATGATAACGCTGTAATAAGCTGATAACAACAGCAAATTATTGAACAGCTTGGTCGTTATCTCACCTTTGACGCTCCGAGTCCCCTTGTGAAGAATTGTCTCCAGAGCTGCCGCAGTAGGAGAGGCAGTCTCCAGTCGCTCTTGCATAGAGAGCAAATCTGACACGACCTGAGACCATACAGCGGCCGGCGCGGTTATGACTCGTCGGTGCAAAAGCGCTATCCGATTGTCCACCATATCGAGCTCCATATTCGCTCGTAGAGACGATTTCAGGTCGGATATGCTGCTAGCCTTGTCCTGGGATGGATCTGGAAACGCAGCATCCAGGAAGTCATAGTCCGATCGGTACATCTCTAGACTTTGTAGCAAACGGCCTGTGCCTCCGATCCAGGAGGCTCTGGCATCATAGCTGCCCAGCCACGACAGCACACGGGAGCTTATGGGGTTGAGATTTGGAGGACGGTCGTTGTTTCTGGCCTGGCGGCGACAAGCATCGATCAGGTCAGCAGCAAACTCGAGGTGGAGACAAAACGAGTCGATCCCCCGAGCAGCTAGGAGCTCGAACTGTAGGGCAAACCAGATGGTGACCAGCGCCAGCTCGAGATGATTCGCAATCTCCTGATCCTGATGCAGCAGTACTACCGCGCGACTGTTCCGCTGCTCGGCCTCGGTTACAAGGCGAGTCTGCCGTTTGCTCTGGCCAAGATGGATGCCAGTCCAGGCCATTATGGCATGGTAAAGTGGCGGGTAAAATAATGCCATATTGCTGAATATCTGGGTGTACATGTTCTCGTCGCCGGAGCTTCGCATCTTGGTGTACTGAGACATCACATTCAGGTAGTGCTGAATGAGGCCATGGTCAGCAGGAGTGATACTGACGACCCCGCTGGCTTCGGATGAAGGGCTCTGGTTTTCTTCCTCCCGGTAGGTCGTTGTTCTGGGTATTTGCCTTCCGACGGGTGCGGAAGGAAAGGCCATCCAGTCGTCGCTCAACGAGTCAAAGTTCATGTTCAGATCGAAGAATGCGGGCATGGGCATCATGCCCATGGCCCCTTCCGCATCCGGAGCCGATAGATCCTGTGGCAGGAATACGGCTTGCTGGTTGGGGAAATTTGCTTGACCAGGCACACCCATCAGCGGCATGGGCCCCGGATCCCAGGTCGATGCGTCCTGTTGAGGAGAGATGACTTCATGACTAGATTGCTCCGGGTCGCCTCTAGACATGGACGTGATGTTGGCTAACGGGTCGGCTTCGACATACTCTCCTGAAGCGGAAAGATCCTGTAGGTTTACAGGCTGTTGGCCGCGAGCCCGAGTGTCGGGTACTGTGGGGGACACTGATGCCTCGACAGACGAGGTCTCTGTAGGACCCGCGCCTGATTGGCCATTGCTCGGCGCGGCGGCGCTGGATTCCAGCACGGATCTGGAGTATGGGGAGTTCACAAAGCGAACCCGATACTTAGATGCTTCCGGAGTGGAGCTGCCCAGGGCAGGGCCGTACACGCACGAGAGGTCGAGCCGCTCGCACGCGCGGCAGATGGGCTTCGTCTCATCACAGCGGACCTTGCGGCGCCGACACGCTTGGCAACCTGGGATGCGGGAATAGCGGGTCAGCTGGAGAGCCGTCAAACAACCCCGGGTCTGTCATCTTGAGCTGCTCGCACCTGTCTTGGACCTAGGCATACGGGCTTTCGCCATGGCTGCTGGTCGCGACGCTGGGTCAGTGTGAAAATGATTGAATGTGGAAGTTGGGAAGCCGAGCCAGCCGACGCGAGAAGCGCGACATTTGAGCTCCAAGATGCTTCGTCCCGACTATCTCTCGACAGCCGCCTTGTGGGTTTTCGCCTCGCCTTGTGGGTGTGTGGATGCACAGTAGATATTGGTCGCGCGTTTATTCAAGACATAACATTTGCAAATGCAGATGGTTATGCCGTGGGTAGCCCAGACCTAGCTGGCCAGACGTCAGAGATAACGGTGGGATCATCGAGTCAAGCCAAGTGGGGAGTCTTCGCTTCACGGACTTCCTGATCCGGTATTTGTCTCGGCTAAGTCTAATGCAACCTCCTGCTCCGGAGCGAACTAGCGAAAAGATGAACCCTCCAGCTTCGTCGAGAACCCTGTACACGCGACCATGGATCTGGGGTAGCGGGGGCATGTGCTGTTGGGTGCTCTTGCGGAGCATCTCTCCTGGGAGGCTTTTTCTCTTATCTTTCAACTCCATCTCGACCGGAGTAGATATATCCTCGCTCCTCCTCGGGCTCGTGCACCTTGTTGTCTTGCAGCGGTCCTTGCTAAACCAACCTTGAGGACCCCAAGCCCCAACAAGCAGCCCAGTCCGTCAATCAAGCCGCGTTGCAGACAGCCAAGATGTCGTCAGCCGAAGACAAGGTGGAGAAGAACATCGAGCCCGCCACCGAGTCGGTCGCCGATGGCTCTTCCAAGAACTTTGACAAGGCCTATCAGTTTGCCAAAGAGCACCATGCCGGGCCCTTGAGCCCGGAGGAGGATCGGCGCCTGCGGCGCAAGATTGACTTCCACCTCCTGCCTCTGGTAAGAAGCATCTTAAGCATCTTTGGATGCTTGCTTGTGGAGAAGGCCTGTAATTGACGGGAGGCAGATGGTCATTACCTACACGCTCAATTTCATGGACAAGAATGCCTTGTCCTACTCCGCAAACTTCGGCCTCATCACGGACAACGTAAGTCTTTGCGCGCGTCTCGCACACCCTGACTAGCCCACACGTCTCCAGGGTATACATGTCTAACTGCCGCCTGACAGAAACTGGTCGGCAATCAGTACAGCTGGGCCTCCGGCTCCATCTTCTACCTGTCGTACATGGTTTCTCAGCCCTTCGTCGCCCGTCTTGTCGTCCGCTTCCCCGTCGGCCGCTTCGTCGCGTGCGCCACCATCCTGTGGGGTGCCGTGCTCATGACGCTGCCCGCGTCGCGCTCGTTTGCTGCCCTCATGACCATCCGCGCCCTGCTCGGCTGCCTCGAGTCCTGCATCAACCCGGCCTTTATCATCATCTCGTCGCAGTGGTGGAAGCGCGAGGAGCAACCCATGCGTATTACCTGGTGGTATCTGGGCAACTCGATTGGCCAGGTCTGCGGCGGCCTTCTGGGATACGGCATTGCCCATATTAACAACTCCAAGGTGCCCAACTGGTCTTGGTTCTTCATCATCTTTGGCGCCATCACCATCTTCTACGGCGCCTTCCTCGTTTTCTACCTACCCGATTCGCCCATGAACGCCCGCTGGCTTACCGAGAAGGAGCGGGCCCAGGCCATCGAGCGTGTCCGTGAGAACCGCACCGGCGTGGACAGCAATGTCTGGAAGTGGTCCCAGTTCCGCGAGTGCCTGACCGACATTCCCTGCTGGCTGCTCGTCGCCGCTACCTTCCTGGATGACATCCCTGCTGGTGGTGTCGCATCCTTTGGCAGCATTGTCGTCAAGGGCTTTGGTTTCAGCACCCTATACTCGACTCTGCTCCTGTGCCCTCTGGGTGTTATCCAAGCCATCTGCCTCATCTTTGGAGGCTATATGACCTCTCGTTTCAAGAACATCCGAACATGGCTCATCATCGGTATGTTCTTTGTTCTGCATATGCCTGACTCCGGGTTTGCGCGCTAACATTTGCTACCAGGATGCCAAGTTCCCGCTTTGATTGGCGCTGTCCTGCTCTACACGTTGCCACGATGGAACCAGCGCGGTCTCCTGGGCTCCTACTACGTCGTTCAGACCCACGGCATCGTCGCCACTCTGACCATGTCCCTCGTGTCTAGCAACTTTGCCGGCTATACCAAGAAGGCTACCGCATCCGCCATGATGTACATTGCCTTCTGCGTCGGACAGGTCGTCGCCCCGCAGCTCTTCCTCAATAGCGAGGCTCCCGTCTACGAGACCGCCTTCCGCGCGTCATTCATCTGCTTCGCATTGTGCATCTTCGTGATATTCATCCTGCGATACTACCTGATCTGGGAGAACAAGAGACGGGACCGTATGGCGCTTACGGAGACTGTTCAGGTCAACGAAGGCGACGAGTTTCTCGACCGCACGGACAAGGAGCAGAAGCTCATCTTCCGCTATGTTCTGTAAATGTGGATTGTGGTTTATGGGTGTTTCGAGCTGGTAGGTGTGGAGAGTGGAGGTGTTTGGACGAGCAAAGGGATAGATGACGATGATGATGATTCCTACGATGTCTGATCATGGTTTGCTGACGGACTGGAACAATATGGCAGTGCTGTAGCACTTGAGAATGACTTTTCTCATGTCGATGGAGTTAGTGGGAATTATGTTCAAACCTTCTAATCCGTGTGTCTGCTTGCCATGATCATCTCCGTAGGCGTGACCCCGTCAGATTCGTACCAGCAGGGTCTGGACCAGTAGAAGCGTTCAGAGTCGATGTGAGCAATAATGCGCGAGATCGGGCTACACACTTAGCTTCATTGATCTTACGAGAAACCATCTGCGACATTCCGGGTTAAGCCAGTCCAGGCCGAGGGCTCTTGTTGATCTCTTTCGATGGCGCTCGGAATCTATCGTTAATGTTTTTGGAGGCGTGAGCCTAAGTATCGGACGCTTTTCACCGAGGGTACCCGGTTCGAGCGGATGAAACGGCCATGGCTTGTACGTCGAGTCTCTCTGGTAGTAACGGTATCCTGAGATCATCAACATCTTGTGCTAATAGAAACTTGAGTGCTAAGGACCTCCGGCTTAGGTCTGGATCGGCGCTCAGCCGCATGGGCAACATTGAAGTGGTAGACACACCACACCAGTTTCCTGATATCACGTACAGATCACAGCACTTTGATACGAGTTCAGGGTAGATAAGCTGAGAATAGTAAGGCGGCAGGCGGGTTGAATTGCAAATTTTAGTTAGTCCCTGGACGTCGCCTGTCGCTAAAACTGTTTCCCAATTGGGAGCACACTAGCCGAGCGAACATGCAGGACCAGCATAGCACATCTCCATAACCGTCACATCGGAGGGGTTGATGAGCAGTGCCTTGATTGGGTAAGGGCTATGAATATGCTTGCGATGCTTCAAAGGCTAGATAAGCATCGATGATCTCGCGGTGGCCTGTAATAGCCGGTGCAGCAAATACGCCTTGGTGCAGCTCCATGAATCAATCCACCAAACATGAAGGACTCCTTCCAGATGGACGGCCAACCTTGCAAATGGCAGCGGCCGCGGAAGTCAGCGCTGCGTGTCATTGAGAAGAACTTCCTGCTCAGTTGTGTTCTTGCTGCGGCGACAACCTATCTACTGGTCGGACATTTCTGGCATCATCCTTCATTGGACACGACCACTCAAAGTGGTTACGCCTCGCTACTTCCAGAGGACCTGGAATATGGCTTGGCACAATGCGCCGCCAACCAGGAACGACCCGCTGTAGATCACGGCTTGGCTTCCATTCGTCTCGCCAAGCCTCGATCTGGCGTACGGACCATCTTGTATCATGCTACACTCATCGACGGCGATGGTAAGGTCACTCCGGACTGCACCATCGAGATGCAAGACGGGATTATCACTGCTGTTGTTGCAAGCTCGTCTGCTCTAGACAGAGTCTCCGAGTCCTCTGACACAATCAAGATTGATCTGGAAGGCCGGATCGTCACGCCAGGTCTGGTTGATATTCACTCTCACATCGGCATTCGTCCAACCCCTCAACTTTGGGCAACAGAGGATGTGACCGAGTACTCATCCATGGCAACGCCGTGGGGCCGGGCCATCGACGCGATCAAGCCCAACGACCCGGCCTTTCCCGTTGTCGCTAGCGGCGGAGTGACCACTTCTCTGGTTCTGACTGGTGCCAAGAACTCCATGTCTGGCGAGGGTGCCGTGCTGAAAATGAAACGCGCAGAGTCTGTCTATGACCTGCTCGTCAACCTCACCGAGGCTGGAGGCAAGCCGCAGAGATACCTGAAGATGGCTATGGGCGAGAACCAGAAGAGGCAGTTCCAGAATGTCCCCGGCGGGCTAGTGTCTCGACAGGGCGAGTCGTTTGTCTACCGCAAGGCATACGACACTGCCAGACGAGTCAAGCAGCGTCAAGATATGTGGTGCGAGGCTGCATCGACAGCGCTCGGCCGAGCCAGCCTGACTGAGGAGTATCCCAGGTCGCTCGAGTGGCAGACTCTAGTCGACGTCCTGCGCGGCGATGTGAGCCTCCACATCCACGGCTACGAGACTGTCGACATCCTCGCCATGTTCGACCACTCTGATGAGTTCGGCTTCAACATCACGGCCTTACACCATGGCCTGCACGCAGATTCAATTACCGACGAGGTCAGGAAGCGCAATATTGCTGTTGTCGGCTTTACCGACTCGTGGGGTGACAAGAAAGAGAACTACAATGTCACCCTCTACTTCCCGAAGAGGATAGTGGATGCCGGTATTCCTCTCGCTCTCACTCGTGATGCTCCCGCGCTGCACGGCCAGTTCCTCATCTATGAAGCTCAGATCGCGCATCACTTTGGTGTCAGCGCTGAGACTGCATTTTCATCCGTCATGGCGGTGCCAGCCCGTCTTATGGGCATGGACAACAGGTACGTTTCACACTTAACATGCCGCAATGATTTCGTTTTTTGGCGTGTGGGGTGGGGGCTAACATTTCTTTCAGAATCGGTTTCATCAGGCCTGGGTACGACGCAGATCTTGTAGTCTGGGACAGACACCCCTTACGCGTTGGAGCTGCCCCCCTCGAAGTCTTCATCGACGGCAGTAGTGTTGTTCGGGCATCCTCGGACCTCTGGCGCCGGTCGCAGGACTTCGTCACAGATGCGCCCCCGTCGAGGCCGGAAGCTGAGATCAAGACACCTGTGAGTCCTGTCGGCCATGCAGATGTCGTTCTAAAGGGCATCGTCAGCAGCTTCGTTGGCAAGGGTGGCAAGAGGGGCGAGGAGATCCGCGGGTCTGATATGACTGCCGTCATCCGCGATGGGAACCTGGTTTGCATTGGAGAGACCGGTTGTACCGACGCTGCAGCTGAGGCGACATTGGCCGGAGCTCCTGTCGTCCAGGTCAACAATGGTGTTGTGATTCCTGTGAGTCCTCCTTACCTGGGTAATGTGTCCATCGAAACACTAACAGATAGTCATAGGGTCTCACCATCGTCACGCGCCAGCATGGCCTTGTCGAGATGGCTTTGGAACCATCGACAGGCGACGGTGCTTCTTCGGGTGCCAACTTTGACAATCCTCCGGAGGCCCAATTCGGACTTACATTCGGTGGCATTCACGTCCAGAGTGCCCATCACGCAGGGGTCACCCGCATTGTGACTCCGCCTCTGACGACAGGCTTCTTCCATGGCATCAGCACGAGATTCAGAGCGGGAGCGAAGAGCGGTATGGCCGGCTACTCCGTGGTTATGTGTTATAAAAGCTAACTTTGCGATGCAGTTCTCGATGATGGCGCGGTCTCTGATCCAAATGTCGCACTCCACTTCACGATCGGACATGAAGGAAAAGGTAAACCCATGATTAATAACCCATTCATCATACTAACTCAAGTTATTAATATTTCTTGCCTCGAATATAGGTCCAGTGACGCCCTCTGTTACCCTCCAGATCCAGAAACTCCGAGAGCTCCTCACTACCGAACAGCCGCCGCATTCCGTCTACAGGCGCGCTGCCAGGGGTGAGATCCCCGTTGTCGTCCATGTACACAACAAGGATGTGATCGCACACATGATCGCACTGAAGCACGAAACAAATGCCCACATTGTCATCATGGGCGCAGCTGAGGCACATCTTCATGCCGACGCGCTCGCAAAGGCCGATATCCCCGTCATCGTTGCTCCATTCTGGGGCTGCGAGCCGCTCTTCTGGGACGCACGCCATTGTCTTCCTGGTCCGCCGTTGGTTGATGCTCTAGGCCCGCAAGTGCTGGTTGAGGCTGGCGTTACGGTCGGTATCGCCAGCTGGGATACCATGAACAACCACATACAGAGCAGCATCTGGGAGGCAGGGTGGCTGGCAGGACCCGCCAATCACAGCCTTGCCCTTGACCTCGTGACTAGGAATGTCGAGAAGGCTCTTAAACTCTCGGAAACTGGTGACATTGTGGTGTTTGAGGGCAATCCCTTTGACTTTGGTGCTCGTGTTGCATTGAGCTTCGAAGAGGGTCGCGTCCAAAGTGTGTATCCCAATGCCGACGCTACAGAATAGAGAGATAGCCGGCAATAAATCTGGATATCCTGCCTGGATTTGAAATTCTTTGCTATCAATATTTAAAGGCGGTTGTGCCTGCACCGTTTACAAGCCTGCAGCCGACACTGTATGCACTCGTAGATGAAGATAGGGAGCACGTCGTGACACTCCTCACACCGGTGTGGGCCATGTCGGGACCTCCAATTCGTATGCGTACATTCGTGATTTTGGACAAGATGCTGCATTTCCCTTTGCACCAGATTCGCTCGCTGTTCGCCATCGACAAACTGTGCCCTAGCATCTCTGTCGACCACGAAATTCGCTCTCGCAAGCAAACGGTCCTCATCCCACTGCCTACACTCGCACGACTTCCAACGTAGGCCGCACAGGTAGCAAAATTGCGCACCGCATATACAGGCTATGAAGAAGTTAGTATATCAGTAGATAAAAGCAGCTCCATGTGATTCTAACTTACTCATGTGGTTACAGCCAACCTCTAACTCCACCACTCGTCGGCAGTTGTAACATCGCTGCCATCCATTCTCCGCTGCTGCCCTTAAGAGATCCTGGACTGTCTCATCATAGGGGCAGTCTCCCTTATGCGCAGCGCCTTTGCAGACAATGCATGTCCGCGCTGCGCAACTAACACATGTGCCTGTGTCTCCTTCAATAAACGTTCTGGGAATGAACGTCACACAGGATGGTAAGTGACAGTACGTTGGGTTTGGGGTTTCAAACTCGATCTTCTTGGCTTGGTATTCGCCCACGATTTTCGATGTCAGGAAGACTCTATTTGATTCAATCGGGATCGGTCGGTTACAGCAGCGGGGTGGGAAGAGTGACTGGTCGGTAAAGGATGCTTGGAAGAGCGCCTCGAGACATTCTCGGCAGTACTCGTGAGAGCAAGGACACGTGGCCAAGTCGAAGAAGTGATGCTTGTCTCCACAGATGATGCATTCGCTCTTCTTAGTCTTCCGGATCTTGGCTGTTGTCAGCTGGGCCCTTTTCTCCGCAGAGCTCGAAGACTCCGGTTCTTCATTCGGTGGTGAGATGTAGAGAGCGGCTAGCTTGGACAGATAATTGTCCTCCAAGTCTGGACATTGTTGTGAGGTGTCGTTTCGCTCCTGTGCCGGCTTGCTGGGCCCTATCGCCCAGGCGTAGTCCCTGTCATGTACAGCCTGCTCCTCTTCCAAGATATAGGTACTGATCAAGTCCCCATCAAGGATGACGGCACGTGCAATGCTTTCGGATAATGATCTGTCATATATGAACGACTCTTCGATAGCCAGTTCGTGTCTATACGTGTCGAGCGCTGCCTCAAAGTCAGAAACCCCACAAGACTTGCCCTTTCGGTCAGTGAGGTCATCGAGATCCTCAAGCTGCAACTGGATCATCAGATTACGGGTCTGGCAATCGAATTCGAGGAGAGACATTGCGAAAGCGGGGTTGAAGTTCTGTGTTGTTGTTGTCGGTCATAGAATTCCGGTAGATGTCAGAAGGTGTCAGACTGCCCTTTCAGAAGAATCCTGGGTAGCCATGAGAGGCACTCCAGGGGCTTAACAGAGGACCACGGATATTATGTTGCTCATTTCCTATATCTCGGATAATCTTCCCGATCCCTTGCTAAACACGGAACTCCCTGAGACAGATTCCGGCTGGATCAAGGCCATCGTCCAACAAGCTTTCACGAAGCCAAGACACGAAGATCGCGTAATCAAGTTCAATTCCAAGGCAGAAGGAAATTACTGTCTCAAAGCCACACAGTATTAAGTGACGCCTCCCAGCCCTTGAATGCGCTATGCGGGAGGTCTACCACCAGGTAAAAACCACCCCTGGCTGTGCAACTTCAACTTCGCGAGAGGGGGTTTGGCATTCTTTGTTTTCTTGGAGGCCCAAAATCAAACTGCCATACTGACCCGCTTAAGCTGAGACACAAAGCAGAAAGACCATGCATGGTGAATACACATTGACCTTCATCTGCTTTGATCGACCTGCACAAGATGGCCATATCGCTGCAAGAATGCCTCCACCGCTCGAACGAATTTCTCGAGCTCATCTTGCGGTGTTCCAATCATCAGAGCGATCCTTCCATCACGCAACACCCAGAAGCCTTCCTCCATCATTTCATACCAGAATAGATCCTTCAGCTCCGTCACCTCTGGCGTCTCCCGCTCAATAGTCTGCAGCCCAGCCTGTGTGAAATGTGATCCAATAATGGACCCAATACCTGTAAAAGACATCTTTGTGCCGGTCGAGATCGCAGCCAGGCGTCGGATCAGTATGTCTCCTGTTGCGTTCAGCTGCTTGCATACTTCCGGAGTGAAGATGCGAGTCAAACCAGCATGACCGACTATCATGGCCAGCGTGTTGTTGTTGAACGTTCCGTGATGGGGCAAAGACCTGTCCAAGCGCGGATCGAAGATAGACAAGATATCCGCGCGGCCACCAAAAGCTCCGAATGCGAGCCCACCGCCGAGAGCCTTGCCCAGGGTCATAATATCCGGTTTCAGACCGTAAATGGATGCCAATCCTCCTGGTGCAAGTCGTGATGTCATGACCTCGTCGAGAATGAACAGAACCTTGGCGTCCCGGGCGGAGGCTTCGATCCCTCTCATGAACTCGACAGATGCAGGGACTGCACCTCCGACACCTTGCAAACCCTCAACCAAGACAGCGGCAACACCTTCTTGCTGGATCGCCCCCCTCACGCTGTCTAGATCATTGAAACGTGCAACGATCCAGTCAGCCTGATCCACGTTGTTCACAGCGACCTCTCCTCCCCTGAAGATGAGCAGGCCCCCATGGTATCCTCCTCCAAGCACAACAATCTTCCGCTTCCCAGTATAAGCACGCGCAGCCACTAGAGCGTGAAGGTTGGCCTCTGTGCCGCTGTTAGTGAAGCGGACCTGCTCCAGGTCGTAACGCGAACAGAGTGCCTCGGCAAGGGTGGTCTCGTACACCGTGGTCGCGCCGAGGTTGAGACCGACGTTGTCGAATGCAGTGGTGATGGCATCACGGATCACTGGATTCGAATGACCGTAGACGCTCACCGTCACCTCCGCGACAAGGTCGGTGTACCTGGATGGAAGTTCGATGTCAGCACGCTCACGCGCCAGATTGGCAACAATCGACGCGGCAAAACTCACGTGTGGCCGTCTTCACTCGTAACCTGGTAGCCGGTTCCGGAGCTCATGTAAACAGGAAACGGTGTCGTGTGCACTTGTGTGCGAGTGTTACCCCCTGGGAGTGTCTTAGTCGCCTTCCGATGGAGTTCCAAGGACAGGGCGTTCCGTTGCTGGAAGCGAGCAATGGCTGCATCAAGTGCCTCCCGCGCCGTTGGGGGACGATTACCAGCTGCTGCGCCGGTGGCCATGCTCTCTCCTTGGATCTTGTAGAGAACACGGTTCATCATAAGAGAAAGTCGTGCAAAGTCTGTCTCGTGGAGCGTACGGACTTGACTCCGGTAGAGATGGCAAGTTGGCGCAGTGAGTGAGGCAAGGTCGGTCGGGGGCCCGTTGGGCCATCGATTTCTAGACCCAAGGTGGGGTTGAGCTGGGGTTTAAAGAAGGGTAGGCGCAGCGCACAAGGTGCGACTCCAAGTCACGCCAGGTGACAAAGATACGGTACGTGGTACACGGGCTCAGAAGTCACTTGGCCAATACTCGGTTGATCGCCACACTTAGGGCGTACGAAGTGAATAGAATTACCAGAGGAATCATAGAACTAGCTTGCCACCCTGAAGCATGAATAGACTTGGGCGTTTCCTGTTGAGCACGAAGCTCGACTGACTATCCACCAGAGTTTTTGAACTATCCCAAAAGGAAAACAGAATCCTCAACACATGTCAACCTCCATGATATTCCGTTTGAGTTGTAGACGTCCAGAGTCATTCAAAATCCCTGATGAACGTTGGAGATATTACTGTGAACCACTGATCTAGGCCCGATGATGTCTTGTCAGAAGCGCTGGTAAGAAAGTCCTTCAGATGGACCAGAAGCAGACGAGATCGTCAAAGTCGGCCTGCTCCAAGTCTTTCGGCTTCTCACCAGGCAGTATTTGACTCCGCAACTTCATCGCCTTTTCTATCCAATATCTTCCCGCCTCAGCATCCTCTTCGTCCCCCGCGTCGCGCAGATGCGTTCCATGAAGAAACGCCGAACGTGCCAACTCGTTCTTGAACCAAGGCCAATCGCCCCATATGCTCAAGGAACGCTCAAGTAGTTCCCTAAAACGAAGTTGTTAGCAGGGAATCCTGACATGCTAATGCCAGGTTTGTACAAACTTTGCCTTGGCATCTTCGCTGAGCCGGATGTAGTGCTCGGCCAGCTTGTGGCTGGCATCGCCCACGCGGCGGTTGAAAGTACCATACGACGAGTGGTACTGATTGAAACAATCCTTGTGCAACCCAAACGCTTCTTCCCAGAGCTTCTTTGCAGCATCGAGCTCGCCTCGTCGTTCTGCTTGCGTTGCCAGACTAGCCCTGACATTACCCAAAGCATGCAGGACTCTTGCATTCCTAGGAGTAAAACGTAAGCCTGCGAAGCCTTTGTGTTGGTCCTTTCCATCACCAGGACTCACTTGTAGGATATGGACTCAATTCTACCAAAGAATGTCTGACGTCGCGTCCAATATTCAGTAAGCAGCGTATTGGCCTGATCCAGCTCGCCTTGGATCCAGTAGGCCAGACCGAGGTTGCAGACAGGAAAGCACCACTGGTCATAGTCGGCATCGATGGTCTTGAGTAGCTCTACGCTTTGCTTGAAGTACTCTGTTGCGAGGGCGTACTTTTTAACGCCCATGTACGAGATTCCCATTTGGCTATGCGCGAAAGCCAACGGCAGATCCGGCTGATTTCTTTTCGCGGCCTCATCCTTACGAATAGTGAGGCACAAAATGTTATGCTCCAGTGATGCTTGAGCATCATGTAATCCGTTGCAGAGAGCTCCCATTGTGAGGTGCATATTGCTGAGCAAGGGCTCTTGAGTGATGTTTGCTTTCCTGCATAGTGAGAGTGCTAGTTCCAAGCATGGTCTGCCTTCATGGGAGAGGCCTCGTTCGTGAAGATACCTACATGCATTGGTCGAATCAGCAATTTGCATTCTGCATGTCCGGACGCGCCTCTCATACTTACACTCCCATCTCATTGAGTAGACTGGGGAATGTGATGTCGACTTCAAAGTCGTCCCATACACTGGCGTATTCGAGGTAGAGATTGTAGAATTGTTCCAAGTGAGGCATCAAATCTTCACACGCCGCCCACCTTGTCTTCGCCTGCATGAGAAGGTCACCCGGAGGCCAGACCCCATTCAAAAGCTCCACGGCATCCTTGAACACCTGATAGCCCCGAGCCTCGTCGATGCGTGTTCGCACCTCTGCCTGAATCACGCGATGGATCCAGAGCTCCTTCTTATCAATATTCCGTTTGACAATGGATGATGTGAGCAATTCAAATCGCGCACTCTCAAAGGTCGACGGTGTCCAGAAGGCGCTTTTGACATCGCTCTTGGCTGCCTTGGAGTCGACAAATATGCTCTCCTGTATGCGATCTGGGTTCATGAATGCCAAGAGCTGAAGAAGCTTGGTAGCATGAGGACTGAGGTCCTGAAAGTTGTAAGCCGTAGCGAGAGTGTACCCATACCTATGGCTCTGGATATAGTTGCTGAAGTCATGAATCTCTGCATATCGGGCGTCGGTGTCGTAGAGGCTGATGAACTCCCGAATGGAGACTCGCCGGCGCCTGATGAAACCTGCCATTTGTGTCATCGCTAGCGGTAAACCGTCCAGTTTGGTCGCCAAGGTGACTGAGGCCGCCCGCTCGTCCAGAGTCGAGGTGTCCTCCGTCTTCCTGGTCAGCTTCCGAAGCAGCGTGGCGGAGTCGTCCATCGATAAGGGGCTCATATCAATGCCGGTTCCGTGGGAAAAGAAATTCTCCTTGGCGAAAGGGTCTCTGCTGGTTATCAGCACTGAGCCGTTACCAGTGCAGGGTACGTAATCAGCGATGATGTCCAGATCATCCGCATTGTCGAAGATGAGCAGCCAAGTCTCGTTCTCGTCACTGTCCGTGCTCATAGAAGAAGTGAGCCAGGCCTTGGCAATCTTGATGCTGCTTTCGAGATCGCCGGCCTCTGTCGAGCTCAGCAGTCCTAACTGGCTTGCAATCTGGGCAAAGTCGACTGTCAACTGTGAAATGCCACCAGAATCAAGCCAGAATACCGCTCCAAATTTGCTTCGTCTCGAGTGTGCGTACTGGATGGCGACGTCGGTCTTGCCAATCCCACCCATGCCGCATAGCGCGAAGAGACGAGTATTGTGCAAGCCTTTCGAGTCAGATACACTCGGCAGCAGATACCTATCCATTGTTTCCAGAATGTCCTTGCGACCTACAAAGTCGGGATTTGGTGTGTGTGACAGGTTGAAGCAGGGTAGATGGCACTTTCTCGTCTCCAGAAGCCGTCGAATGTTCGTATCCATGATAGCTGTCTGACTAGGTAGAGCCTCAAACGATGGCCGGGTGAACATCTTCACTGATCGTGGCCTGCTGCTAGAAGAGAATATCGATGTGCCAGAGCTCTCCACGGGGTCAATTGGCGCGAGATTCAGTGGATTAAGAGGGTTCGAGGCAGGAATCGAGGGTGCTGATGTGAGACCGGTCGAGGTTGACCACCTTCGGCTTTCTGATGAGGAGTGAATCAGCACCATGGCATAGCCACGTCATATCTCAACGGCTCACATACTGGCCATGTCGGTGAATAGAGAGCGAAGAAAATCCCTCGCTGAATAGGTTTGGTTCCTCAGCATAGGAAGCTTGCAAAGTTCGCTGTGGCTCAGGTGCACCCCAAGTAGACGCTCGGCCTCGGATGATATAGTAGCAAACTGCTCGTCAACAAGTGCCTAGAGACAGTAAGATTGTGGGCCTGGAAAGAAGGCATGGGACTTCTTACCTTTGTCCTCTTACCAAAAAACTTGTTGAACCCCGATGGAGCTTCAGTATGTTCGAATACAGATAGGACTGGAATAGTCGCAATTTGCTCGAATGTGGCAGCGAGATGCGCCAGCTGGTAGACATCACGGCGCGGAAGTCTCGAGAGCTGCTTCTGGACAGCTATCCTCGCACAACTGTAGAGGACCTGATTGTGCCGAAGTAATGTATCTTCATCGGAGACACTGGCGTGCGGTGTGCCAAGGAACAAGATGCCACACAGACAGTCTACCACGAGTTTGAAACGCGGATCTTGCAAGTTTTGGTGTGCTAGAAGCAGCGCCTACTGTCCTGTCAGTCCATTCCGACCTCGGCGATAGTAGCGGTGAATACTGTGCATTGCAGACCTTCTTCAAGAGAACCCCTCCGAGAGAATGCGCGATGAATATGATCGGCCGATGAGGAAACTAAACGAGCATCGTCAGGAACATGAAATCCGATGCACTCCCAGCGCGACGCTTAAAGTTCTACCTCAGTAGCCAGCTGTGCCAAATCCTCCGCCAGATCGCTGCCGGTCTTCATAAATTCTTCCCATGTGAAGGCATCTGGATTAATCGAAGGTGCGTAGGAGTAGATGTGTAGTTGTGAGACCGAATCCACTGGAATAGCAGCTTCCTGGAGCTCGTCGGCTACGCCCCAGCTGCTGGGGGACGGAGTGTGGTAGCCGGGAACAGTGATCACGCTGTTCATGATCAGCATGGAAGGCATCCTGGCTCAATATCGGCCATCTCACCTAGGTTCAACCTTCATCTCGCTGCGAGGGCGAAGCCGGATTGTTCTGCTCAGGATGAGAGATTGTTGGGCGGAGACGCCGCTTTCGGGCTTCCAAGGGCCACTCAGCTCTTGCTGGGGGTCTCTGGAGCGGCGAACCATCGGAGTGGCAAGGCGTGGCGACACGGGAGGGATGGGAAACAAGTAGGCACTCTTCGGCAGATGACGCTAGTTGTGCCTCTGGAACAGGCAAGAGTTGTACGTGAATGACATCCGGATGGCGAGGTGCATGCCAACTTTTACTCTTGGATCTGCCAGTATTGAAAGTGCGACAAATCCAAGGAAATAGGTGCGGGGTCATCAAAATGCCCATTGCAACAGTGCAAGCATCAGACCGGGAGGCTGGCTCGGTCAAGGGTGGGTGGCCAGCTGCTGCAGGTCGTTATCGATGTTTACACAAGAGGGGGCAGTGCTGGTCATCATGCCGGGCAACTTGGGGATCCAGCCAGCCAGCCCGCTGGGCGTCCACCCCTTTCAATTTCGAAGGAGCAAAGCACGCAGCCACTAATGGATTCGACGCAGCCACCAGGTTGATGAACCTAGGTCATTTACTGCATGGGTAGGGGAGGTCGCCATAGTGTCACATCACTCAGTGTGCCAATCAAACCGTCGCAGAAAAAGAAAGCATTGCGCACGCGGGAGGCGGGAGGTAGAAAAGCGGTCAGGCTCACATTCTTTCCGTGTGCGAACTCTAGTAGTCCTTGGGTACCGACCGCTACGACTGTGCCGCCATCATGCAGCCATGTTTCGATGATAGAGGCATTCCATCTACCAGGACCGCTTCCGAGTATCAAGAAAAGAACTAGACATATCGAATGCTTGGGCTCAGACGGTCATTTCAGCATAACATTGAACTAAAAGAAAAATGGGAAGGGAAGTGCAACGAGCACCTATCAGGCTAAGTATCTGTACAAGATAGACTCTGCACGCCCGGGCAACCGAAGCTGAGGCAGTGCAAGTGATTGATGTCAGCGGAGGCGCTTCCCAGTCGAGTGTGTAACCCTCCTTGGTAAGCGAGCACCATCTGAAAGCCCTCTACGGGCGATGATGCTCGAAGACTTGACATAATATTTCAGTTACTACAAATATACCGATTTTTTCCTTGGTTCTTGACATGGAAGCGCCCTCAAGGTCTGATCAATGAGATGCGAAAGAGCAATTAATGGTGTGGTTCCTGGGTTTATCATTGATCATGTCGGTGCAATGGGCAGGGTGTGGGCGTCTGCTCAAAACGCGCTGAGAAGCCCATCTGGGCGAGACCCCGGTCACAATGTAGGCTGACAGGCACCCAGGGATGAGCGGCTGCCTCACTCGTACCGTCGTCATTCAGCCGCTTTCCAGCTGAGGACTCGTCATTCTGTGACCCTGCCTCGCAACTTAAAGCGCCCTGATAAAATTTGCAAACAGCAAGGAAGGAACAATATGGCCATGTTCATCAAACTCCACGAGAAAACGCAGCCATGTCTTTCCGAGACGAGATTGAAGCGCTATCCCAGAAGTCGAGCGAGTATTACGCTTATCCCAGGCCTGACCTGAACAGCCTAAGTCAGTACCTAAAGTCTTTGTCCATCTACAATCCAGGCTGTGGGCTGCCAGAGACTCGCTCGACCCTATCAGAAACAGACCGCACGTCCTCTTTCGCCGTTGTTCACGACATAGCCACGGGCAGATGCCAGCCTTTTAGCTCATCCTCAACAGGGTTGACTGACTTCGTTGGTCGTGGTATGGATGATCATGGACCCTCAGTGCTCTTCTTGCGTGGCCACGGCTCCCCCGAATGGCTAGAAACGATAGGGGAGAAGTACAGAGTCAGCCCAGAGCTGTACCGGCGGCACTTGCGGTATCTTGAATTCTCTCACAACAGCGGGCGGAATCTGCACTCGTGGCCATCACTGCCGTCGTCGTCTGCCCGCGTGTTCCAGCTGACGATTCCGACGATCTGCACCAGAAACGTGAGCGAGTCAGATTACGAGCCTGAAGATCTCCAGTCAGCGCGTCAGTCGATGGAGGAGGCAATGGGCCAGTATTTCAGACAACTTCGTGCGAAAGCCACGGTTGCCGAGTCCGTGGTGCGAAAATGTCTTTTGCTCAGCAAACAATACTATGTCGTGGAACAGACAATCTCAATCGAAGTTGGCCCGCCGGGTGAACACTGGCGTGCTATAGTGTGGCTCGACACCGGGAAGGACCTATCTCAGAGCACACAGCATGGAGAACCGTGGAAGCCTTTTGCAGGCACCAAAGCCTGGGAGACATATTTCTTCCCGGTGATTGTAAACCTTGCATCAGACCCATCTACGAACCGCCCAAGTGACCCTACGCCATATCCCAGCCAGAACAGTGTCCACGACCATACCAGGTTGCAGGCTCATCCCAAGGACAGAAACGCAGAAGAGTGGAAAGCGGCACAGAACATAGCTTTACTGCCATTTCAATACGGATCACGCCTCGACAAGAGCCTTGCACGACAGGATACACTGTATGCTCTCGGTGAAGTCTTCCAGTTCTCCGCCTCTGCTGAGGTTCAGTTATTGAACCTCCTGCAGAGCCGCATTGAGCATGAACTATCGTTCGTGGGAACGCAAGGGGGCAATGATGAATACCGTCCGATATCGCTGTTGAACCTCAAATACATCAAGACGCAACTAGCAGCACACGTTCAGAACTTGAATGAAACTGTTGACCTGCTCCAGAACCGCAATCACCTTGATTGGCCACACATCAAAGGCTCCAGGGAAGAATCAGATACCGTGGAAAGGTCCGCCAACATGCTTCTTGCCGACTTCAAATATCTCTTGAAACGGGCCGACAGCCTGGCAAATCAGTGCGATCAGGGTATGACAACTTTGGTCAACAGCTCCATGATAGACGAGTCAAGGCGCTCAGCACACTTGGCTATGAAGGTGCAGAGGCTCACAGTCATAGCCACCATCTTCATTCCGCTATCTTTCGTCTGCTCCGTCTGGGGGATGAATCTTGAAGTGTTGGGGTCGGGATCCCAGCCCTTTTGGAAGTGTGTCGTATCAGCAGTGCCTATAATTTTGATCGCTTTGGTGATCTACTACTCGGACAAGTTAGTTCGACTGTCTAGGAAAATCTTTCGAGCCTTCAAGAAACGAAGGAACGGGCTTTACGATGGAAAAGGATTCGGGTCATAGCACCATCTTCCGTTAAGAATGGAGAAGTTTTGAGTCAAAAGTTCAGTAGTTTAGTCTGACGGTTCTATAAGAGACGGGAGTATGTATGTACAGTTGAAACGTCAATAGCAGATCATAAGACTCGTATATACGTACAACTGATAGGTTATTTCGCAGATGATCTAGCCATGCTGCCTATGGCCTCTCACCTCACATTTCTTGAGTTTGACAGGTAGGCTCTCCACGGGCATACAATGAACTGAATTTGGAGTCTGCGAATGAGTTGGTAGAGTAAATGTTTATCCGGTTGCTGGCGGCACAATACCTCCTTTCAGGGTGATCAGGCTGGAGTCTTATGAAGTACCTTCAGGTCACCCCTCCATCTGGATGAAAATCACTCTGCGTCGTGCATCCACCAGATAAGGTGAGTTGGAGGTACCCCGCTACGGTCGACAATCTCGCACGCAATATCGCCTTCAAGTTTAGCTTTCGGCTCTTCTCCTATGGCGAGTACTCCGAACCGAGCCGCAAGAAGGGTTATATATTTGCCATCACCCATGTTCTTGCCGCCGATTTAGTGTCTTCAAAACCCAAACGTCGAACCCATCGCAGTGTTGAATATCTAGCCGTATTAGTTTTGGCAGCTTAGCAACTCACACATTGTCACCAAGTCTGGATCCGTCAGCATGCCTGCGCAAGCCACCAACGCGCCTAAAATCCAGCCATGGAAGGCGATGAAGTCCCGGGAGGAAGATCCCATCCCAGATTTGAAGAAGGGAAGAGACGACGACGATGATGAAGACCACACCGCGCAGGGTGCCTCTGTCACTAAGCCGATGGATCGAGACACGGCCTCGAAGAAGTTGTCGAAGAGCAAAGCCAAGTCGGACCAGTCGACCAATTGACGACTAGCTACCGCAACCTGTAAGTGGTGCCCATGAAATTTCTCAGGAGTCCTCAAGGTTAATCAGCTGGAGTATGCAAGACGTTTTGCCCGTCTGGAAGATATTTGTTGTAATCGGAAAGGGCTTTTCTTTTGTGCACACGGATGGTCAACAAATGACGGGCTCAAGCTATTGCTACGGTTGTTATACTGAGATAACATGAGGATTCTTCCTGCCAATTCACCAATGCGTTATTTAATGTTCCAGACTATTGATAATCGATTTCTGCATGCATGACCAATAGCCGTACATCAATACTCTCCCTTAATGTCCGGCCCGAGCTCTGATCCGGAAGGGGGAATGCACCATGAGGGCATGCTAAGTGAAGTCAACATCTTGATATAATAAGATTCGGGCGGTCTAGGGGCTTACGCCAAGAAGTACTGCAGCCTGTGTCCAGTGCCTTGAAAACCAACACCTCCTTGTCCGTCTGCTCGGGAAGCCAGTACCATTTCTGCTTCTCGTTGTGGTGTATAAGGTGGTTCTCAGCAATGAAGTTGGGATATAGCACGTCCGAAGCTATGAGATCATCTCTGTCCACAGTGGTGGCATCGCAAATAGCGAGCGGCCAATCCTTTACTGGCACTCGGAGCGGACGCCAGACCCTGGGAGCATTCTTGTATCTTAGCATACTGGATTTAAATGATGAAAGACGTAGCACCCACGTGATAAGCTGGTATCTCGACTGCAGAATCTTATCAGACGTGCTTTGGTATAACTCTTCGATGATTGCTTGGGCAGCAGGTGGAGTTACGTCTGCAGTTGAGTACCCATCGGACATCAGTTCCAGGTCTCATGCAGTGGATGGAGTAGCATACCGACATGCGTAATTAGGCTAGGCTGGGGCGTCAATGGGATTCTGCCTTTCAACTTTGGAAATGCTTCCTCCCGTCGCCGAACCTAATCATGTCAGCCTCGGGATATCAAAGGTTGAGATAAGCGACGGACCTGGTAGTCCAGAGCTCGAACGTGTTTGGCGCCCAAGGCTTCAAGGAAGTATTTCTCCAGTTCCTTGCAGTATATACCTTCGATTGTCTTCTCGTCTGCAAAGTCCTCGTATTGCATCCGCGTTTCGAGCTCATGAACTGCAAACCCTTGCGCATCAAGAGACGGCGGTGGGTTCTGGTCTCGAATGCTCTTAAGCTCGATGGGTATGGGTGTTTGCTTGACATTGGTCCTCGGAAAGTCTTCCTTGAGGTAGTACTGGAAGCTATATGGCTTGACTGTGTCCCATAGCTTGTCTCGATTGATAAAATGAAGGGGAGCTTCTGAAGGCAGGTTGTATGTTTTGGTCAATCATGCTGCAGTAACAGCTGACAAGGATACTTGCATATTGACGTCAATGAGACCAAACAGGGAGACTCTCTTACCAAGGACGTTATCGGGTACGCTTTGCTGAGCCATGGTAAATATCTGTCACACTATTACCCAGTGATTCTTGGCGGATAAAGGGTATGGCCTTCAGTCGTGTCGTAGGTCGTGCGGAACCTCAACCCCTGTGACAAGAAGAAGTCCTCACCACCAGGAGGGGGATGTTTCCTCGGCTAGGGAGGGGAGATGGAACAAAATTGCGCCGTATTTTAAGCCTCATTCTTGACGCCAAGGTCGAGCCAGATTAACCCTCATTTTCTCTTCTGGGGTTGAATCCTTGTGTAGGGAGAGATGCAGACTCAGCGCAACGGGGGTTCTGGCCCACGCATGTCGCCTGGCCGTCCCATCGCTTTCTGCGCAAGGGTCGGCAAACCGTAAAAAGGACAAAGGTGTGGCAGCCAACCACAAAAGTCATGCTACCCAACGTCGAACCCGACGTGGACGATTTTGCAACAATCTGGTCGCCAGTATGGGCCGTCCCATCCACGGATCGGCGGGTGGCGTGGGAAACGGCTAACAAACCGGGCGTAATATGGGCACGTGGAACTGTGCATGATGCCTCTGCAGCATTTGTGGCAACACCTCCAGCGGCACAACTGTGATGATTGATGATTGGGTGCCTTTCAGTTAAGGGTATGGCTGGTTGGCGGCCGTCTTATATAGGCATGCATGCAGGCGGATAAACCCACATACTCCTTTGTGCCTGCTTATCTATTAGTTACATCAGAATACATGGATGGTACTTGGTTTTGGTGGTCGATCACCCATGCAGGGCAAATGCAACGCGTATGAATCTGGATGGCTTCACATCGCCATCATCGACGATTATCAGCGCTTCGGCTCACAAAATAGATTCAATATTCTTCGTTGTTCTCCGCTAGCTTGCCTCGAATACACGTGTATCTTCAATTTAGCCTCCCATGGATGTGTATTCTTGTGTGATAGTGAAATCAAAGGATCCTCCAGCCTGCACGTGAAGCACGATCCAAACCATAGTTAAGTGAACTTGCAAGTTTGACATGGCATCTTGGGAGAAAATGAACCCACATTATCCTTCTCTGGATTCAGGCTCAGAAATCGCTGCTTCCGTCCAGGGACAGCCTTGAGATGCAAGATGAAATACTGTTGCGTCCCGTCCAAGATCAACAACAGACGTTCACGATAATGAAAATCATAGCCACGTAAGCTTGTAGCTACTTCAATATGTTTGTGATATTACTATGTGTTCTTAAGGCAAAGTTATCACTCTGAAGTCCTGGTATTGTTATTTGGCTTTCGTTCGTGCCATTAGACGGATAGCAAAGAAATGAAAGGAGCGTCTGGCATATCAAGGGCCGATAGTTCTCGTGTTAGGAGTTCTGTTCCTAAGAAACATATGCCAAAGAGTGACTCGGATTGAAAGGGCAGTGATATAATATCTTCCTTGGGAAAGCCAACTCTGTGGAAGCATCTAGAACTTTAGGCCTAGTTGCTAATCAGAAAACAGTTCGGTGACTATAGACAAGGCAAGGTGGCTTACATCAAGACAATAGTAGATGCTTCGGCAAGCATGCCCGTTTCCGTCAGTGTACATGACGTGCTGGTCATCCTTGAAGCAGTTGAAGTTGTGGAAGCCGTTGCTTCCAGTGCTGCCAATAGAAGATTGAGTCAATTGTCGTCCCGGCAATCGTAAAAGTAAAAGGATAAATATGCAGCGCGGTACTCACCCAGCCTTCTGGAAGTTGGGATACGACTGAGCGTTAGAGTCGATGGCCCATGTGAAGGTCACACCAGTTCCCCCGAACGTGCAGGAATGCGAACCGCCCTCCCAGTGGAAAACGCCCGAACCAGGGCTACACGCATTGCCTGCGCCTGGGTTGAAGTTGCAGTTGCTATCGTTGGCGCAGTACTATTTGGAATCGTCAAATGACCTGATCTCTTTGTGCGAAATTACGATTATTCGGGGAGAAATCTCACAACAACAGTCGAGTAGGTGACACAGTTGAGCAGATGGATACCCTCTGCTCTCTTGGCGAGCAACTTTGTGTCGACATCTGGGGACGGTGCCGGGGCTGGGGCCGGGCTGGCGATAACGCTAGCGACAAGAGCGGCAAAGGCAGTCAGCTTGGACAAATGCATGATGAAAGATTCGGTATTGTTGAAGATTTTTGGATTTGATGAGATTTATTGAATGCTTTGCTGCCTGGCAAAATGTTGGGGGAATCACCTCTGGACATCATGCTGGGTATTTATCCTTTTCTCGTGTCGACTCCATCAACCGCTAGGCGAATAGTTCAGGTTACCTCTCTATCGTAGTTCAAAGAGGATGGCTGTAATTTCAGGCCGCTGGGGAAGTTCTAGCCTCCGTGCATCGTCACCCCCCCAGCTCTGGGTGCATTGCGGATTTCACGACTTGTTCTGCACAGTCATGTTAATAATACCACCCTCCGTCCTGTTGTCACTCTCCTTCCGATGGTCGTAATAACCTAATGCACCTAAAGATCACCACCTGCATGCAAAAGAGCAATTCGTCATGACAGCTCTTGCACCAGCTCCATGCCGTGTAACATGCCTCACAAATGTCGGTGACGCAGGCCACCAATGAACAGAAAATAATCTCGGGGTATTGAAACAGGTGAACGTGTTTAGCAGCACAACGTCGCTGACTAAAAAGGCCATGTCTAAGACATCTTCGATGTAGTCCTCAACACTATTGCTAAAGACTCGACAGGAACCCATCCTCGATAATGAGATCCGAAACCAGGTAGTAGCAAAGATGATTTCTATTCATAGAACAGCTATGAGCCAGCCATAATAACACCACACTCCAAGAGGCCAAATGAGAGAAGCAGTGTCGAACAACTGCCAGGCATGTTTCCACGGGCCTTGCCAAGGGAGTCTGTCTCTTCTCCGTGCCAATGGTGTCAAGCTTTCCCTCTCCGTCGAGTTCCCCACATCGACCCGGCCACTGAGTAATCCGTGCAACGAGATGCTGCATACAACTCCACTTGGCTCAAGCCACTCAGATCTGATAGCCTACTTGTTCGGGAGCCAGCCGAGCCATGACTCCACAGATGCAATTAAGCTTTTTGCGCTGTACAGGGATGCCAGGGGCCCCTGCCAAATCCTGGGAGGGATTTGACCCGTCTCAACAAGTTCAAAGTATTCAACACGGAAGCGATACGGTTCCCCCAGGAGGAGCGCACATTAATGTTGAAAGAGAGTCTTCACATCAAGGCGCCAAGAAAAGGTGGTTTCAAGACCTTCACCTGTTCCATTCTGCCGTGTCAGCTCCGACACTCCTCTGGCTCACAAGGTCACCTCTTCGCCTTCGCTCCGCTCTCCATCTTCGAGTGCGGTTCATGATTTGACCTTGCATGAAAATGCTCTTGCCGTAAAATACCGCCTAGCTGGATCCACATCTTTCAAGTAGGCTATCAGGGGAAGGCATGCTTGAGCAGTCGTACGATACGAGAAAGAAGTGGATCGGGAAGAACTCCCCGGTGTCGATGTCATTCGCAGAAACAATGAGCCACGATTGTTCGGAACAAATGGTACACTGGATTTTGACTAATGCAGAGGGGGTTGAGTAATGAGCATGGGTCCATTTATCGCTCTGAACAACTAATTCAAATTTCTTGTGCTCGTGTAAGGACGCCCAGGGATCACAAGAGAGATAGTCTTAGACTAACAAGAAGACCACGTCCCAGTTGAGAGCAAGGATTAAGACATATCGACAGAACCCGCCATGCACTATGGCCCACAGTAATCAACAAGGTTGTCTCGGAAAGACCGCATCTTGACTCCAGAGGGAATAGTCAGAACCGGGTAAGGAGGGGAAATGGAGGCACAAAATGCAGTTCTGGTTGAAATGAGTTCCACAAGCATTTGGAGCCGCATAAGCGACTGCTCGGTAAGCACGTTCTTAAAATAACAAGTGCGTCACCCTTGCCTTTCGACGGCACAGAGCCGCTAGTATGTTAGCCAGGACGCATGTCTGCCCAACACATGGATCACAGGGCCGCCCGAGAGGACAGACAGCAACGCCGTTTTTGTATCGTCACCCAGCGGGGTGAAAGTGTCGTATTGGCTGCGGCGTGCTCGGTTCGTTGGGTAGCACGCGTTTTTGGACTGAGTAATCACATCCTGAGGCTCGAAAGAGGACAGGTCTGGGGGGTAGAGACATGTAGGCACTTCTAATGAATCGACGCCTATCGAATTGCCGAGCAGTGGGTATGTTGAAAGTATTCCCTCTGACACTATTGAAGGATAATTCCATGGTAGGTGCAGAGAGCCATTGATGCAAATCAGTGAATCAACATCCCTGTTCATCCTCCAACCCAAGAAGGGCATTCAACACCGTACAGGCAGCATAATTCTCGAATTGCTCGAGCCGTCATGGCATATCGTGTGTTTGACTGCTTGTAATCTGTCTCCGAGAGACTGATTCTCAGCTGTGCCAAGATTTCGCGCAAACGCAGGAAACGAACCTCCTGCAACAATAACCCTGATCTTTGTTCCCTTGCAAAATCGATGGGCTGTATCGTACAGTGAGAGCTTTACCACCTTGTTCTGTGCCCGCTTCGGATCGAGTCGTCGATAGATTTCGGTGATATTGTGGGACTTCCCTTTGCGATCCACCTCACTCAGCCGAACCCACAAGTCTGCGTACGGCAGGTCGCTTTTGTGATGAAGGGTAATAATAGGTTTGCCAAAGATCTCCAGGTCATCTTGGAGCGGGGCGCTATCGAAAACAAGGACATCCGATCGTGAGGCCAAGGCACTATCTTCGACACGACCTTTACTGACAAGATGCGGGCCGCCGATGGTAGGCGTGGGATCTGATGGATCAAAAGTAAAAGAAGAGTAATGAAGTTCGCCAGCTGGCTCATTCGTATCTAGGCGTTGGCCTGCATGTAAGAACCAGTCCTGTGGTTTGGTCTCGGGCGGCCACTTCTTCATGCCGCGCCACTCCTCGGCTCCAGTTACGTAGATGCGTACGGCATCTGGCCTACTGCTGTTGCCCTTCTGGCCAAGATGCTCATCAATCCAGTCGAATATCTCTCCGAGATTACTGATACCAGAGGCTGGAAGATGCGACCATGGTCCGACCGTCAGGCCAACATTGGTGCGCTCGCTGATGGAAGCGTACTGGTCCATCGTCTGCACCAGAAATGGGTCGAACCATCCCGTAGTAAGCAGGATGGGGACGCTGAGGCGCTCCAGCGCCATATTGTGCTGCATTGGCTTGTAATACTCGTCCGTGATGTCTGAATGGGTTATGGGGTAGTCGAGCCACTCTGCCTTGGTGCCAAAATATGACTTGACTGCGGGCGCCAGAGGCAAGTCTCTCATCACGTCCTTGATCTTGCTATTGCCCACCACAAGTCTCAGGGGCCCACGTTTAGGACTCCATCCCTCGTCCTCTTGGTGCGCCACCATATCACTCCAGGAAATGCGGTCCAGACGGAACGATCCGGTGCCCCAGTAATGGGTGCTGTAGTCATGAGGTCCAACGGCGATAGATGCCGTGACCAGCTCTGGCGGCGGATCTCGCAGCAGGGCCCACTGCGTGTATCCGAGATAGCTTGCTCCGTAGGTTCCGAAGCGGCCCGTCCACCACGGCTGGCCGCGCATCCACTCGACGATGTCCTGTCCGTCGTTGGCCTCAGCCCTGGCGGGGTCAAAGGTTCCACCGGAGCCGAAAGTGCCACGGCATGAGACGAGGACCACGCGATATCCGCGCGCGGCGAGGAGACTGGCGTCGGTGATGGCTGTCAGCAATGTTCGTCCGTATGGGCCGTGGACGAGTATCGTTCCACAGGCCTCGCGGCCTCGGTCGAGACATGGCGTGTATACATCGCCCGCCAGAGAAATTCCGTCCCGGAGAGGGATCTTCACAGCTTCAACCGTATACGAGCCAGATTCAGGTCGTAGGCCCAGGTACCATCCTCCGAGGCGGTCGACGAGTCCTCGGGCTTTGCTCCGCCTCTGTGACACCATGGCTGGTGAGACGTCACGTCAGGATAAGAATTGATAGAAACCCCTCATGGACATCATCTGTTTGGAAACTACAACGTGGGAAGAATTTAGATATTTAACTGCGTTTCAAAGTTCACAGTTTGTTTCATGGCCGTCACCACTAATCTTACGATCCCCAGCGCAGCCACTGATGGATGCAAATATGGAAAGCTGAGTGCTAGTGTGCCTTGGACAAAACACGGGGGACGCTTTCAATGACGACATTACGCGCGCCACCAAACTGAATCCAGGCTACGGCTGTGTTAGAAGATAAGATACACTAAATGCGGTGATGCAAATCCTTGATCCACACATTCCGGCATCCGGGCTTCCTAATCCTGGGATGCATGTTTGTTCCCTGGCCTCCACTCGCCCACGGGCATGCAGGTGCTGATGTCTAGCTATAATGTGAGAACCTGTCTCTGGTCCATGACAATTGCCGTCTTGTCAAGAGGCAGCAGCGCCGGTGCCATTGGAGGGCTGAACGAGAACCTATGGCAGGTAAGGATCACCCTCAAAGAACCCATCTGGCAAATGGAATGATGGGTCAAGTTCTCTAAGATGCTTGAGAGTTTCGCTGACGATATCATGGCCCCAATTGAATTGACTGAACTCCTGTGGCGTTTCTGGTGCATGGTCAGCATAATAGTGGGAGAAGGCCAGCAGGCAGAAAACCCTCACTTGGGACGTTTTGCACGTATTTTGCAGCTTCCTCGTGAATCATATCAACCTGGTCCTGGCCGGCGCTGCTCAGAACTTGAATTGCGCTCGCTCTGTTGCGCCGCGTCTTCTCGTAGACCTCAAGCCTCTGCTCGACCTGCTCGGGCGTGGCGCCATAGAAAGCAAGCCCAAGCACAGCGCCGTCTTCGATGCCTTGAGCTCCACCTTGACCCTGATCTATATGTAGTTATTAGAACTGAGTCGATAGTGTCCATGGGAGAGGTAAGGGCTTACGGGGAAGCATCGGATGTGCTGCATCACCAGCCAAGACGAGCCTTCCCTTCCTCCAGGTGGGGATCGGTGCACGGTACAAGAGAGGCCATTGCTTGATCTCTGTCGCCTTGCTGTTTGTTATTCTTTAATATTTATTTTGTTATAAAGATCAGGAGGGTGTGATACTTACTCCAGAACGGCCAATATGTCTGGGTGAAATTCTTTAAAAGCCTTGAGAAGGTGGGACTTCTCCACGGGCGCTTGCCAGTCTAATTGGCGTCAGTTCGCAGATCGCCGAGTGGCGAGATAGGTCTCTTGCCTTCTTTTGCTGCCTTGGCCATATCCTCATTGTAAAACATGCCCACAAAGTTGTGTACTTGGTTGCTACAACCGATCAACAGTAAGTACGACACAGAGGGGAATGGCCAGCAACACTCACTCTCGACAGGGGTAAGTCACCAGGCGATTGGAGGTCTTTCCGTTTGTAAACAGCCTCAGCAGTCCGTCGCTGTTGTCAACCCACCACTCGGTGGCTGGATCTGCCTGGATATCTTCGGCAGGAATGAGAAAGCGGAAGCAACCGTTGTAGAGTTTCTCAGGCTGCGGTGGGTTTGCCCGCCCAAGGACATGCTTGACAGCGACTGAGTGCAGGCCATCAGCAGCAATTACCACGTTGGCCTTGGCAATGTCACCATTGGCAAGAGTCACAGAAGGTTCATCGGGATCCTTCACCAATCTTGTTAGCACGTATTTGACTTGTCAAGGCCACTCAACCTTACATAAGAGACAACCTCCTGGCCCAAACAGATCTCGGCCGGGATTCCAATGCCATCAGGCTTGACCGCCATAGTCCTCAGCGCATCATGGAGATCGACCCTGTGCGAGAAGTAGAACGGTTTTCCATACTTTGACCTGACCCAATCGCCCATGGGCGTGAAGTTCAGCTCCCGGCGTGAGGATCCCTCACCCAAAGAGATGCCGCGCACGGTGACCAGGCGCATGGCGACTGGGTCGAGACCCCACGCTTCCAAGACACGAGCCGCATTGGGGGGTACATGAATGGCCGCTCCAAGCTCATTATTCAGGGCTGACCTCTCAAAGATTCGGACGCGATGTCCGGCGCGGCGCAGAGACACGGCAGCTGAAAGGCCAGCGATACCAGCTCCAACAATAACAACATCCAGCATGATGAAAGCAGTATTCCTCTGATCTGATCTGTGTTGGCTGTTTTCCCTGGGCTGTGATTGGCAATGTACTGTATATCTAAGTTGAAACGCGTCAACCCACCATCCACTGGTTCAACGGTTCCCTTTCATCCAAGAGAGAAACTTCCGCTAGCTCGGAACCGAGGGTTGCACACGGCGACGGGATCCTGTTCCTCCGACCGGTCTGGAAGGCACCCATTTGTGTCGGGCAAATGTACACAAAAGGCAAGCAAGTCGTATGCAAGGGGGTGGCGACCTCACCTCGGCGTTGGTTTTAGGCCACAGCACCTGTAATGTCACACCTAGATCGGGGCAACCACATGGTGGGCATTGCCAACACAGTAAGGTGATAGCACCACAGCACTGTGGCTGGACCACGGTGTGATGCAATGTCTTTTGTCTCCAATAAAGCAAAAGCCTTTGCACCCCACAAGCGCAGACACAGCCGTGCAGGGGATTCCGACGCCAGGGGGTTTAAGACGCGGCACGATTTCCGGAACCCCGCAAGTAGTGACACCACACCATCCCGGGGTTTGAGGTAAATTTCGCCATATTGCTGTGATGCTGCCAACGGTTTCTCTTCCGGGGGCCGCCAGGCCCGAAAAGGTCTAACGCTGGGTGAATGTAGTTCAGCACATAAGCTAGACCATGGTGACAGGTCCAGCTTGAAGCAAACAAGTCTCAGCTCCGGCTTTCAACGTGGGGTTTCCAACGCGTATTTCGATGTGGATGCAAGGAGTGAAATCCGTCACTCATGTGTCCTTGAACCAGAGGATTGTAGTAGCGTCCTGGCCATGGTTTCCTTGCATTCTATGCTGTTCCCGACCCGGTCCATGGTCCATGTCACACCGATACACCGATACTTCAGCAATTCAGTCACCACCCAAGACTCCCACGGTTGCTTTCGGCAGACTTTGTCCGTTGTGACCAGACAATCCCAGCTCCCTCCCAGCCCCTGGAATTAGAGATGTCATGATACCTAGTGCAACTGCAAGTCTGACAAGGCCCAAAAACTAAGTTAAATGGAGACGGAGACAGTTCTTTGTTTACGGGGCCTTAGCTCGTTCACGGGCAACCGATTCTGGAAGATCACATGCAAGGGAGCCAGCAAAAGAAAACATTAAACCCAATCAGTCACGACAAAGTGGCGATCATGGCACGGCCCCGGAAAAAGTGTGCGAGCAAAGATATGGTCGAACCCCACCCCTTCGTCTCAGTACAAATCGACGGGTCCTCTCAAATTTGGAAACGTGCATGCATGAGTCAAAGTTCACTTGTTCAACTTGGTAAACATTGGCGACTTCAAAGCAGGCATCAAATACATCAGACCACCTGCCATTGAGTAACCGAACCTCCTGTCTTGCCGGGATACCCTGACCTGCGTGGAAACAGCGTTGGCTTCTGGGAATTGTTCCACACTGGCTGAGACTGGCCTAGCTCTCCCCTCAATGCTACTCTAATCTACTACTTGTACAAGTGCTGGATCTCTGCGATGGGCCCACCCGCCGCCAGTGCCATCCCTAGTTCCCCGGCCGTGTTCTAGCACCACGGCCCCTGCCGCTCGGTCGATATCCCCTTGTCTGAACATGTCTCCCCGAGAGAGCACCTGGACCAGCCAAATGGTACACCACCTCCCTGCAATGGCTCATTTTCCACCTGTGTCCGTGGTCGTATTGCAGCCTGTATTGACAGGGAGATAGCGATGCTTGCAGCACTTGGGCTAGACCTGCCCGTGGAGATACTAAGACAGGGGATATGTACACCATCATGTTGCTGTTGGCTGCATCGAAGCGAATACCCTGCAATACAAAAAAAAAACCGGCTGCTTCAAAAACAATGTGGCATCCTGTCCCTGTTGCTGCTGTTGCGTCTTTGCCAACATTGTTGGGTCTGTGGCTCCCTGCCTGAATGCTCTCGATCCCCCCTTTCTTTTCTCATCTGCTGCCCGAGCACGTTTTCCTGCCTTCTCTTCCGTACCCCATCATACTACAACCTCTCCATCTATCTTATGGCAGCTATGAAGGCACGCAGTTCATCACCAACAGCCAAGCCGGCTGAGGGCGTGAGCCCTAGCCCTCCGTCTTCATCTTTGCACCGCCCGAGTATTTCCGAGAAGCCACCAGTGGTGGCTGCCACGACACAGCGAGGCTCCTCTGCAGTCGAAGATCCTACTGACGAGCCGAGACCGCATCTACACGCAAAGACCTTCTTGGCGGTGTTCGCCGTCTGCTTGATCTATTTCGTTCAGATCGTCAATGTCGTTGGTGCCGGTGCTGTAAGTGCTCATAGCCCTGTACTGTGACCTACATGTATGTTCGAGTCCGCCAGATGGGGCCATTCTAACATGTGCTTTCTTCTTCCTCCCGTCTCACAGCAAACCAACAGCATCGCCATCACACTCAAAGGCACGGCAAGCTCCGTATGGCTGTCCTCGCCGATCGCCATCGCCACCGCCATCCTCAGCCCTATTGTGTCACAGGCGGCTGACTACTGGGGTCGACGATGGTTTCTTGTCTTCCTCACCTTCCTCGGCGCCGTGGGCTCCATCATTGTCGCCCGTGCCACGTCGATGAACATGGCGATCGCCGGGTTCACCATCACTGGTCTGTCGTACGGCGCACAGCCGCTGCTCCACGCTGTCTCCTCCGAGGTCCTGCCCCGCCGGTACCGCTCGTGGGGCCAAGCCGCAGATCTGACCTCCATGGGCTGCGGTGGTATCGTGGCCCTCCTGGTCGGCGGCGCCTTCAGTCGCACCCCCAATGCTCCTTCGGAAGGGTTTCGCAACTTTTGGTACATGACAATGGCCTTGTTCGCCATAGCCTCGCTGCTCACCTTTCTTCTTTACCACCCTCCGCCTACTGCTCGGCAGCTGGACTTCACGTTCACTGAGAAGCTCGGCAAGCTAGATTGGATTGGCTACTTTTTGCTAACCACCGGCATCTTGCTTTTCTGCCTCGGCCTCTCCTGGTCTCAGAACCCCTTCCCATGGTCCGACCCTCGTGTCTCGGCCACGTTTGCCGTGGGGCTCTTCCTCTTGGCCCTTCTGGGTGTCTACGAGACCTTCTTCAAGAAGGACGGCATGTTTCATCACTCCCTGTTCCGCAACCGCAACTTCGCACTGTCCATGGTCTGCCTCTTCTGCGAGGGACTTGCCTTCTTCGCTGCCAACCAGTACTTTGCATTCCAGGTTGGTATGCTCTATGAGACAGATTCTCTGCGCGTTGGTGTCAGGTACATGGTCACTATGATCGTTTCCATCGTTGCTGCTCTGGCCGCTGGCCTTTACTGTGCCATCACCAAGAAAGCCCGCTGGATCACGGTTGTCTCGTTCCTGATCTTTGTCGCCTTCTTTGCCTGCATGGCCAACACGAATGAGAACAGTAGCAATGCTGTTTGGGGCTACCCTGTGCTTCTGGGTACAGCCATGGGGCTTGTGCTTTGCACCATTGTCACCCTGGCTCAGCTCTCTACCCCTCCGGAGCTCATTGCCATCACATCTGGAATGTCCATTGGCATTCGATCACTTGGTGGCTCTGTTGGCCTCGCAGTCTGTGAGTTGCTTCGAGTTGTCGATCATTTCTCCTAGACGCTAAGTGTCACGCAGATAATGCACTCTTCACTGATGCAATGGGTCATCTCGGTGACAACATTGCTAAGGCCGTCATGCCGCTTGGGCTTCCCTCGTCCTCCATTGGCCCTTTTATCGGTGCCTTGACCGCCCATGACAATGATGCGCTCTTCCATGTTCCTGGCGTCACTCAGCCGATCGTACAGGCCGGCGCTACCGCACTGCTTGGGACATATGTGAAGGGCTTCCAGCATGTCTGGGTCGCCGCGGCTTGTTTCGTGGCCGTCGCTACTATCAGTCAGTCTCAGTTGAAAGGATTGTCGAATCCTGCCCATCTTGCTAATTTTCTCCGCAGTTGCCATCTTCCTCACGGATCCCACCAAGGAATTCACGATGCATATCGATGCGCCGGTGGAGAAGGAAGAGGAGCTTTATGCTCACTAAAAGAGGAGCCACAAGTTGCTGCTGGTCACAGGCTCGCATTCTGACGATAAGAAAGCAGCTTTCTTCTACAGAAATAGTTATAGCAGCCCAATGAGTACGTAGGGTAGCCATTAGCGGTCCTGTAAGAGACCTTTCGGTCCTCGAGTGTAGAGGCGATTCTTTTGCGAGAAACACATAAACACATGATTGAGGAGTGTGGTGCTCTCCGCGCCGCTGTGTCTGTGATACAAAGCAGATATGTTTTCTGCCACACCGTTATTCATCCACCTCGCCAACTCCCGATTAACTCGGCAATTGGTCGCATCTGTCCAAGGGATGGTCAATGAATCCTTGATTTTTGCCAGAGCAGGCTGCATGCCCCGAGGACAGTCCAACGTACTGTGCAAACAGCCAGGGATCGTATAGCGATGTTGCATCCAGCTCCACAGACCACCTGTGGCCCCGTGTGGTTATCGCTCCGAGAGTACGGAGTACGGAGGCGCGCAGGGGTGGATTTGGAAGCTCTTGTGTTCAGCTATCCACAAAGTAGGTAGCTCAAGCGATGTTTGCACTGCAAGCCACATCACAAGCGATATGAGGGGCTACCCGCGGGCTACATCGGATTGAGCGAGATGCCTAATCAGTCATATTTTCAGTAGATGAGGGAAGAATCCCAGGGCTGGGATTTCACAGTGACCTTGCGGAATGGTGCCGAGCATCGGGCAGAGGAACACTTTTGCTCATCTGCTTGCTTGTTTCGGGCTTCTCAACACGAGACAGTATGCACAAGTCAGGTCAATGAGGTGTTCATCTCGAGAAATGCTGCGTGTGCTAGGTAGTACATGCTGCACTACCGGACTTCAATCGAAAAAGCAAGCCTGGAAAGCATTCCAGCGCCAACTTTGTGGGTGCCTCGGTGATCCTTCGAATGGGGGGAAGCAAGGGAGCATCTTTTCAGCCGTGACGACACCAACAGCCAGATCGTTGCTTTTTTCCCTGCCCCACCCAGACTAAATCAGACTTCCCGAGCTTGGGCAAGCTCTGTCCAAGAACGGTTGCGTACTCGGCTGGTGAATTTATGGGAAAGCTTGCAATGCTGAGACGGGAACTGTTCCATTGTGCTTTGTTCAAGCAAGCAAGGAAAGGGGGGATCAAAGAGTAACTACCTACGCCACAATGTTACTCACCGCAAAGGCCGTGCTTCCTCATCGTGTAGGGCCATCTACACGGTCGTGGCAACCTTGGGAAGACTCCTCGCCCTAAGCAGACTAAGTTTGATGTCAACCGTTGCCAAGTTTGGGGCCCATGACCAGAACCAGAACCTTTCTTTACAGACCTGTCCTAGACACCCTCCAACATGAACAAACGAGGTAATTGAAGGTCACACTAATGATGTGGCGGCGGCGGTTGACCCGCCTGTCGGCACTAAGCGCAACAGAGGTTAGGCATGTCTTGCTTCGACACGGTGATCACTTTTTGTGAACCTTTCCTTGCTTTTTCCCATTTGGCACTCCCGAAGTCCGACGCCGACGAGAACAAGGCCTTGTCCGTCTGCTGTGATGACATTTCGGAACATGTCCTTCCTGATTCCACGAGCTTGATTTGTCTGCTAGCAAGTTTGTACCCTGGCCGTCGACGTTTGAGTTCTGACCAGGTCCAGGGTGTGGTCCAGATGTCCCGATCTCCCAAGTATGTGACGACGCGATGGAGTGTGGCCAAGGAGGAAGGGCTGAGTGCGTGCCCTGACCCCCGTAGCCCGTAGGGGATGCTGGGTAGCATTCCAGGTCCCTGTCAAGCCCCCACAGCGGGAGCAAGGAGAACCGCCGGATCATTGATCGGCTGGAGCTACCCACACTCCCTACCTAGTGAGATAAACCTGTAGACCCTAGATCCCAGCCGCTGCACAGGAAGAGCAAACGTGATCCGAATGTGTCGGAGGATCCAGCGGTCCTTTGGACGTCGTATCCTCTAGCTCCCTTACAGCACCGGATGCTCATCCTGTTGCTATTTTCTACCCTTGTCCAGGGGAACAAACAACCAAGGTGATGAATGATAGCAAGTAGCCCTCCTTTCACACCCACACCCCCCCCCCCCCCCCCCCCCCCCCCCCCCCCCCCCCCCCCCCCCCCCCCCCCCCCCCCCCCCCCCCCCCCCCCCGGCCACCAGCCTGGCCTACCTCACTGGCCAACACAAGCTTCTTCTGCGTGACAGCCTGCGCCCCGAATTGTCAGTACCTGCGGGTATGCACCTGATGAGACGATCTCCCAGAAAGGCCCCGACAAAAAAGAACGCAGCTTAATCGGGGGTCCGAAACCAGCCTTTCGTGGGCGGATCTCTTTCGGTCCTCTCACTGCATATACATAGGTTGGATCCGCCGGCTGGCCATCGAATCACCTGTGGCAATCTTGCATGTCTCCTTTTGTTGAACCATTGACTTGAAGTTTGTGACCTCAACTCGACAGGAACTGTGAAGACGAGGCAAGATGTTTATCGCACCGCCAGCAGTGCGGGCGGTCATCACTGACTTCATCTTCACTGGACTCGCATTCATCTTCGTGCTCTTGCGGCTGGGTACGCGGGCATTCATGATCAAGAGTGTTGGCGCGGAGGATTATCTCATCCTTGGGGCAATGGTGAGTTCATACAGATATCTCTTTTGTCATTTGGCCCGAGGCGAGACATATCCGCCCTTCTTTACAGACCCTAGAATCTGGCGGACAAGATCTTCTGAGGACGATGCTGCACATCTGGATCTCTGGTGGGCATGATGAGGGCCGGGCTGACCCTGTCGTGACGGGCATATGAATACTCGAGATCTCGAGGACGAATCCATGATGATTGTCGATCACTACCTGGTCACGCGAAAACCTGGCTGACTCGAAACCTTCTTCCTTTACAGGCCTCGTCAATAGGATTTCTAGCTTGCGTGATGCTGCGTAGGTCGATCGAAATCAAGTAATGGTCTGAGCCATCTTGGACTAACATTGATTGACTGGTCAGAAATTGACCATGGACTTGGCCGCCCAGTTGCCTTCGAAGAAGTCCACCTGTTTCTCCAGGTATCTCGCTCTCCTATCCCTGGACCATGATTGTATGATCAGCGTGGCGAGTAGGAGTGCTAATTGGTCATTCCACCGATGCAGGCTCTCTGGATCACCGTCGCGATATACAACCTAGCTTTGATTCTCTGCAAACTGTCCATCGTCGTCCAGTGCTACCGCATCTTTCGAACATCAAAAGTCCAGAAGTTTCTCAGAGTCTACTTTGTCATCCTCGTCATATATGGGCTGTGGGCCTTCTTCAGCTCGATTTTCGTGTGTATACCTGTCGCCGCATACTGGGGCGCCACCATTGGCATCACGGGTCGATGCATGGACCGGAACGCCGTCACGTTCTCCAACGCCGCCCTCAACATTGTCAGCGACTTTGCCATTGTTGCTGTCCCCATAACGCTCTTGCGAAAATTACAAATACCGAGAAAACAAAAGTATATCCTGATGTGTGTCTTTGGCGTCGGCATCTTCGCATCTGTCACGTCCATTGTCCGACTTCACTCGCTGTACCTGATTGGCAGGACTCCGTTCGACAAGCAGTCAAGTAAAGCCTCAACGCCCCATCTCATGTTTCTGCAGGCCCATGTTGCTAACAAAGTCTCTCCCATTCAGTCGCTGGAGTCGACATCGCCATCTGGTCCTGCATCGAGGTCAATGTCGGCATCATGTGTGCTTCCGTCCCCGCTCTCAAGCCCATGGTCGCTCGCGTCTTCCCCAAGCTCCTCCTCTCCGACATCTACTCGCGCACCAAGCGCTACTACGGACACAGTGGCGGATCAGGGAACCATGGCGGCAGTCGCGGCCGCAAGGATCCACGGTCAGGTGGCGGAGGGACTGATGCCATATCCTCGAAGCAGCAGGAGGACAGCGGCGGCTCGACAAGCGCCAGCAAGGCCGAGATCAAGGTCATACAGTCGTTTGAGATGAAGAGCATTCCCGGGGGCACGAGCAAGGACAGCGCTAGTGGTGACGGCAAGGACAGCCGGGACGGCAGTGAGAATGGGCTGGTGAACAGCTCGTGGCAGGCGGATTGCTACACGACGATTGGGCATAACAACCGAATGGTTAAGGGTAGAGAACTGGTTTGATGAAGGGTCGAATATGTGTCACACCTCTATCCAGTATATGCTTTTCGTTCGTACCATGTAGTTTGAGCGAAATAAGACTCTTCGATCCCTCTCAAGGGTCGAAGGCTTTACACCCGGGTTCCCTCGGATTAGTCTGTGGAAAAGCCAAGCCATTGCCCTTTCTTTTTACCTCAGACGAACGAAGCGATAAAGATCAGATGAACCGAACTCAGGCTCTGGAATACCCAAGAATGGCAAGGGGGGAGAGCCAATCCCTCCCGGAATGCTTGTGAGATGGTAAACAACTGGAAGGGTTTTCCCCATCAGTGACCCTATCTTTCGTTGAGGTGCCTACTCTGTACTGCTGGTCATTCCAATGGGAGAGTCTTGGGGCTGGTTTTACAACGGTTGCTGGATATTGCGGGCGAGGTTCTGAACATCCAGTGTTTCAGACGCAGCTCGGTTTTGTTTTATTGGATCATCTCTGCTTGCACTATGACAGGGATAAGCGACGTTGCTACTAGCTACCTAGTCAAAGGTAGCAAGAAGTTTTGCCAGCTTGAGCTAACTCCTAAAAGCCTAATGCAATGACATAACTAGACGGGAGTACCCGTCGTGCCATATTGTATAATTGGCATTACCTCTGTACAATCGTTGTGGAAGATCATTGAGACGGTATCATGGAAACGTGCCAGCGGGTTCACCCGCCCTAAAGCTGTTTAGCGACCTTGGGATCATTTTAATACCTAAGCCCAGTAATGGCTCATCGTAACATACAGTTCTGACATGTGAACCTTACCATGAGATGCTGCTTGCTAATGAATTGCTGGAAGAAAAACTTAGTTTGGCGGTAGGTTACTCCATGCCAGGCCTCGGATTCTTTACCATGAGAATCTCGGTTCAAGACTCCCGGTCCAATCATATCACGGCGGACATACCTATCAGTTGAAAAGATCCGCTTACCTCCTTTAAGAAGGCGACAAGCAATCACTGACGATGAACAAGGCCACAATAAGACATTAGTAGGATGACGACGAACGCGTGAGAAATGTAACGTTGTACATCCACTACGTGGTAGTAAGCTACATAATACATGGATCCTTGCTGACCTTAGCTCAGCATTGACGCCGCATTCTAGCTTGACATGGCGATTTTTGATACGCATGGGCATCCACTCTACTGTACTGTCGGCACGGAAGTACGAGCTCGGATGGGGAGACAGATTTCCTAGAAAGACAAAAAAAGAGGTAGAGCTTTGACTTGTCTTGCCACAGACTTTATTGCTCCCCGATAGAATGAACCATACCATGTGCACATCCAACTGCTGTACTGGCCAGAATTAATGATGGCATACACTTCAGGGGAGCGGGAGCTTGCGTACATCCTACTGGTAGAATTGATTGCGTGAGTCCCTCGAGTGACAATTCGAGCTTTGGCCACTGTCTCTAATACCTATCCAGCCATCAGTTTTGCTATCCAGTACGATGGTAAGCCATAGTCGAGATCAAGCAAGAGGTAGGGCATAACTGACTATACCTGGCAGGATCGAGACACAAGATGTGATCCTCGCCGAAAGGCAGGTTGAGCGTCTGATCGAGATTGGTCCGAATAGCACCCTGACCAATATGGCGAAGCGCACGATCGAGTCAAAATATCAAGGCTCCGATATGGCATCTGGCATTCATCGGCAGCTACTAAGTACCAAGATGGACACTAAAGAGATCTTGTACGAATACGGTCCAGATTCCCGTGACCAACAGCTGGAGGCCACCAAAGATTCCAGTAACTTCCGGGAAAAGACTACTGCCAATGTTCCTGTTCTCCCCATGATCGCCGCACCTGTCTCAACAGCAACGCAGCAGCAGCAGCGGGGAGCAGTTCCGAGCGCCTCGGTCACGGTAGTTGAAGTGGTGAAGGTAATTATCGCGACGACTTTGAAGATCACCACTGCGAAGGTTTCGATGACTGAATCGATCAAAGATCTGGCTGCTGGTTTGTCTTCTTGACTTCAGCTCCTTCTAACCCATGGGCTTGCCAATCTAACCGAGCTCCGCAGGCAGGTCGACGCTTCAGAATGAGATGGTGGGTTACCTTGAAAAAGAGTTTGGTTCTCTACCACATGATGTGGAGAATATGAAACTGGGTGACCTCTGCTCCTTTCTCCAGCCAACCTTCCCTGGTCAGCTGGGTCAGCAATCTCAGTCGATTATCAACCGGATGGTCGCCGTCAAGTTCCCCGGCACTTGGACTTTACGGTCTGTGAGAAAAGACTTGGAGGCAAAATGGGGGCTTGTCAGTGATCGGCAAGACTCAGTTCTTCTCGCTGCCGCGGCCATGCAACCAATATCGAGATTTGCTTCGGAAGCAGAAACCACCACGTTCATCGAGAACGTAGTTTCCACATATATGGAAAATGCAGGCATTAGTCCGATACAGACAGTTGCAAGCAATCGGGTGCAAGACGCAGCCTTAGATACTGCCGTGCTGGCTAGAGTACGCGAGGACCAGGATGCTCTAAATACACGAGTTATGAACGTGTACACAAGCCATCTGCAGCCAGCTTCCGATGCAGACCAACTTTTGAACGAAACGCTGACAAACAACATCACCTCTTTACAATCACAGCTCGAATCATGGGTGGAGGAACATGGGGAAAGCTATGGGGATGGCATAGTGTCGAAGTTTGATGCTAAGAAGGCGAGGTCATATGATTCGAGCTGGAACTGGGGGATGCAGGCCCTTCTCTCGGGCTTCTATTCCATCATCAACAACTCTCCCGAAATCAAAAATGACGACCTGGTGCAACGGAGCTTTCGTATAAGGAACCAATGCAGCATTCGAATGTTGGAGGCAATGAAGGACTTGAAGAGGAGAGCACAGAAGACAGGCCAGACTCATCCGGATTTGAGAGAGCGTTGCGATACAGCGGTACGGTGGCTGGAAACCCTTTCCCAGATGTGCATCAAGGATCTCCAGTGCGTACCCGTTTATTACGGCATGGCGCACATAACCGCCCCAAAGACGTTGGTTGATGATTGGGGCGATATCAAATACTTCGAAATTCCGAGATCCAAAGCACCATCTAGCACATCGACCAACCTGATCCCGACTGATGGTGTGTCCGCGTCGCAAGCCATTATTGAAAGCATCTGGCAACATACTGTTCCATACGATCCGAGTCCGAATTCACACATTCGCATCAAGAAGAAAGGGAAACATGGCTGGGAAGTCAACGACAAGCTCACTCAAGAGTTCTACAACTCTTTGCGTCTCAGTGTCACGCATGGGATATCCTTTTATGACAAGTGCGTTTTGATCACTGGCGCCAGTAAGACATCGATCGGGCTCGATATTCTCAAAGGTGTACTCAACGGAGGTGCCAAGGTCATAGTAACAACACGCTCCTACTCGGCAGCAACGGCTCGCTTCTATCAACAGCTTTACATGAAGAACGGTGCCAGAGGATCTCGGTTGGTCTTCGTGCCTTTCAACCAGGGCAGTAAGCGGGACGTTGACTCGCTCATTTCCTACATTTACGACACCTCTAAAGGCCTCGGCTGGGACTTGGATTACATCGTGCCATTCGCGGCCATCTCAGAGAATGGCCGTGACATCAGCAATATCGACTCGGTTTCGGAATTAGCACATCGCGTGATGCTCACAAACATCGTGCGTACACTGGGCGAGGTGCGGACGCAGAAAAGGAGCCGCGGTATCAATACAAGACCTGCGCAAGTCATTCTTCCTCTCTCTCCCAATGACGGCATTTTCGGTAACGACGGTCTGTACTCCGAATCTAAGCTGGCCTTGCAGTCTCTTCTCAACAAGTGGCGCTCCGAGGATTGGGGAGACCATATATCCATATGTGGAGCTTCTATCGGATGGACTCGAGGGACAGGACTAATGTCGTCCAATGACATCGTGGCCGAAGGAATCGAGGAATTCGGCGTGCGAACGTTCTCGCAGGAGGAGATGGCCGCTCATATCCTGGGACTCATGTCCCCCACCATGGTCTCGGTCTGTCAGGAGGAACCGATAATAGCAGACCTTATGGGAGGCATGGATAGAGTCGAGGAATTTGGCGCCACTGTCTCTAAAATTCGTGCAGAGTTGATGGCCACCTCTGAAATACGTCGAGCGATCCACCAAGACAAGGAATTGGACCTTCAAGTCGCCAATAGCCGGCCTCGACTCAACGAGAAAGAACTTGTGCCAGCGCAAATTCAACGCAGAATGAATATCCCTCTGGGATTTCCAAAGCTTCTAGAGTATGAGACTGGAATTGCCCCCTTTCATGAGACATTGGCTGGGATGGTCGATCTCGAGCGAGTCGTGGTCGTTGTGGGTTTCTCTGAACTGGGGCCTCAGGGCAGCTCCAGAACGAGATGGGAAGTCGAAACGGAGGGACAATTCAGTCTCCAAGGCTGTATCGAGATTGCTTGGATGATGGGCCTGATCAAACACCACGATGGACCGATAGCGGGCAAGGGCTACTACGACGGATGGGTTGATGCCAAGACGGGGGTTCTCGTCGCCGATGAGGAAATCAAGACCCGTTATGAGAGCCATATTCTGGCACACACAGGCATTCGCTTGGTGGAGGTGAACTCTGAAGGGAGCGATGATGCGACGAAGAGGCCATATCTGCATGAAGTCCACATCCACCAAGATCTTGAACCGTTCGAGGCACCACGCGAAACTGCAATACATCTGAAGTTGCATCATGGCGATAAAGCCCATATCGCAGAAATTGGAGACTCTGGGCAGTTCCACGTCCAGATCAAGAAGGGGGCCACACTTCTCCTGCCAAAGGCCACCGACATTGGGCGCCGAGTCGCAGGCCAAGTGCCTACGGGCTGGGATCCACGCACATATGGCATATCTGAAGAGATAACATCGCAGGTGGACAGACTCACTCTGTATAACTTGGTCTGCACAGCAGAAGCGTTCCTCAGTGCCGGTGTTACGGACCCGTACGAGTTCTATCAGTACATTCACACATCGGATATCGGTATCTGTATTGGATCCAGTATTGGCGGTGTGTCATCGCTGACCGACATGCTCAAGAATCGACTACTAGATAAGCCAGTGCAGAGCGACGTCCTCCAAGAAACCTATGTGAACACAGCAAGCGCTTGGGTCAACATGTTACTTTTGTCCGCGAACGGCCCGATAAAAACACCAGTTGGTGCTTGTGCTACTGCTCTAGAAGCGTTGGACACCGGCTACGAGCTCATTGTCAGCGGGAAGGCCAAAGTATGCGTCGTGGGTGGACTTGATGATCTGCAAGACGATATGTCCTTCGAATTTGCCAATATGAAAGCCACCATCGACCCCGAAACTGACTTCAACAGGGGTCGCGAGCCCGCAGAAATGTCACGGCCAGCGACTACATCTAGGGATGGTTTCGTAGAGGCTCAGGGTTGCGGCTTGCAAGTTTTGACCAGTGCCAAGCTTGCCCTGGAAATGGGTCTTCCCATCTACGGAGTTGTTACCTTGACTCATATAGCAGGTGACAAGATCGGCCGGTCTGTTCCGGCCCCCGGTGCCGGACTGCTCTCCGTTGCACGCGAAGAACGCTCTGCACTGCCTCCAGCCTTACTTGACCCTCAGTATCGCAGGCAGCTTCGAGACCATCGATTAAGCCAGATCAAAGAGGACCAGGAGTTCAAGTTGGCATTGCTGCGGAAACAGCTGACCATGGACTCCTTCGAGATGCCCAAGGAGGCTGTGGTGGAATACTCACGCGAGAGAATCAGCTGCATCCAGTCTGAGGCCGAGGTGCAGAGAAGAGAAGCCTTGTACAGCTATGGCAATCACTTTTGGAAAGGGGAGACGCGTATCTCCCCGCTGCGAGGCGCTCTTGCCACGTGGGGGTTAACAATTGATGATCTTGATGTGGCCTCATTTCATGGAACTTCAACAGCAATAGGCGACAAGAACGAGATCAAAGTCTTTCAGCAGCAGCTCTGCCATCTGGGACGCACAAAGGGTGTTCCTGTGATGGGCGTCTTCCAGAAGCATCTTACCGGCCACTCAAAGGGCGCGGCAGGAGCATGGATGCTGAATGGCTGCTTGCAGATCCTTAACGACGGCCTCGTACCCGGGAACCGTAACGCTGATAATATCGACGAAGACTTTGAGGGATTTGATCATATCACTTTCCCCAACAGAAGCATCCAGACGGAGTGTGTCAAGGCTTTCTCCATCACATCGTTTGGCTTTGGGCAGAAGGGTGCGCAGGCGATTGGTGTCCATCCGAGATACCTATTCGCAACTCTGGGTAAGGAAAGCTACCAGGGCTATCAGAAAAGAGTTGCCCACCGGATCAAGCGCGCGCGTGCCCATTTCCATGGTGCTTTGATCTACAACCGACTGTTCGTGGCTAAGGAAAGGCCGCCGTACGCGCCCGAGCAGGAGACAGCTGCGATACTGAACCCGTTGGCTCGTTTCACCTAGGCACGGCCACATTCTGGCTTCAGATCTGAATATATTCGCTGTACCACTCGTGCACTCGTTGCGTCATGCGTTCTTTTATGCGTTCATTGGCCCTGACCATACGTATTTGAAAGTCTGCAGGTATACTAACAATCTGGAAATTGACACGTTTGTCCTTACAGTATGGATGGATATTTCTGGTAGGCTGAAAGCACGATAAGCAGCTCAATTCGAGGTGAACAACTTCATCTGCTCTTGACCAGTAGCTGCTTTCCCACTGAAACAACATTCCAAGACACTGGCCCTCATTTCTGTACCCCGTATGAATTCACCGACGCCCTCTCCATGACCTGTTTCAAATAATTCTCGAATTTGAGCCATGTCGATGGTCGCATATCACCTGTCAACCACATATTGCCTTTTGCATCTCTTCCCTCAACACCAAACACGGTGGGCGAGAACCTGCTGGATCCCAGTGCTTGCAGCTGCCAGTACGCAGGGTGCCCCGGCTTCGCACCGCTTTCTGCGGATGCCTTCTCGCTGGCTGGTGTAGCAACGGCGGCACTGAAATCTACGATGTCCAGGAACTTTGCCTTGCTCCAGTTTGACACAACAGCCACCACACTACTTAGGTCGCCGAACATGACGGCGTTTCCCGTCTTTTCAAGGCTTTCCCGGTTGAGACGGCATAATCCAATCACCTGATCCAGGTCCATTTGCGCGATTAGATCATTGCGGTACTTCAACGCTAGCTGTCCAAGCGGCGTCTGTAAGATCTCCGTCGACGAGCCAAATGAGTAGGCTCCGACAGCTGCGTTCTGAACGTAGGCGGCGTCCTGGTGGAAGACAGTCGGTGCGCGACTCCTGGAGTCCACGCCAAGCATCGTCGTGACCGATCTATCAGATAAAGGGGCCCACTCCTCGCAAGCCATCCGCGACGCCAACGCCGTGATGATGTCGCCGTCACTGATGAACGGCACAGTGCCGCCATCTTGGCCGGCGTTCTTGCTCAAGTCATCCTTCGCGGCTTTACGCAGAGCCATCACGAGCTCGTCTGGGAGACAAATACTCCGACTCTCGGGCGGAGTAGACCACAAAGACTCGAGCATGAACCGGAAGCCCCAGATGCCCAAACGCCATCCCGAAAGCTGCCGGTCGGCAAGCATGTACGGGGTCCTTGGTGCGGGTGCATTGTAAAGCTGGGCCATTGGATCGTCACGGAATCCCATATATGGAGGTATCTTGTCCTTCTTGCCAGACAAAGCGAGACTCCACGCGCTGACCCACGATGCAAAGCCCATGATGTCGCAGATGGTGTGCAGGAAGACGAGGGATACGAGGGTGCCATCTATGAAGTTGACCACCCGGAGGGCGATCTGCGGCTCGTCATCTTTCAGGTAGTCTTCAAACTTGTCGGGCGCACCAGGTGCGACACCGAAGGACTTGAAGTGTCGGGGGCTCGGATGAGTTTCCAGCTTGCCCGTCGGTCTGGGTAATTGGGACGCCAACGGGTGTGCGGACATAGGCATGTCTTCTTTGGCGTGAGAGTATCTAAGTGGAGGTCTTTGGGCAGTAAATTGCCGGGGAATGTGGATTTCGAGCTTCCCAGACGCCTAACCGCTCTACGTCAGTTCTCCAAAGATCATTCCAGTCAATTGAAGGTGCAGAACGCCTACCGTTTTGTGCAGCCGACCTCCCAACTTCCTCCAGCCATCCATCTCGAACACCTCCCATAGTGCATCTTTCAATTTGTCGGCATCAAGCACCTCGTCGAATCGCAAAGTCCATATCACGCAGGTGTTGCGGTATCCCGCGAGATCATCAAGCAGGTGTAGTGGCACGACCTCATCCGTCTCATCCACCTTGGACGGCTGCGCCCTGGGGCCCCCTCCGAAGAGACCCTTGAGGAATTCTGCCATTGAGATGTCAATAGAACGGGTATGCGTACCGGACTAGGCCACGACGTAAGTCTTCTCTCGCTATGTGTTGTCAAGACCACAGCTTATTCGGCATTGACAATTCTATTCTCTGCGTACTCTTCTTATTGGCAGAATCCGCACCTCTATCACCCCATCCAGTCCAGCACTGAGTGATACGTGATAATTGCGACTTGCGCACAAAGGATATCTTTACGAAGCAAGGATCAACACACTGATCTCACATAGGTCGCCCATCGCTGTGCTCTGCGATACTGCAATGCTACGTAGTATTACCTCTTGGGACCCCACCATCTCTATCTCTGGTCAGCAAAGTGGGTAGTCTCAACGTCGGAGGCGTAGAAGCACCTCGGGCTGGTCTCATTGAATGGGGAAAACCCGTTGCAATAGCGTTGTATGAACTCCAAAACTACCAAGCACATGCATTCAGGCTCCTCCGCACCACATGCTGACGACCTTGGCTTCGAATGGACGCCACATAGGTGCGTAAGCGCCGGCCAGGTGTTTTTCATGACTGAATCCATCAACAGCACCAACAGGCTCTACTTGACAGGCGCGCCCGAACCTCGAAATCCAGTGTGCGTGTTAAGACTAGACGCTTTACGCCTTGTCATATCGTCCATCAGTCGACTCTGCCAAGACGTGGCTGTACTGGGGTTCGGCAGGGACCTGTAAAGGGTCCATGTCCAGATAGGTAACAGGAGTAGGGGGTGCTTCGACAAGATGATATCGCTCCGAAATCTTGCCTTCCAGGCCGTCCTTCGCGCCATCTGTCATAGAGTACGATCAACGTCTGGCATCACCATATCAACAAGTATGAAGGGACACTTACGGACGAATATAGAGATGAGATCTATCGCTACGGGTGCCCACGTGGCGAGAGCGAAGATCTGCCCGAAACTCCATTGGTTGTCTTGGTTCGTTGAACCCATCCGGCGTCCGAAGTAGAGGCGGTAAGCATTGAAGAGCCCTAGCATTGTCCACATGACAGCAAAGCAGAGAAACCCATTGAGGACCTTGACAGATCGGTCCAGAATGTGCCATGCTCTATGTTTTGATACTCTCCTATTGACCCATGAACGGATCGCAACCGGAGCTACCCGGTAGAGCCACCAGAGCAGATTCAGCACTAGGAGGATTTCGGCGAAAAAGAGCGCGAAGTCTAGTGCCCCTCTGAGATCTTCTGGATCGCAATGAAGTTGCCAGAAGACGTCCGTTGTGGCCGAGTCTCGATCAAGCAGGTTTAGGACCTGCTTTACACTGGTCCCGAGATTCAGGTATAGCGCCGAGACGGTGATCGCAAGAACAGTGATTACAGCCCACATGATAACTCTGGTCTTCCGCCTCCGTAATTCTGTGGCGACCATCTGAAGAAGTAGAGGAGGGAAGATGGCAAAGACTGCCAGATAGCTCGAATTTTCAAGGCCGTAGATGGAGTGAGTCTTGTCCGGGTGAATCCTTGACGAGCCGTGGCGATAGCATGATGCAACGAGCATGGCGATTGCAAAGAGCTGGCCGGCGTCGATGAATCCGTGCAGTGATTCTCGAAATGCAACGGTAATCTTGGTCAAGAGGCGCCGTAATGGCGAATTTCCGGAAATGCTCCTGTACCTTTCCAATGCCAGGACAAGGAAGTAGAGCGTGGAGAAGATAGCGGCGAGGTAGTAAACGGCCATTACCTATACGTCGGGGAATATTAGACTCTTGCACCAGACAGTAAGAGCGAGGTGATCAAGTGGCGCATTTACTTACCCCGTTGCCCGCCAGATCAGGGTCGCCGCTCCAGCGAAGTTGCTTGCAAAGTTCTGTTGGACATTCGAAGAGTGGAAATTGGTACAACTTACGCCAAACGGTGGTATTCACATCCAGGTCGTTATACCACGCCACCGCTTGGCCGAAGTCGGGTTCTGTGATGTTCGAAGGCATCACAGACCTAACGTATTGGTAGGTGGCCACCACAGGGGCATCGTGCTCCGCCGTGTCACGGTATCTCTGGTCAACGAATGCTGCCAGCCAATATGCTCCTGCTGTGCAGTTCGTGAACACTAGCCAGTCTTCGGGCGGCGCCACCCAGGGGTCATTCGACATGATGATATCAGTTCAACGCTGAAGATTCGATGGTTTCCTTTTGGAATCGTTGGGGGGCAGAATCTTTCAGAGTTTGAATCCCCTGAGAACTGTGAAATGCTGCCATCGGGCGGCCATTGTCAATTTCTATTCACTCGTCCCCGTGTAAACTGTCGGCGCCGTTCCGTTCCGCCCCCAACGCTGCTCGCAGCTGAGGCCAGTAGAATGCTTGAGCCAATCCAGGGCCCAGTCAGCTATACTTAGTGCTTATCTAAGATGGACCAAAGCCCGGCATTGAGGCTGACACGGTGAGTGGCTGTGGCCATGTTAAAGGAATCATTCCCGCATTGACACGCGAAATGAGAGGGAGAGCTAACGACGAGATACATCCTTGTCGTAAGAACTTAGAGGCTTAGGCTTTCCAGAATAACTATACTAGAGCTGCTGCATCCCGCCTGGGAGCCACAATTTCAGGGCTGTTTGCGGACACTAGCTAGGGGGTAACTAGTCCTTACGGACGTACGAAGCAGTCTAACATCTTTTCTTTCTCTGCTAGTCTCATAGCCGAGTATCATTCGGGGACATCCGGGGATCATCCTTTGATTCCATCTCTACCAGGCGTGTGCATCAAATTGCCCGTGGTCCACCTTGAACTGTACGGCAGTTGAAACAGATAAAAAGGTGTCTGCCGGTGCTTGAGAGTGCCAAGTTGGAGTGGGTCCAGCCAGGCCGTGATCACGAGGTTTCTGGAGGTTTTAATTCGCAGCTTGTTCTTGATCAAATTCTTGCTTGAAGTCCGAACGAAAGCCTGCACACACGCATCACGCAACGAGTGAATTGGCGCCTGGTTAGCACGACAATATGGTGTTAGATACAGAGATGAGGTACTTGCGGCGGTGTCTGGAGCTCGCCCGTGAGGCGCTCGACGCAGGGGATGCCCCCTTTGGGTCGGTGCTGGTGGACAGCACCGGCAGGATCCTCAAGGAAGATCGCAACCGAGTCCAAACCGGCAGGGATCTCACGCTACACCCAGAGTTCACGTTAGCTCAGTGGGCCTCTCAGCACCTGTCTCCCGAAGAGCGTGCCGCGGCAACGATCTACACCTCAGGGGAGCATTGCCCAATGTGTTCGACTCTCCACGCATACGCGGGCTTGGGCAGGATCGTTTACGTCGCCAGTGCCCAGCAGTTTGTTCAGTGGAGGGCTGAGTTTGGCGGTCGGCCGTCTTCTGTGCACATGCGTCCTATCAACGACATTGCGCCCGGCGTTCTTGTGGAAGGCCCAGTGCCGCAGCTGGAAGATGCCATCCGTGAGCTTCATAGGCTCAAAGCCGTGCGCACCGCAGCCAAGTAGCTCTGGCTTGGGTACATATTCTAGGTCAGATTTCGCGCCGAGGATCGTGATATAAGAATGGTGCGAGGAAAGCCGATGATCAATTGAGAGAGAACATTGGTCAAATGCTATTATGTTAAGCAAGATTCCCCGGTGTACGATCACCTGCGGAACGCACGAGATTTCATGTACTATCTATGCTTTTCCCAGGCACTGATAATGATCATGACAACTCTCAAGATACGAGTTGCACCTTGTAGTTACAGACTACATGTTACCCTCTGAGTCACAGTAACAATTGAGTTTAGCGTCGAAGATGGGGGCCAATCGTCCCTCTTCTTTCGTGACGATCCATTCGCCTCGGCGTGAAACGTGCCATGTCCTACTCCAGCTGTTCATCCATTCTACAGCAAAGGACAGTCAAAGGCCAGTCACCATGGTCTCACATGCGCCCGGCAGTGCGTGCTGCCTCGCCCCCTATCTGCACAAGTAAGCCGAGGCACAGGGAAATTTGTGCGCTATCTAATTGATGCTAGGGGATCTCCACGAGGTGAGATGATCACGCTCAAGGATGGCAAGACTACGGCATACTTTGCCACCCCTCCTGTAGACGCTGCCAACAACGAAAAGTCCAGGTGTGGCATAGTCTATCTCAGCAATGTCTTTGGCATCTTTCAAAACAGCAAGCTGATGGCCGACTGCTTTGCCGATGCGGGCTACACTACAATCATTCCAGACATGTTCAACGGCGACCAAATCCCCGATAAACCCATCGACTTTGACATTATAGAATGGCTTCGTCACGGTAGCGACGGAAGGAACCCCCACACAGAGGAGTATGTAGACCCTGTGGTGGTCTCGGCTATCAGAACTCTCAGAGATCAAGGCATTGAGAGAGTTGGCAGCGCTGGATACTGTTTTGGTGCCAAGGTAAGAATTGCATCAGTAAAGACATCGATATGCGGAGGCTCACTTGCTCACCGAATAGTACACGATCCGATACCTCCGCTCCGGTATCGATGCTGGGTATGTGGCGCATCCTTCCTGGGTCACTGAAGCTGAGCTTGCCGCCATCGCTGGCCCTTTGGCCATCTCGGCAGCCGAGGACGACGAATACTTCCCGTGTGATATGCGTCACAAATCTGAGGCAATTTTGGCGCATACAGGGTTACCCTACCAAATTACTCTTTTCCAGGGGGTAGAGCACGGTTTTGCGGTTCGCGGTGATATGACCAACAAGACGATCAAATTCGCAAGGGAACAAGCCTTTCTTCAAGCTGTTACTTGGTTCAACGAGCATCTCTATGTAAGGGCCCTTTGAGAAGAACAGTTAGAAGACTACACCGGCGTAGAAATCGTGTTTCAGTTTGAATTGCAGTCGCAACCTTGAATGGTCATAGAATTTCATGTACACAAAATCAGGAGGATTTCCATCCAGCTCATAAGGCACCGTCGTCCTGCTATGGTTTTTGGCCCACGCCAACGACACCACTCGGAGATACCCAGCCTCGTCGCCACATACAGACACACACATATCTCCACCTAAAACCGTCCGCGGTGCAGGAACTTGTTGGGGATGTCAACATATTTGGCCCGCAGGAACTCGCACACGTTCTTGCCCAGGGTGTCGTACTCGCTCGTGGAGTTAAACCCGCGGTCGAGGTGATCCCGCAGCAGGAAATGCACGGCCCGGATGCCCGGCATCTCGAACCGCTCAATCTTCTTGCCCTTGTTGCTCCTATCTAGAAGCTGTCCAATCTTCTCGACGGTCAGCAGGCTGCGCAGCCAGTCGTACTCGTCGTCGTGGCGTACGTAGAAGCCCACGTTGGCGTCAGACGCCTTGTCACCCGAGCGGCCGCCGACCACCCAGCCCAGCGGTCCGCGGGTGGTCGGGCCGAACGAGTCGAGGTCGGCCGGGTCGGTCGTGTTGTAAGATTTCTGGTCGCGCGGGTAGTCTGGCTTTGTGCCGTTCTGGACGGGGATGGAGATGGAGTCGCCAGACCACAACAGCTTGGCCTCGTGTTTGACCTCAGACTGCGGCAGCAGCGAGACAAAGTACTCGTAGAAGGGTTTGCCTTCAGACTGCCTCTGGTCATTGCCCAGCGAGGCGCCTGGCGCCGACTGGAGGAAGTTCTCCATACACCAGCGGTTCAGGCCGGGCACGTCGAGTGTGAACTTGTCGAGCAGCTTGCGGTTCTTTGTCTGGACAAAGATGCGGAAGTCGACAGTAGCAGCCTCGATGTCACGCGGGTTCTCGGGCGATGAGCCGTTGATGGTGAATTTCAGGCAGGACAGCTGGTTGACGTCCTTGCCAATCGAGTAGCGGATCTGCTTCTCAGTCCACTCGGCCTTGGCCTCGATGTCCAAGCCAACAAAGTAGTAGTGGAACTCGGCCTGCCAACCGCCGAACGCGGTGATGCCGACTTTCGTCGTCGATGGGGCGGGAAGGCCTTTGATGCCGCGGACGAGGACGCGATCCTTCTCGAGCTGCTCCATGACGACGCCCTCGAGCTTGGCAGTGACGTCGGAGCCGTAGTACAGCGGGCCCTGGATCTCGTAGAGCAGCTGGGACTCAACAGTGCCGACCGACACCTCGCCGTCGGTGCCGGGCTCCTTGGTGATGACAGTGGTGCCGTCAGGATTGACTTCGGCGATGGGGAAGCCGAGGTTCTCGCAGTTCTCGATGAGGCGCTTGAAGCCCGAGTAGTAGCCGCCGGTGACGTAGGCGGAGCACTCGATCAGGTGGCCAGCGACGAGGGAGCCGGCGATCTGGTCTAGGTCTTGCTCACGGTCCCAGTTGTGCCACCACATGGAGGCACCGATAGTCGGGGCAGCATCGGCGACACGGCCACAGATGACGATGTCGGCTCCTTGCCTCAAGGCCTCGGCGATGCCAGCACCGCCGAGGTAACATCTGCACGAGGCAGAAGTCAGTCTACAGTCCATCTCGTGTCGATCTACATGTTCAAGGCTTACTGCGCAGCAACAACCTCGTGCCCCCACTCCGATAGCGTCTGGCCCTGCATCAGTCCGACGAACTGGGTGCCTTCTCTGTGAAGTCTCTTGACCGTCTCAGTCACATCGTCGCCCGCTACCCACGCGACCTTGAGCGACAGATTCTGCGCCTTGACTTCCTCCTCCACAAGCCGCGCCAGCATCTCGGTGTCGCTGGCGCCCGCGTTGACGGCAAGCTTGATGCCCTTGGACTGCATGTGCGGCAGGGCAGGCTGGAGGTTCTCCATGAAGGTCGGGTCGAAGAGCCCTGCGGTGTCCCTGGACAGCTTGCCCTCGGCCCTGAGCTTCTCGTTCTCGACCTTTTGCGCGCCGTGCAGCGTCATGGTGCATTCGGACAGCCAGTCGCCGATGATGCAGTCGACGTCGCAGTTCTTGGCGATGTCGCCGATGGCGCGCTGGCGGTCTGAGAAGCCGCCGGAGCAGCCAGCGATGCGGATGGCTCGCTTTACAGAAGGCATTTTAGGCCTGATTAGCTGCTGTCAATGTTCAAGGTGTGGAAAGGGGTGGTCGAGAGAAGCTTTGGAAATCAGCTTCGAAGAGAGTCGACAACACACGCACGAACATTAAACTAATGCCATCGATCATTTCGCGCAACTTAGATGAAGTGCGGGTAGATCTCCTTATACTCTCCTTCATCATCCCCTCCCACTCTGCTATCTGCACCCTCCGCATCCCGGAACTCTACTTCCCTTCGAAAGCATGCAAGTGTGTGGAGGGATGTTGGGCCACCCGAGCATCCGAGACCCCGAATGCCCACATGACTTGGCATCTTTCCCCGCAAACAGTGTCAAAGCATGTCCGGAAAAGCACAACCAGCACAACCACCATTGAGCCTCAGACAAGAAACTGCGCTTATGCAGACTTAGTCACAATAGCTCCCGCATCTAGTGGAAGGGAAGTGCACTGATAGAATGAACCCGAGTTTGTGGGGGAATGGACATTACTCATCGCCGACTGCTGAATGCAGAACACAGAGGATTAGAATTCCTCTGCATATCAAGGACAACTAGCCGGGGACCTTTTCAACAATCAGACCAAGTAGTGCAGAGTAATACAGACTGGTCGTCATGATCCAGGCAATGTTGGATGAGTTGAGATCCCCTTTCTCTCCATCATACCAGCCATTCTCCGGATACCCTGGGCGACAAACGGGATGTGGGCCCAATTGCGGAGCAAATCGAGAGCGCTGTGCATGTGTGTCTCTTCGTGCGTCTCTGGGATAAACGACAGGGCTGGTGATTTGTGTGTAATGATGAGTGTCGCAATGAAGACAAAGATGCTGGGTCATGTTAGTGTGCCCTTGTGGCTGTTTTGTTCACCCCTGTCTTCACGCCGGCTACCCTGGAGGCGGGGCAGCTTGCCCAGAACAGAAGAGAGGAGAGGATCGATGGAGAGACAGATTTATGCAACTCACGTCCAGATAGATATATGCGTCCCGAGTTTCCACCCTAGAAGTTGCTCTTCCGCAACCTCGATGTAGAGGACGCAGAAGCTGAAGCACTCTTGTGCCTCTTGTTTCGCCATGGCAATCTCTTCCGATTGCTCGATATCAGTGCCGTACGTCTCGAGCACACGCAGCACCGACGCCCACTCGAGGGCGACGATCAGGATGATGTACTGCATCCGGAGAAAGGACTTTCGGGCGTCAAAGAGCGGAGTATTGTCCACGGGGAAGCGGACTGCCGTCGGCAAGTGGATGTACCACTCGTGAGCCTGCTTCCTCAGCTCGGCCGTCAAGATCGGGGCGTATATCAGTTGACCAGCTATGCAATACGCAGACCATCAGTCTTGCTGGAAAGCCTCATCTATGGTCTGGAAGCAAACGGTGCCTTACCTTTGTAGCCAACAGTGTCAAGCGACGTCGTGATCAGCTTTCGCAGACTGATCTGGGCGAGAAAGTAATAAAACCCTGTGTCCTCGTTCTCGAAGCGTGGCAGTGGTACTACATCTTGGAAGTTGCGATGACCGATTGAGTGCATCTTCATGGTAACTTCCAACTCGCTGCAAAAGTTTTGGACGCATTAGCCATATACGTCCCTTTGAATCACGGGGATGTAACGATCAGACGTACTCGGTCATAATCGAGCAGGCCCAGAACGCCCGATGCCACTGCTCCTGCCTCGACTGCCCGAGATGCCTGTACATCCTGGACATGAGGACGTGCATGCAGTCCCTCGTCGCCTGCGTGATGCAGTTCCATGACAGCAAGGGCCGTATCGACAGGCGGAAATACGCGGCCTGCAATATCCGGCAGTGTAGCGCAGTCAAGTTGCCCATGAGAAAGGTCAGACGCTCGAGCAGGCGGGTGCCGTGCGCAAAGTAGTCTATCCCGGGCAGCCTGTCCGACTTGAGATCAGCGTGGTTGTGGGCTAGCGACCCAACGGCTAGGATGAGGAGGGCAAGACAGCTGTTGGGATTGGTCGCCGTGAAATCGTCCGCACACGCTTGATTGATGATGGAGCTGACTAGTGTCGGCTCGAAGATGGGCATCCACCCCAGAAAGTTCTCTACGAAGCTCTGCTGCAGCAGGCGCGTAGTGCGCTTCGAGACATCCGGGAACGTGGCGAGACATTCGATGAACTGGGCGTTGAAGTACTCGCCGGAGTCGATCTCGAGGTCATAAAAGTCCGAGACGTCGTCCCAGCTCTCGGCGGAGAGATAGGGTGGGGCACGGAAGAGCAGCAGGCTGGGACGGGCCGTGTTGGCCTCGGAGCGCGTCTGCCGCCAGACGGTATAACCCGGGCGAGGCGTCACGCTCGAGGTTGACTCGCGCCTGGCCGGGAAGTTGGCCGAGCTCCGGGGAGCGGACTCGAAGTGGATGCGCGGGCTGACGAGCGGCACCGAGGGCAAGTGACTGGAGGTGGCGTGGGAGACGGGTGAGGTGGCATTGTCAAAGACAGCGGTGCCTGCGGGTGTTCCTCCTGGGCCGAGGCGGCAGGCCTCGAGATGGACGAGGTTGGATTCAAGAGCAGCAAGACGTTGCTCAATATCCGAGAGCCGGCCGACTCGGACGCCGTTGGAAATGCTGTCTGGCGGGTTGGTCAGTGGCGCTGGGCCCAGAGGTGCCGGGGCCGATGCCGGTGGTGGGACGGATGAGCAGGCTTCTGGCTGGGATGGCGGTGTGTTGCCAGAGTCCCGGTACTGGCATTCGATGCCAAGGTTGGCACAGAAGCCACAGGTAGGTCGAACGGCATCGCACTTCTGTGAGGCGGAGGAACCCCCGGTCAGTAGCTGGCATCATCCGACTGAGTGTTTGGCGATTGACGGCGGCCATTGAGCCATGGCAGACAAGGACGTGCGCTTACCGTCTTTCTGAATCTGCATAGGTTGCACTAAGACTGGGTGTCAGCATGTATCCCATTTTCCGGTCGGTTGGCCGATGACTGTGCACTGCGGACGTCCTGCTTTTCCGGCGAGAGCGGCTTACCGCAACGGCGATTCGGCGCCGAGGATAGTTCTCAACATTAGTTAGCCGGACGGGGCTATCAGCGACAGAACCGTTGCGAACTGATTTGCCCTCCTCCGTGGTATCCGAGCCTGTCCTTCTGCGCTTCGGATGTGGCATGTGGTCCGTTGCCAGTGAGGCAGGGTGGCGATCGGCAGCTCGGAACCTCGGGACTAGGGAGGCCTTCGTCAAAATAAGAACAGACGATCCCCAAAAGCGACGAGATAATTCGCAAGGATGGGCAGCGTGGCGCGCAGGTGTGGTGTGGTCCCTTGCCCCTTGTCTGGACTTCTTTTCCCCCGAGAATGCAGGTGCAGCGCAGATGAAACACAAAAAGGGGACAGTCACAGTAGATTGGAGCGAGACTTGCAGTGGCATGCACGCAGTGGAGTGGAGGAGCAGTCGGGGGAGAGAGGCAGTCCCGCACTTTGGTCATGACGAACCAACATTGAACCCCGCATCCGAACTGCCGGCGTACCGGCGGTTGTTTGGTTGTGGGGAAATCTGGGGAAAGTCGTCATGTTTCTGTGATCTAGGTAGGTACCTAGTTCTGGAGAAGATCGCTGAAAGTCGTAAGATTTGGAGAAATCTAACCTTGTGTCTTGCATTGCCTTGCCCATTGCTCTGAGCAGACACATGTTTTTGTGTGCCAGATCGCCCATAACCCCATCTCAGCATCTTGTGTTCGACAATCCGTCCGGACAAGAGGGAGCATTGGACGACGACAAAAGCCACATATACCCAGTGTATATCCCCGTAATGCGATCTAAGCCATGACTCCGACGCAGCAGGATACCCAACCAGTCTATTCATTCAATACTCTTCTCCCATCTAGGTACCTCCGCCACTCTTCTCTTTTCTCGCCCTCCTCCCCTTCTCCTCCTCCCCGCCCACCATGACGATCCTCCCCTCCAGCCTCGGACAGATCGCCTTGGTCCACTCGACCTCGCACTCGCCCTCGCCCAAAGAGTCGCACACCTCAGCCCGGACGCCGGCTTTGCGCGTCCACCGCGCGAACGTCCGGCGCATCACCCGCAGCTCGTGGTCGATCCGCCGCAGCCGCTCCCCGTCCGACTCGTGCACCGGCCGCGCCCCCTCGACTACCTTCTCGTCAAACGGCGTGACGCTCGACCTTCGCGCCCGGATGTTCGCCGGCCTCCAGTGGTCCCAGTGGGAGCCCCTCGAGTCCGGCCTCGCGGCGGCTGGTCGGGGATCCGCCGGCTCGACGCCGCCATCCAGCCAGCCCTTTCGGGTCGAAGCCGACGGGCTGACCGGGTAGTTGGGGTGGTGGGAGCCGACGCCCGTGACGACCTTGTCCCAGTGGCTGTCCCACGAGGGCTCCCAGTTGTGCCACTTCTCGAGGACCTTGAGGGCCATGAAGTACTGCCGCAGCATCATCGAGATGAGGATGCCGTTCTCTTCCGATACAATCTCCTCGGCCTCGCCGCCTTCGGACTGGACCAGGAGGCTTTTGTAGCCGTCTGTAGAAATGGATGCGTTAGTCCCGGTGGGCTACAGTGAACCACAGCAGTGCCAGTCAAAACTTACCCTTAGCACGAGCCATGTAGCCTCTCGTGCACAGGACATAACGTTTCTTGGGGTCGAGAGGCTTGTTCGCCACCTCGACCCTGTTGATCCGCGACCCGGACTCCTTTGACGGATCAAACTCAAACCGGATATTCGATACTTGTGGAAAGCGGCCCTCCTGAGCAGGGTACAACGACACTCCGTTCTCCAACGCGTCCCAGATTGCCTGTCCATTGACCCTAATCACCACGACGGGGTCCTCAAACGGAAAGCAGTCTGTGATGTCCTTGACCCTTATCGGCCCAGGCGCATAGATCTGGTCTCCACGTATCGTGCCCGACGCCATGATGACACAGTCGGCCTGGTAGTGGTGCCGCATGATGTCGCACACAAAATTGCCAATGTTGCTCTCCCTCAGCCTCACCGTGGTGAAGCGCGCGTCCAGCGGCGCCGCGGTCCAGCCGACGGGCTTCTCCAGACTCTGCTTCAGCTTGGCCGTGAGTTTGTCGATGAGCTCGACGGTGGGCTGGTCCTGCGGGATCGATGAGATGATGTCCTTGCGCCAAATGTCAAAGTCCCAGCGGGGTCCTGCCCGGCCGCCGCCGTCATCGGGCCGTCTGCGGACCTCGATGTAGCTCAGCTGCTTGAAGTCGCTGCCGGAGCGCAGCACGTGGGTGCCGTTGATGAAGCTGTGCGCGTAGAAGTGGTCGTGGCCACCCAGGATGATGTCAATCTCGCCGCCCATGTTCTCGGCAAGCTTGTTGTCGTTGGGCTCCCGCTGGTGCGTCAGGGCGATGATGATGTCAGCCCCTTGCTCGCGCAGCTCGGCGACCAGCTCCTTGGCCACCTCGGTCGCGGACTTGTAGATGATGTTGGGCGGGATCGCATTCACCGTCTCCAGCCACTCCCTCTCCCCAAGGCCCAGCAGGCCGACCTTGATACCGTTGGAGCAGGTCAGCATGTGCGTGCGCTTGGCATGGCCGATGGGCACACCCTCGCCGAGGGCCGGGTCAAAGACGTTGGCCAGCAGCCAGGGGAACTTGCACTTTGCGGCCAGATACTCGAACTGGCGGACGCCAAAGTCGAGGTCGTGGTTGCCGACGGCGGCGCAGTCGGTGCCGATGGCGTTGAGGATGGGCACCATGTGGCTGCCCTTGGTGATGGAGCTCTCGAGGCTCGGGTTGAAGACGTCGCCCGAGAAGAGGGTCAGTAGCTCGGGCTGGCCGGCGTAGCGCGAGTCCCGGCGGTAGTGGTTGATGGCGGTGAGGAAGCGGGCGGCGCCGCCGGCGGGCTCGGCGGAGGACGGGTCCAGGTGGTAGACATCGTTGTAGTGGACTAGGCGGAGGTCGGCAGGCGAGGAGGCTTCCCGGCCGGAGCTCGAGGTGACAAAGACGGACTCGCGAGGCGGGTCTGTCTTTCTGCGAGCCATGACAGTTGCAGGCAGAGTTGGGAGAGGAAGGAGGGTGTGCTTTGGAGGTCGATCCGGGTCTGCCGATCCTTTTCATACGGGCAGGGACGCGCGCCTCTCTTTTGTCTCTCACAGGACCTGGGTACCGAACCTTTCACCGCCGATCAATGTGAGTGAACTGACGACGACATATGACCCAATCGTACGGTGATGAATGAACAGGTGGCTGGTGGAGCTGCCTCAAGGGCTACCCGGTAATTTGAGCGAAGAAGACAGTGATTGCTTTGGGTGCTAGTGAACACAACACGAATTGCCAATCCAAGTAATACCATAAGGTACGTCTAGGTCGGACAGAAGCAGTTGGGCAGCTCTCTGAGATGGGGTTTGTTCATGGAGGCCATCATTGATCGCAAAGGCCGGGCGTCGACACTTCGCCGTTTCAAGCTTCTGGTGGGGGCTTCCAGGTTCCAAGTAGCAGCTGGAGCGGGCCTAGAGGGGTTGGCAGGTAGTTGCTTCAGCGCTACGAGGCCTGAAGCTTGCTTGTGCGGACCTGCCGGATGGTGGGGTAGAATCCATCGGATGATCACAAAGACGACGACGACTCGCACGCGACCACGTTCGACAGAAGAGACATCACACCGTCATGACTAGCATGAGAGGAGGGGCTGGCTTCTAGCTTGCCGCTCTTGAAATACGCCAGCTGAAAATGAAGGCCCATAACGAACTTGGGCAACAGGGTGAAAAAAATACTTTGGAATATTTCTTCATCTTCAGGTGGACTCTCTCCCTCTCTCTCACGCCCTTTACAAAATCAAGGGCGCGGCGGGGCACCAGACAGACCTGGTCGATAAGATAAGCCCCCATCAAGCAGCTGTCTCAGCGCTGCTCTTTAAAAGACAGAAACCCCCATCCATGTATAAGTCGACCAGAGTTATCAGCTTCTATACTAAGCCATTGGTCTTGTCTTGGGCTCCTGTTCGACGCCATTTCGACGTAGCCACTTGACACTCCTCTCCCATTCTCACCCATAGCTCCCAATGGCCACCGATCAAGCTACGCTCCGCCATGCGGCGCGCGAGGGTTAGTCTCACCCGGCTGCCTTCCCCCTTGCTCCTCCCGAGGCCAGCTCACTGACAGGGCCCGATAACAACAGACATTCCCTCCATCCTCGCCATGGTCTGCGAACTAGCCGAGTACGAGAAGGAGCTCGCCTCCGTCGAAGCCACCGAGGCCAAGCTCGAAGCCAGCATCGCCTGGGCCCCCTCCACCGCGGCCTCGTCCGCCAACACGACCGAGCCCATCACCTCGACGAAACCCGCCCGGTGCATCCTGCTCTTCCCGCCCGGCTCGCAGGAGCCCGCCGGCATGGCGCTCTACTTCTACAACTACAGCACCTGGCGCGCCTCGTCGGGCATCTACCTCGAGGACCTCTTCGTGCGCCCGGCCTTTCGCGGCCGAGGGTACGGCAAGAGGCTGCTGGTGGAGCTGGCGCGGCAGGTGCTCGAGATCAAAGGCGGCCGGCTCGAATGGAGCGTGCTCAAGTGGAACGAGCCGAGCATCAAGTTCTACAGGGCCATCGGCGCGACCCAGATGGACGAGTGGGTGGGCATGAGGGTGGACCGGGAGGCGCTGGTCAAGTTGGCTGGCGGGTTGGAGTGACGGGTGACATTGGAAGTGTGCAGCAAGAAAATAGAGGCGGTAAGAGGTCTATAGAGAGAATAGATTCTAGAAAGACGATCAGGGGTATCTCTTGGGTCTTGGGTTAGGCGTTCTAAAAAGGAAGAGAGAGGACAGTAGAAACAAGACATCTAGACTAGGACGCGCTGTGTAGAAACCAAATATGACGTGACCACCCGTACAGATCATGCACCTCGCTTGGGCTTCTCGGGGGCATCAGCCTTGGATGCCGACTTGGGATCTAGCAGTCTGCCCTTGGCATCGACACCCTCAAAGAAGGCCGTGTGCGGCGGCGGGCTGGGGAGCGTGAAGGCCTTTGCGGCACCGCCCCAGACAATGTCCCACCGGCGCTTCTTGCCCTCCTGCGCCGGCATCTTGTCCATGGTTGCCATCGCCTCCCACACTTGGCGGTACAGCCGCCGCCATAGTCTATTGGTCATCTTGTGCACGCCGATCGCCGGACCTGCGCCGTCCACGCCGATGTCCCCGTCCAGCGCCTTGAACTTCCTCGCCCGCGGTCTCTCGAGCATGCGAACCGGCTTGGTCACCACATCCTCCCATTTCCAGCGTGCCTCGTGCTCCTGCTCCGCCACCTGTTCCGCCGCAGCCGGGCTCCTCCGCGCAGGTAGAGACCACTCCGGGCTGCCCTCTTTCCGGCCCTCGGCCAGATCGCGCCACAGGTCAAACTCGCCCTTGCCCACGGGCGGTACGACCCTGTTGATCAGCAGCCGCCACCAGCGCTTCACTTTCGTCCGCGCCGTGTGCGCCGGGAAGGGCCGGTCCCAGACGTTGACGGCGGGCACAGCCCTCGACGGGTCCAGCTGGCTGGCCTTGAGCACCGGCCGGCCGACGTTGGGCATCCTGTGGTGCGCCTGGCTGAGCGCAAAGGCGAGCAGCTTGTCCGTGTCGATGGCGTCGAGCCAGTCGCGCCGCCGCTCGCCCTTTCTCCGGCCCTTTTTGCCAACATCCTTGTCGCCCTCGCCGTTGCTCTCCAGCGCTTCCCGAGACTTTTTGTCTCGTTGCTGCTGCTGCTGCATGCTAGCCTCGAGGGCGTCGGCGTCGGCGGGGGGCTCGGCTTTCAGCCAGGGCTGGAGCAGCTCATGCCGCCGCCGGCCGAGCCGGCCTGCCGAGAGGAGCAGGACGCGGCGCATGCGGCTCAAGTCCCCGAGGTTGGCGGCGCGCAGGACGCGCAGGCTGTGGTTGCCCTCGCGCAGGCGGCGCTTGGTGCGGACAGCGTTGAGCTGCTCCGGGGTGGCAGAGGGCATGGTCGAGGAGGGGACGAGGTTGGGCCGGCGGTGGCGGCGGAAGGAGGCCGAGATGCGGCCCGAGATGTAGGGGCGGCATACCGGGGGCAGGTAGGAGGCTTCGCGGAGGAGGTGGCGGTAGAGGTGGACGGGGTTCTGGGGGTCGAGGAGCCTGGTCGGGGGAGGCATCTGGGATGTGGGTGGGCGGATTTTTTGGGGAGGGTGGATGCCCAGCACGAGGAGGGTGTTTACGGGGAAGGGCGGCGTATGGTAAGGAATCTAGAAGAAACCATGATTCGAGTCGGATTGGATGAGGTCGTCGAGAGGCCCGGAAACTGGTGCATGTAGTTAGGTAGAGGTGGTGTTTGACGCCGTGTTGTCTCCAGCTTGGGCTCTTGGTAGAACCGTGGAAAGCTTCCAAGGTTTGAGATGGAGTGCGAGAAGCCAAGCTTAGCACTGAGACTTGGTCACCGTTGACAGGGTTCAGTTGACTGGAGCCACTGACCAGGCCGATAAGATATGGATCGGTCCTGTAAAGGGATTTGATTCAAGCTCGCCGAAGCTACCCATGAAGTGACCTCGAGGCTACATCCACTCCATGGCAACGAGCAGCCAGGAAATCAATAGCCTCACAAGACCAAGGAGCGTGTTTGTTCTTCTCACGGGATTTGCGTGCTTTAGGGCACGTCACTGCCCGGTCTGGATGCATGTCCCAAGGCCAGATAGGAAAAGATGACCCAGTGTACCTAACTCTGATTAAAAAGCATCTCAGACCAGAGGAGGTGTCCGTGGCTGCTTTGCACTTCAAACAAATTTGAAAAAATAAAAAAATAAAAAAAATAACCGTTCACGATCTATTGGCTGTAGGCTCTCCTAACTTGGGAAAACGTTGACTCTGCAGCTCTCTCTGATCTCTGTTGATGTCGAGGATATGCTGATGATCTCCTGGCCAGTAACTACGAGTACCTAGGGTAGAGTACCTCTCTCCTTAGGTAAGGTACCTACCTACAACATAGGTACCTATGGCTGCTCATCCCTGTGGGCGCGCACGCTTGGTGCACCTGCCAGCACTCCAGTACACCTGTAGACTGGACACCACCTGGGCACCCCTCCTCGCCCAAGCCAGGGCTGACGCGTGTCGACTCGTCGCCCATCCATCCCTCGCTTCCACCCACGACTCGCCCTCCACAAAATAGCCCCGACACGAAATCACGAAATCGACGCGACGAAACACCCTCCATCTTAATTGAGAACACGCTCCTCCCCCGGTCATCTCGTTAATGGGTTTTCCGATCCATCGAGCTCAGACCGTCGCACCCCAGTCATTTTTGACTCGCAGAGACAGAGACAGCATCGCTCCATCTCATCATCGTCGCGAGAACGGCCATGTTGTACGCCTCTGCCAGTTCTCTTTTTTTATATCTTCACTTTTTTATCCCTTATTCCCCTCTTGTCTCAATTGGTTGCATCTCGCCAGTCATCAGTGCGCCTACTCACCGATCGATAAATTGATTGATCGATTATTCCCGAGTCTTGTCGAAGCGCGACGCTTGCAGGGGGTCTCACCTGGCTAAAAGGGCGAAAAAACAGCGGCCATTCACCACCACCGCTTCCGCGCCTACGCCTACGCCATCTTCCCCTCCCGTCCTCACACGCACATCATCACCACCACTACTGCTCCTCTCAGCTCTCGCCCTCAACCCCTCGTTCAGACTTAATTGTAATCTTAGAGAGCGGTCCCGTCTAAAATAATTGGTTGCACAGCAGACAACACTTTGCGGTCCCAGAGACTGCCGGCGTCTCCTCCATCTTTGACCCTCGATATCCCTCCCCGGGTCTCCTCGTACCGCCACCGCTGCCACTGCCGCTGCCGCCGCCGTCGCCGTGGCCGTGCCTGCAGTACTGTGCTCTACCTTCTCCGTCCTCCGCATATGATCCCTCGCTGATGGCGGCGACAACCGTCACCACCTCGTCCTTCCACCACCCCCATCCTCATCGCCAATCCTTCAGCGGCGTCAACCCTGCCCAACCCTCTGCCAGCAGCGCCTCCATCTCTTCTGCTCCCTTCGATCGCGCCGACCCTCACTCTGCAGCCATGCATTCCGCATCCCAACAGTCGCAGCCCTCCTCCCAGCAGTCCTTCTCCATGAGCCAGCCTTCGTCGCAACAGGCCATGGCCAGCCAGGCGTATAGCCAGTTCTCTGCCGGAGGCCCCAATGGCAGCATAAATGACGGTTCAAACCAGCAGCACATCATCTATTCGGTAGGCCTCATCCTCCCCCTCTTAACAAGGAACTGGACTTTGTGTTGACCGCGGCCGTCTCCTCCCCCCCTTCTACAGGCTGTCTACTCGGGTACCGATGTGTACGAGATGGAAGTCAACAATGTCGCTGTCATGCGCCGGCGGAACGACTCATGGCTCAACGCGACTCAAATCCTCAAGGTTGCGGGCGTCGACAAGGGCAAGCGAACCAAGATCCTGGAAAAGGAAATTCAAACGGGTGAGCATGAGAAGGTCCAGGGCGGATACGGAAAGTACCAGGGCACTTGGATCAACTACAACCGCGCTGTCGAAGTCTGCCGCCAGTACGGCGTCGAGGATCTGCTGCGCCCGCTCCTCACCTACGACATGGGCCAGGACGGAGGCATCGCCGGCCGGGGCGACTTCAACACCCCCACCAAGGAGCAAGCCATGGCTGCGCAAAGGAAACGCATGTACAATGCAAACAACGAGAACCGCGCCAACCCTGGCTCCGGCACCTTCTTCCGCGGCATCTCCAACACGGCTCCCAGTGTGGTCGGTATCATAAGCAAGGCGAGGTTCGACTCACCCGGCGCCCGGAACCGCACCTCCTCCCAGAGCCAGAACCGCAACGGCCTCCCCCGCGCCCCAAGCTTCAACCGCCAGTCCTCGATGCAGAGCATGGACGACTTCCCTACCAACTCGCAGCAGAGCTTCGCCTCTGACTACGGCCACAACGTCGATTCAGCCTACTCCACCCAGCAGAATACCCAGCAGTTCAACGGCGACGGCACGGAACCCCCCCGGAAACGACAGCGCGTCACCGTGACTCCTGCTGACAGCTTCGGCTACAACCCCAACATGGATATGTATGCTAATACCTTCCCGGGCTCGCCCACCGAGCCCAACGAGTCCTTCATCTATTCCCAGGCTGGCATCGACGTCCACCCTGTCCCCCAAGACAACTTTGGACCCCTCCCCCCCCTCCCCCCTCTGGATACCCCGGACGGAGAGCAGAAGCGCTCTACGCTCATGGGTCTGTTCATGGACGCCGACTCGTCTGACACGTCGCGATATAATGTCCTCAAGACTCTAACGCCCCAGGAGCTCGACATGCCCATCGACCACCAAAGACATACCGTCCTTCACTGGGCCGCTACCCTTGCACGCATGCCCTTCGTTCAAGCCCTCATTGCTGCCGGCTCGAGCCCGTTCCGGGTCAACGCTGCGGGCGAGACAGCCTTGATGAGGGCCTGTATCGTCACCAACTCTCACGATCACAGCTCCATGCCCGAGCTCCTCGACATGCTCGGCAGCACCATCGAGCTGCGCGATGCCAAGGGACGCACTGTCCTGCACCACATCGCCATCACCAGCTCTGTCAATGGGCGCAGTGCCGCCAGCCGTTACTACCTGCAGTCCTTGCTTGAGTGGGTGGTGAGGCAAGGCAGCAGCGCGCCCAGCAGCCAGAATGCCCAGGTCAACGGACAGATACCGTCGAGTCAGGCCCCGCTTGGCCTCGCTCGCTTCATGAACGAGGTCGTCAATGTGCAAGACGAAAACGGCGACACCGCCCTCATCATCGCCGCCAAGATCGGGAACCGGAGTATCATCTCCCAGCTGCTCGAGGTCTGCGCGGATCCCACTATAGCCAACCGCCAGGGGCTGCGACCTCTGGACTTTGGCGTCGGCCTGGAAGTTACCGGCGGGGGTGCTGAGGGCGAGAATAGCGAGGCTGACAAGAACGGCATTGTTGGCAGCAGCCAAAAGAGCCGCGAGAGCAGCGATGATATCATCACCTGTAAGTTCCTTCTCCCACTCATCTACCTACCAATATGCAGTTTCCCCCATCCGTACTGACAATGGCGTGTGCTACAGCCATCACGCACCTCCTCAACGAGACGGCAGCCACGTTCCAGACGGAGATGAAGTCGAAGCAACAGTCCGTCGACGGTCTCCACGCCTCCCTGCGTACCACGTCGGCCCAGCTCGGCGACGCACGCCGCACCCTCGAGGCGATGCAGGGCAAGGTCAAGAGCCAGCACCTGTCGCGCCAAAGGGTCATGAACCTAGGCCGCGCGCGCGAGGACGAGCAGTTCCGCCTCTCGCAGCTGCAGCAGACGCACGGCCTGCTCGACGTCAACGGCGCCGCCGAGTGGGAGACGGAGGCAGAGACTGCGGCGCTACAGCTACAGTCGGCATCGTCGTCGGCCACGGGCCCGGAGCTGCCGGCGGCGGCAGTCATGCGGGCGCGCGTGGCGGCGCTCAAGGCTAGGACCGAGGACACGCGGCACACCGAGGCCGCTCTCAGGGCGGGCAGCCGTGAGGTGGAGCTCAAGTACCGCCGGCTCGTCGCGCTGGCCTCGCGGTGCGGTGACGGCGACGTCGACGCGCATATCGAGGGCCTCGTGCGGGCCGTCGAGAGCGAGAAGGGCGAGCTCGAGATTGGTCGGGTCAGGCGCTTCCTGGGCGGTGTCGAGGGCGTTGTCAGCTGAGGCCCGCCTCGAGGCTGAGCTCTGTGTGTGATTATGTCTCGGCTGCCGCTTGTTCTCCTCATTGTTTCTTTTTGGTGTTTAGGGTTGGGTACATGGTGGCAAACAACAAGTGCTGTTTGTCTCTTTGGCATCTTGTGGGCGTTTATATGGATGGAGGGATTCGCTGATCTATGCGAAGGCGATCCTGCTGTGGCATTCCGAACCTCTGTCTCTATCTCTCTCCCTGCGTACGAGAAGATAAAAGGCAAATGGATGGGTCGGACTTTCTTGGCATTACTACTGCTCTAATTGTTGTTCCATCTGAAGGACATTCGAGGGCATTCCGCTATTCATTCTCATTTCTTGTCCATTGTTTGCCGTTTGCTCTATGGTCAGAACCTTACCATTGTCACTGCATGCGAGTGTCCGGACATAAACACGTTGTCATGTACACTTATATACCTTGTACGTTTTTCTATGCATGCCAGTGCACTCATCTTTATGACTGGAGTGGGATAAGAAAAGTGGTAGAAGACGCTCGAAGACTGCGTTCACATCGCAGCCATGGGGTCCTGTTAGCATGCAATCAAATGAAATCAACTGAGGGAAAAGCGTTGCCCCATTCATTGTACCCGTGTGGAAGGGGCCGGGACATATGCAGTCTTGTGGAGGATCTCCTCATCCTTCCTCCCCCCTGGAGAAACTCCCTCCTGAATGCAGCAAGATGGCATCCTCCTTCACAGGATTCTGTGAGAACCTAGACAGTAAATACTCCAAACTCCATGCCATGCAACTTTGAACCCAATGCCAAGACAAAGCCCAACAAAACACACAGAACCATCAAATCTCCCCGGTCAGCCAGCAAGGGGCGGGAGAGGAGGCCCTTTACTGCTGCCCAGCAGCAGCATAAAATCCCTCCCATCGCTCCTCCACGCCGCCGACCCTCCTCCTGAGCTCGGCAATCTCCTTGTCCAGCTCCTCAACGTTTCTCGTCAGCGCGCCGACCTCTTCGAACCGTCGCGCGCCTCGGGCGCCGTCCACCATGCCCTGCACCAGGAACCGCTGCTCCTCGAGCACGGCCAGCCGCTCGCGCAGCTCACGCTCCTCCGTCTCGAGCGCCGACGCGACGGTGCTCACCTCGCTGCCCGCCACACTGTCGCCGTCGCCGCCGACCTCGGACGCGAGCTCCCCATTGCGCAGGGGCGACAGGTGGCCCGCCCTGCCACCTTCGTTTAGGCCCGAGAGCAGCCTCCGGTGCTGCCCGCCCGGTTGTGATGACGAGGACGAGGACGAGCGTAACATGCGCGGCACGTGCTTTAGGGGCACCATATTGGCGTGTAGGAACGTTGACGCGGCGGCGTACACGGCCTTTTGCAGGCGGGCCTGCGCCGGGTTGTCCGTCGGTAGGTCGCGGATACGCCGCGCGGCTGCGCTGTACTTGGCAAAGCTGTCCATGAGCCGCTTGCGGATCTTGGCGGCCTCCTGGATCTGGGCGTGCGTAGCCATGGGCGCCACAGCGACCACCGCCTGCAGGACGCCGAGCTGTTGCTGGCTGATGGGGTGACCCTCCGAACCGGCTGGTTGTTGCAACACCTGCAAGGCGCGCTGGAAGGAGGGCATGAGCTGCTTTATGCCACGCTCAAACTGCCGCAGTGTCTCGTATGCGCGCTGGTCGGCAGGCTTGTGGGCGAGGGCGTCTTCAAAGTCACGCTTGGCGAAGATGGTGTGTTTGCAGTCGCGGCACATGCGGATGTCAAGGCTGACTGCGCCGTCGGCCGTGGAGGGTGGCTTCTCGGAGGGGACGGGGTGGTTCGCTACATGATGGTTGGCGGGTCAGCATTCGCTTTTGGTGTTGGAAGAACGAAATAGCTTACGACTGGCTACGTTTAACCCGATTTCGGTTGAACAGGCCGTGTTTGGGTCGGCGCAGACCACCCGTCCGCATATCCGGCAGTGATGCCTCCTGAACGTCCATGACCCAAATTCCTGCTGGCAGAATGGACACTTTGGGACTGATGCATCGTCCTCCCAGGTCACTACTGATTGTTCAATCGCCTTGCGCTGCGTCTTCTGCCCAGTCAGGGACCCAACGGTGGTCGAAAGCCCTCCGCTATTGACGATGACTTCCTCTGGCGGACTGACGAGTAGTTGTGTCAGTTTGGTCAATCTCTTCTCCAACCTAGCAATCTCTAAGTTCTGCCGCTCGACCTTCTTCCTCCTCGTCTCTACAAAAGCAGACGTCCGGTCCTGTAGTAGGCCGTTGTGATCATTGTACCCATCTCTCGATTTGTAGCATGTCTCGCACACGCGGTACCAGTATCCCCTCGTGGGATCGTGGCTAGCAGACCGCGATAACCTCATCTGGTACATCGTATGCACCTCGCAGAAGAGGCGGCCGCATTTTCTGCAGTTGATGCTGCCGTTGATGGGGCCCAGACCCTTGCCGCAGGTGGGATCGGTGCAATAGTCGCTGCCCGTCGCTCTTTGCCAGTGCTTTCGGGTGATGAGGTCGTCTGGATCTATGACCGTATCGACGGGCCTCGAGCTGCCGGCCTGTGTAGTGGGGGGTGGGGGTGTCTCGTTGGATTCGAAGACTTCGAGGCCTCGTAGTTTCTGGTTGATTACGGAAAGAGGTTGGAAGCGCTTCGCTTTGAGGACTTGCTTGTCGAACCATGTCTTGACTTCGTCCTGCTGCAATTCGGGAAGCTCCTGGTGGGCATCGTCGATGTGTCTGACATTCTGTTAGGGATGCCAAAGTGTGTCAGGAGTGGGAGGTATCTGGCCGTGTTACCTATTCAATTGAAGCAGTGTCAACTGCAACTTGTTAGCTAGCTTGACATTGTTTTGAGATCCGGAAGAGGATGTATATAGGACGCACCATCTCTTCTTCGCAAATGGGACAGACGAGTCTTGTTCCCGAGGCGCCGGGGTCCGACGGCGCCCCGAGGCTGACATTGGAGCTGAGATCCTGGACGAAGCCGCCGGGGAGCGGGCTGGGGGGTGTCGGCGGGGATATGCCGCTCAGATTCTGGGACCCTGAGCTTGCCTCTGAGGGAGCAAAGGGACTAGACGGGCGAGGAGAGAGCTGGGAAGACGTAGGCTGCGGAGGGGCGAGACCACGGCCAGTGCCTAGGACTCGGCCACCTCCGAGCTTCCGGCCGGACATGGCGGTTGTGGTTTCTGGGTTCCAGGTTCGGGAGCTTCCAATTCGATTGACCCACGACTGGTGATCTGATCGTACAAATAGAGCAAAAAGACGAAGGTATGCGACTCGGATGGACGAGCGCCCCTTGTCACCTCGCCGCCGATGGGTAGGTGCGTGCTGTGTCTCGGCTACGGGTGGTTGAATTGGAGGGAGCTCGAGGAGGAGGAGGAGGAGGAGGACTGGGTTGAGGTGAGGCGGTGTTGCATGTGGGCGATGGGTGCGTGTGAGGCGGCAAGGCTGCGACATAGGCGCTTCACAGCACCTAGAGTGGGCCTTAGACCCCTGTCATCACCACCTGGGCACTCTTTGGTGGCTGAAAAGAGGAATGGTAGTGATGCTTGATTGATGTGTAGTGGAGAAGACACTCAAGCTAAGATTTTGGCCCTTTTTATGTCCATCAGGCCTACAGGTGGCTCCTGCCCCTTACACCCCGCCCGGCAACACAACTGCAAGTCGACCCCGACTTGCTACCTCAGCATATATCACCCCTCCTTCCTCCAATAGCAAAACCGATCAAAAACAGCCAACCAGGAAAGAACCAGCCAACTCCTCTGAGAATCTCTAGAAATCTGTTTTCCTCCTGTTCCGCCCAGGTAGTAGAGTAATTCATCCAGACTCGACATAAGCTGGGGACTTCACACTTCTCCGATGCGGGTACTTCATGCTACCGGTAGATCTTCAGCTAGAGGTGACGCGACATAGCCGGAATAGTGAATGCTCAGCACGCTTCTGACTAGCGAGTGAGGTGAGGGTCTCTTGAGACCAGAGTGAGGAAATCGGCACAGGGTGTAGCAGTATAGAGACGGTTTTTTCTGCTGTTTAAGGAGAATCGAGACTCAGCTTAAAAGTGATTTAAGATTGAGGACCAAAGGCGCAAGGCCAAGCCGTCATGATAGAGGGCTTTTCCGGCTCGAGGGACCATGAAAAGAGGAATGGTAGTGATGCTTGATTGATGTGTAGTGGAGAAGACACTCAAGCTAAGATTTTGGCCCTTTTTATGTCCATCAGGCCTACAGGTGGCTCCTGCCCCTTACATGGCCTTTTTAGAAGATGACCCCGCCGTGCCCGCCAATCTGTCGCTGGTCATGCGCTAGCATCCATCAATTTTCCACAGTTTGGTCTTATCGATTTAGGCCGGTTCCGTTATCGCCTGCGACGCCGAAAGCTCTCGGAGCAGAGAGTCATTCTCTCAGAGTTGGTTGAGCTGATCGCTTCTCTTCACCTCTTCGAGCCAAGGCCTTGTTCCAGTCGAAACAGAAAAAGAGACTGTTGACTCTGCCATGACATCAGCTCACGCGCAAAAATTCCCCGCGGTGCAGGGAGGAGGAAGCTTGATCCTAGCATGGCAAATCAAGAACAAAAACGTGCTTGTTGTCGGCGGTGGTGAGGTAGGTTCCGGCTTGGATTCGTGTCGCGTGGATTTCCGAGACGCCTTCGTCCTTTGCCCGATGATGGCGATGATGATGCTTACTGTATCTCTCCTACCAGGTTGCTGCTGGCCGCATACTCAACTGCCTCAACGCCGATGCCCTTGTGACTGTCGTCTGTCCCCCGTCAGGCCTCAACCCCGAAGTCGCATACCGAGTCGGACAGGGCCAAGTCTCCCACACGCCTCGGAACTTCGAACCCTCCGATCTCGACGGCGCCGATATGGTCCTGGTAGCCGTTGACGACCCAGAGGCATCTACACAGATATGGAAATTGTGCAAGGAACGCCGGATACCGGCTAATATCGCTGATGTGCCCCCAGAATGCGATTTCTACTTTGGCAGCGTCCACCGAGACGGCCCGCTGCAAATCATGGTCAGCACCAATGGCAAAGGGCCTCGGTTAGCGAGCTCAATACGGAAGTTCATAGCCAAGCAGCTACCCAAGGACGCGGGCAAGGCAATCGAGGCCATCGGCCAATTAAGGGCAAAGCTGAGAACGGTTGCGCCAAACCAGGATGAGGGTCCCAAACGTATGGGATGGTGAGTTGAATTCTATCCAGAGTATCTCGGAGGGTTTTTGCTAACCCATGCACAGGATGACCAAGATTAGCGATGCATATACCTGGGATCAGATGTGTGACTTCACGGACGAGGATATGGACAACCTCCTTCGCTTCTACGCTTCAAACGAGGTTCCATCGCTAGAGACGCTTATGCTGATGCGCGAGAACCCGGATCTCAGCAAAACCGAACTGTTCGATGGATCTTTTGGGTTTAGCGTGGGAGCATGATAGAAAGGCACTTCAGCACCCAGCATCCGAAGCTCACACTCTCCCGGCTGTCCTCGAGGCCAACTCCGCGCAGTATCAGCAATGAAGGACTAGTCAAGCTCGCGGAATAGGTAATTCTGGGTGCTGACGGCGTATGATGCACCCTATTAGCGTCATAACAAGTCCGTCAATGCTTCGTCAGGAAATACCAAGAGCGTCGTTGTTCCTTCGGCGTCGAAGACCGAGCTCCAAGTACCGAGACCAAGAATCGAATCAAGGACAAAGCTCTTCGAGGAGCAAGGTGGAATGTGATTTGTCGAGACTACATCTTCAGTCATGCCGTTGAGGTAGGGTACAGAATCACAAGCTCTGAAAAGGACAGTATCAGATCGACTATATAGGAAATACAAGCGTCGGGTCGGTGACCGAGGATATTTACTCATTATTCAAGTTTACATTTGGAAAAGTGCTATCTTTCAGACTTGGCCCTTGATTCTACTTCTTTGACTCTTCTCTTGTGATACACTCTTCCTCATTCCTCAGTTTTGACACGAGTCAAATATCCGAGTCTGATTACGTTGACTGCCACCCAATCCTCGGTCCAGCCTGCAAATGTACAGCCGGCTCAAGCCTTCGTCCTTGCTCACAATTAGCACGATAGCTTGTACAATACCTAATGCGAGCAAGAGAGGATTCAGGTCAGAATAGTTGGCAGGAGTTCATCACGAGATATCTCAATGTTAACAATGCATACCCTTGCTCTAGAACTTGAGACGCTATCCCATTACGTCAAATAGAGTAAGTAAAATGGAAAGTCAAGTACTTCTGTGAACAGCCCACCCACTATTTTAAATAACATCACTTGTGTGAGGTTCGGGCGCTTTGTGGTAGAGCTTCGTCACCATGAGTCTAGTTTCATGACGAAATAGGAGCAAGGTGCACGGTTCCTGAGTCCAGTCCATTATATCGCTGCGTCAGTCATCGATGCCCAGCCCTTGGAAGCCGACTCATTGGCCAAGACGGAGGAATTTTTAAGGTCTTTGAGATGCACAGACACATTATGGAATATGAAGAGCTATACCCAAAAGAAAATGTTGAGCTCGGTGAGCAGGACTTGGCAGAAGCAAGCAAAGCTTTGTCAAATTAGTTGCACCTTGCGGATGGATTCCCCTCAAAACCCTTCGTTGGACAAGCAGTTGAGTCCCAGAAGGATCAAGACATGGATGCCAAGCTCAGTAGTGGCGTCTCGAGTGCGGCGTCATTTATACCGTTTCGCGAGCCTTTACTCCGTCAGTCCCACGCATCGGCAGCCGGGTGATGGACAAGCCCCGCACTGGGGATCTGGGGAAGATCATTATGAGCAGGGGTCAATATACTCGGGTTGATCAATGCCGAGGGGAGACGGGGAAATTTCTTGATGCCCGTATTGACGAACGTAAATTAACATGGTAATTTAGTCCGGAGCCCGTCCGCGGCATGTCTTGCAATATTCATCTGTACCAGTCTGCGAATAGGGTCGTGCCCGCTTGACCACAGAGAGAAGTCTTTCAGGATGTGCATCGGCAAGTGGAAACTCGTCGTAGTTTGCTTGGCAGCAGAACATGTGGCTTCTCAGCCCTGGCCCAAGAGTGGTGGCTCGTCAGACTCAGTCAAAGTCAAATGGATCGGTGACAAACCAGTATTGAATCCGGGCACGACTTTCGGGCTCCCTTGGCCTCGGGGCAGACATGCGGCCAACAAAACGTCCTTCAGTGCTTCTGCCGGGAATGAAGCTGTGAGAATACAGTCCTGGGTGACTTCCTACTGGCCAGGTAAGCTTCTGACGTCATATAGTCTAAGAAGACCCGCTCACTGATCCGTGTGTAGATGGTTCCATCAAGTGGACAGGTCATGCTGTCGAGCCATCTACAGATGTGCCCGATGAATATGTCATCGTCACCTCTTCAAGCTGCCAAAAGACGGCGAAAAGAGCATCCGAGGATGTCAGCGTCAGGTCCAATGGAGACACAATCACTGTTGACACGGGCAAAGTATCGGTGGTATTTGCCAAGGCTGGCAATATCCTCGTTAAATCAATTTCTACGGGTGGCAAGATTGTCGGACAGAATGGCGTCTTGGTCCTCCGGACCCAGACAGATACTGATGATGGCAGTGATATCCCGAGAATCTTTGACCGTCTTCAATTTGAGGCCAGCATCGATGAGACCAAGGTCGAAAACCAAGGATCAGTCCGAGCCCTCGTCACGGTGAAAGGAAAGCATGCCGTCAAGCAAAGCAATACTGGCCAGGACCCGTGGCTGCCCTTCACTGTGCGATTCTACCTCTACTCTGGGTCCGAGGCAATTCGCGTCGTCCATTCTCTAGTCTACGATGGCAAACCGGATAAAGACTTCATTACAGCCATCGGCCTTCGTTTTGACGTCCCGCTCGGTGACGAGCAGCTGTACAACAGACATATTAGAATTGCAGGTGTTGATGGAGGCTTCCTCACCGAGTCTGTGCAGGGGATCACCGGCTTGCGAAGAGATCCTGGGGCTGGTGTCCGAAAAGCTCAGATTGGTGGCAAGACATTGCCAGATGTCGCTACTTGGGACAGAAACTTCACAACAAGACTCCAGTGGATACCCGCCTTCAATGATTACAGCCTATCTCAACTCTCGCCTGACGGCTTCACCTTGAAGAAGCGCACAAAGGCGGGCCAGAGCTGGATAAACATACCAGCAGGCAACAGATCCTCTGGTCTGGCTTACCTTGGCGGGAGTACAAAAGGGGGCCTCGCAATTGGCCTACGAGACTTCTGGAAGAAATACCCTACCGGCTTCTCCATATCCAACGCAGCATCTAGGACAGTGTCGACAGCCACACTATGGCTCTACAGTCCCGAAGCTCCACCGATGGATCTACGGCCATGGCACGACGAGATGGGCCAAGACACTTATGCCAAGCAGCTCGAGGCTCTTGACACGACGTACGAGGACTATGAGCCGGGCTTTATGACGCCCTATGGCGTTGCCCGTACGAGCGAGGTCTACATAATTGGCTTCCCTAGCACGCCTTCAGCAGAGACTTTGGGCAAGTGGACCAAGATCATCGAAGAGCCCCCTGCCTTGGCGACTGAGCCCGAAGTCCTCTACAAATCAAAGGCTGCTGGCGTATTGTGGGCGCCGCGTACCGAAACCTCGGGCTCAGCTGCCACACTCGAGTCGCACCTCGACTTCTTAGCCAAGTTCTATCGGGATCAAGTCGAGAACCGCAGATGGTATGGCTTCTGGGACCATGGAGGTTAGTATATCCAGCGTCAGACCCTCAACTTCTGCTCTGTACTCAAATCAGCCGATAGACTTCATGCACACATACGATGCATCTCGCCACACCTGGGCCTATGATGTTGGAGGATATGCATGGGACAACGGCGAGCTGTCGCCTGACCTCTTCTTCTGGCCGCAATTCCTGCGAACCGGAGACGCCAGTGTTTATCGCTTTGCAGAGGCAGTCGCCCGTCACGGCAGTGAGGTCGACCAGTACCACGTCGGGCCATGGAAGGGGCTTGGAACCCGCCATGGAGTTCAGCACTGGGGTGACTCGGCGAAACAAGTCCGTATCTCGACCCCGATCTTCCGCAAGGTGTTTTACTACCTCACTGGTGGCGACGAGCGGCAGGGCGAGATCATCCGAGAGGTCCTCGATGCGGACCAAGCTATCCTGCAGGTTGATCCGCGAAGAAAAGTGCGTGATCCCAACATTACCTACGTGCCAGATCCAGAAGCCCTTTACATCAGTCTCGGAACAGACTGGTCTGGACTGGCAGCAGCACTCCTTATCGAGTGGGAGACACGGGGCCCACGATGGGAAGAGGCCCGGTCCAAGCTCATCAGCTCCATGAGAGGTCTCAACGCTCTCAAAAACGGCTTCATCACCGGCGAGGTATTTTACAACTCTAAGACGGGCCTCATCTCGCCACCGCCTGATGATCCCGACAACAAAGGATCCGTCACCATCTCTCATCTCTCCGCCAGCTTTGGCGAAAGCGAGGTCGTCACGGAGCTCATTAACCACATCGGAGCAAATGACACAGACGCGTCCACTTTTGAGAAGAACTGGCTCGACTACTGCTATTACTACGGCGCAAGCAAAGCCGAGCAAGCTGCTCGATACGGCACCAGCTTTTCTGGCATCAGTCTGAGACAGGGACACTCGAAGCTGACTGCCCTGGCTGCAAACAGAGATGGCGGTAACGCTACTATCGCTGCTCGCGCTTGGAAGGAGTTTTTCTCGACCGACGGTCTTGCTCCAACAGCGCCCTGGGTTTCAGTGCCAATATCTGGAAATCATTCCATAGTGTTAGTGCCAGTGGAAGAGGCATCGTGGATTAGCACCAATGAGGCGGCACAGTATGGAGGAGCTGTGATTGAGAACATGTATCTACTTGGCAGCCCTCCATAAACATAGAGCAGGCCCCCTGTCAAACACCCCTGAAGCAGGAGGTGGGTGGGACAATTCTCTTCATTCCAGTATCCATTCCCTATAACTTTAGAAGTACACGCGATTTGAGAAGTTGGCAAGGAATCTGGCTTGATAGGCTACTACACAATGCAGTCGAACCCCAGCTTTTACTTGGAATGACCAGGTGCGGAGGAACCTGGGGTGACATTCTCGTCTTACTAGGTTGCCTGAGTCAGATGGAACCGATTTCACGTAAGCGCAGGGTCGGAGTTGAACGTACGTCGACTAATCAAATCTCAAAAATCAGTTCGGTCTGAGAGCGAGCTGAATGCAACCGCCCAAATGCGAACCCCGAAGCATGGTAGGGTGTACCTGATCCCCGAATGGGTGTCCTTCTTGGCCAGTCACGCTGACTTCTAGTGTCTGCCTTGAGGCTGAGAGTGTGAATATAAGACTGCGCTGCCGGGATAGAAATCAGATCATATACAATGCCTTCCATCTTTTTTTTTTACTTACCTGGACATCAAGATGCGGAAGCCAGCATCGTTTGGTGCGTTGGCGCCCCTGTTTGCCTTTGTGCTCTGTTGCTCAGCACGGGTGCATGCTCACCACGCTGATCAACCACAACATGTCCTTGGCACATTCTTCGACAGTGATCACCTTGGTTCGCAGAACAGGATTGTCGATATATTGCAGATCCCAGATCAAAGGCCTGAACCGAGTGAGAGAGGCAGTTGGCTGGGCTGGGGGGGAGGAGTTTACAACAACCGGTGGGCGGCGTCCGATGCGATCGTAGACTCGACCAATACCGGTTCCTTGAAGCTTCACTGTCAAAAGAAGTACGATCCTGGCACGAGCGCGTCACCCCTGGTTGCAGATGGAGTGGCGTACTTTCCGACGTGGAGCGGCCTGCTCGTTGCTCTCGACTATGAGAACTGCAAGGAGATTTGGACGCGCAACATTACCGAGATCATCTACAAATACAAGCCTCTCACTCCTCTGCAAGCTCAAGCCATAGCTGCAGTCTCACGCACAACACCAGTGCTTGAGGGAGACACGCTCTTCGTTGGCACGCTTGCCCACGCTCTCATTCTCGCTATCAAGGTCAAGGATGGGACACTGGTCGACACTCTCCAGATTTCAAACCACCCCTTCGCCATCTTGACACAGTCCCCCCTCTTCTATGACAACAAGCTGTTCGTTGGCGTCTCCAGCATGGAGTCTGCCCTGCCCGCCTTCATAGAAGGCTACGTCTTCAGCTCCTCCGGGAGTATGAACGCCGTCGGCCTGAAGCACGGGCGCCTGACCCTCCTGTGGACCACGCCGACTATACCACCAGAGCTCCGGCGCAAGAACCTCACCGGCGCTGCCATCTGGGGGTCGCAGCCGTCTGTCGACCCGATCCGCCGCCAGGTCTTTGTCGGCTCGGGCAACCTCTACGACGTGCCGGAGGAGCTCGAGGCCTGCCAGAACGCGACGCAGGGGCTGGCTGTTGTGCGCGATAGTCTGACCGCCGACCCGTGCAAGCCGCGCCACGTCCACTTCGACTCGGTCCTCGCGCTCGACATTGACACGGGCCATATCAACTGGGCGCACGTCTTCAGCGCGCTGGACGCCTGGAACGCGGCGTGCGTCGACGGTCTGCTGGGTCCGCCAGTGCCCGGCGCCGCGGAGGCGTGTCCCGAGCACCCCGGCCCGGACGCCGACTTTGGCATGGCGCCCGCATTTGTTCTGGGGTCGGCCAACACGCCCGAGGGAATCGACGTGGTGGTCGTGGGGCAGAAGAGTGGGAACTTGTACGCTCTGTCTGCCCAAGCCGGCAAGACAATGTGGGCTGATAAGCCCGCGCCAGGTGGCCTCGAGGGTGGGCTCACTTGGGGCATTGCCGTTGACGACGAGGCGGTTTACTACGTCGCAGCCAACAGTCTGCGTGTCAACTACACGCTACCCCTGTCTGGCGGCACTGTGATCTCTAATAGTGCCTACGGCGCCGCGAGCCTCAAGACGGGAGAGATCCTGTGGCAGGTGCCCGCGCCGGGCAACATGACTAGTTTCGTTGCGCCGGCTGTCGCCAACGACGTGGTGCTGGTGGGATCGACCGGGTCGTATGATCCGGCTTCGCTTTTTCCGCTGGGCGCCGGGAAGTTCCATGTGCTGGACAAGAAGACAGGTCAGATCCTGAAGGACTCGTGGCTGGATGCGACGTTCCATGGAGCCCCGGCTGCTGCTCACGAGTTTGTCTTCCTGGGGACCGGATACGGAGGCGTCCATCCCCGAGAGGCCGGGTCATTCCAAGCATGGAAGATCCAGCAGAATGCTTTGCAGGCCGGACGAGAAGAAACTTTGGAACTGTAGATTGGCGATGACTTTGTTTTGGGACGGGTGTCTTATCAAGCAACCGTGCACCAGTAATCAACAAGAGAATACCAGCCCTGGAGGTCGTAACATGCCACCACTTCAGTGGTATGTATAGGTACATTACGGACAGCCCGTAGCAGTGACACCCACCCCGAACCTACCTAGGTAGCTAAGCGTAGCTCGGCAAGGGGAAGAAACCATGATTTCCCACCAAATCCCGGTGATACATATTCAACATCTATCTCTAACCTAGCCTTGAATATCCTTTCTCACACCAAAGCTCGTACCAGAGCACGCGCGATACGTACATCTTAGACTTTCAAGACATGAAATATTCAACGGCACGAATTTTGCACAGATGGCACCATATGCTCGCCCTTCCAGTCCAACCTAGACCCTGGTACCGAGAGCGACTCTGCGAGGAGTTGCTCGAAAGGCGCAGGACCAGAACCCGGTGGCAGAAGCTTAGCGAGACAGCCGATGTCTTTTATATCTTGAGCCGAGCCCAGCATGACGGGTTTACTGTTCGAAAGCCGCGCACTCTTGCTGGATCGACCCATCTCCTTGTCTACATCTACATGGTTGCAAAGTATACCTCTCGATGGACCTTCTACCAGGTAGCAGCCTATCTTTGTTGCCTGCCCGACGCCCGTGCAGTAAGCGAAGTCGTCAATCCTGCCAAAGATTCGAAGCTCCACGAGGTAGCACGCCGACATGGAATAGAGCCCGCTACGTTCCTGCAGGTATGCCGCAGGCTCAGACGAGTATGGCCTCTTCTTCCTTAAGACGCGATCGCAACACGGCACGATGGACGCGGCGTCGATTAGCTTACAGCAGCAGGCATGCGCGCTGCTTACCACTCGTTCATCTCCTGGAGTCTGATTCGTCACCTCCCAAGACGGCTTTCCAGCATGTCTTGGCTTCGTCTGCGGGAGGCCGACCGGTTCCCGCCTGCGGGAGGCCGACTGGTCTGGTCTCGTCTGTGGGAGACCCTGTGCTTGCTGGATCCCCAAAAGAGAGAAGAAACATAAAACCAAGAGGAAATGCTGCCCTAGGACTTGAGATCTTTTTCTTTAACAGCGCCGCCGTATCTCTCAACAACGCGATACAAAATTCCTCTTCTGACCAAGCCACAGATCACATCCACCATTGTAACGTACTCTTTGTCATCTAGCCATGTCTGTCTCCGTCACTCCCACAGCCTCACTTGCAATGGCCCCAAAGCCCACGGTGATCGGCATATATGGCCTGCCAGGCTCAGGCAAATCCTTCCAGATGGGCAAACTGAAGCAGAACCTTGAACGGCATGCCTTTGACTACTACGAAGGCTCCGACAAGATCGCCTCGCTTGTTGATGGGGGACTTTCGGGCTTCCAGCGTCTGGGCGAGCAAGAACAGCATTACTGGCGACAGCAAGCGATCAACGACATTGCACATGATTGTGCCAGCAAAACCCGGTCGGCGATTGTCACGGGCCACTTTATGTTCTGGGAAGAAGGCGAGGACAGCGGCCATCCGGTCTACACCATGGCTGATATGAATTCCTTTACGCACATCATTTATCTAGATGTCCCAACACATACTCTAGCTAAACGACGACTGAACGACCCTCTCAAAAATCGGTCCGTCACTTCAATCGACCACCTGCAGAAATGGCAAGCGGCCGAGATCTCATACATGCGCCATCTCTGTCGCCACCACCGAATCCTGTTCCTAGCTCTACCTGATGCCCTTCAACTGCCCACTCGGGTTTCAGAGTTAGTGTGCCGCTTCAGTCAATATACTGCAGAGTCGAACTGGTCACTGGTCAAAGCGCATCTGGACGACACCACGGACAACAAAAGCTTCCAAACAGCACTGGTCATTGATGGGGACAAGACTCTAGCACCTTTTGACACCGGATCTTTGTTTTGGAAGGCGTATGCTGAGGCAAGATCAAAGGTCGTGGGTCCATGTCCACTGAAGGAGCTCTTCAGTGGTCCACTGGGATACTCTGACACTGCCTTCTTCCAGGCAATGCTGCTCTACGAGGAAGCAGCCGGCGACGACGCTTTCTTTGAAGGTCTCTGTGACACTGTGGCGTCGTCGGTCCAGATGTACGATGATTTTGTCTCTCTGTTGCGATCTGTAGAGTCCAAGGAGCACATACTCTCCATTGTGGTGACCTGCGGTCTTCGCCGAGTCTGGGAGAAGATACTACGAAAGCAGGGCTTGTCATCCACGATCTGTGTCCTCGGCGGGGGAAGGGCGAAAGACAAATTTATCATCACCCCAGCAGCCAAGGCATCTCTCGTGACTCACCTGCGACAAGAGATGAAAGTTCACGTCTGGGCATTTGGAGACAGCCCTTTGGATCTTCCCATGTTGGAGGCTGCGGACAAGGCAGTCGTCGTGGTTGGAGATGATAGCATTAGAAGCCGCAGTATGGAAAACGCGCTGGTTATCGCCATGGAACAGAGAGGCTTTCAAGCACAACAAGTCTTACTCCCAAGTCATGTCACGCCACGGTTGGATTTCGGAAGGCTTCCTCGGATGTATCTCAGTCACGACATGTTCTCCCCTCCTGGCCAAGCTCGAGAAACCGATCAGAAAGACGGCTGCAATGTCTTTGCTATCAACATCCTGCACGCTACCTATAAGGATGCCACAAAGATTCTAATGACGCCCACCCGGGATGCGTCAGTCTACGGGGCGACCCTCAGGGCAGCTCATCAGCGGATTGGTCAGTATCTGGCGACCGAGTTCTTGCCTGCTCTCCTTGGGACAGAAGAGTATGCGATTCCTCATGTACAAGGTCATGACACGAGCGGCTATCGGATTCGCAACGAGTCACGAACCTCTTTGATTGCACTCATGCGTGGCGGAGAACCATTGGCTCTCGGCGTCAGCGATATGTTGGCTCGCGCAATGTTCGTCCACGCCACCTCGCCAGCGGATGTCAAGCATGACCACGTCCAAGGCCAAGCAACCGTCGTTCTGGTCGATTCAGTCATCAATACTGGGAAGACGCTCATCCAATTCATTGAACGTGTTCGTCTATTGCAAGTCAATGTGCGTATCGTTGTGATAGCGGCGGTGGTCCAGATGGAAGCTATTGCAAATGGGAGCAACCTCGCCACAGTCATGAAGATCAACGATGTTGCGCTAATCACGTTGCGTCTATCCAAGAATAAGTTCACCGGCACCAAGACAACTGATACCGGTAATCGTCTTTTCAACACTACCCATCTAGTTTGACGTGGGTCAGTGGGTCAGGGTGTTACGTTTGTCGACAAGGTTTGGGTGGGCGTATCTTCGTTTCTGCCGTTGGCGACTAGATAACATAATGGTATCATGATCATGGTGTTCTGAGCTAGCACTGGTGGTGTTATGCACTAAGTCCCCGTTATGGTATGTCTGCAGGTCCAGCAGGTAGCTTGTGGAAGGGAAATTTATCACGGAACAACCTTCACCTGGCCCCTTCCTATGTATCGTCCTTATGCCGAGAATCAAGTGAAACATGACCAAGCTCGGCAAGCAGGGGTCAGAATAGTTGATGGAGGTTGATCAGGAGATGCCTCAATGTTCACGATATGTCCTTGCTCCGGAACTCGGATCGGAAGGGTTATCCCACTACCTAAAACCGATGGGGCTGGTGAATAGTCTAGTATTTCTGTTATTAACACCCCGTCAACTAATGTGACCATCACTTCCCTCGGCGGGCCTGTGCCATTCATACGCTCGTACACCCTGCCCGAGTCGCGGGGTGATGGCGCAGAGACCCCGGGTCCATCACTTCCTCTGAGAGCGAAGACCGCGTCCGGTTTGCGCCAAGATCATTTTGAGGAGCGTCCATCTCACGGTCTAAGCCAGCAATTGAAAAGTGAGGTGTAAGCAGAATGAAACTGCATCCAAGAATAGGCATTCCACCACCCCAAGGAAAGGGGGAAAAAATCAAACAGCACCAGAGCGAGCGAGAGATGCGCAGAAATAAGGGAGATGAAAGAAAACTTGAGACTTACTCCGAGGCTTGGCAACATCCTTCCCCTTTCGACGGCTGGACTTGGCGCGAGGTGGGCTCGACGCGAAGTCGCTTTCAACCTCAGACTCGACATTTTCATCACTCGTATCCTCGTGGACGGACGAGCTGACCCATTCAGAAGACCCCGCTGAACTTGGGGCGTAGTCATCATCCGATTCGGACGCGGCGCGCCTTCTCTTGAGTCTACTCCGGGCCGCTGGAGGGCTCGATGATAAACTAAGCCGTTGGTCTTCGTTCTCATCCCGCTGAGCCGGTGCCTCCCCATTTGCAGAACTCGACTCGAGAAGCAGCATCTCACGAACGGGACGATCATCGAGTTCTATGACAAGGCGGGCCTTCTTTGAACCCGTCCGAGTTGCCGGGCTCTCATGTGCGCCAGGAACCGGAGAGGCGGGAGCGGGTTCTGAGGTCGAGCCACCTTGTGAGCCTGATCCAGGGTGTGTTTGGTTGACCTGCGTCAGGGGCTCTGGCGTTGCTGCCAGGCCAGAGGGTGCCGACTCCTTGTCTGAACCGGGGCTGATAGGGGCCACTGGGCTGGCACTACCTAGTGGGTCTAACGCGCGGGCGGTTCAGCCTGGTCCTCGGGCTCGGGCGAGGCAAGCGGAGTGAACACAGATCCCTCCTGATCGGTATCCGCCACTACGTCGTCCATTGACCGAACCAGAGAGCGTTTCATATTAACAGGGGAAGGACTCGAGGACGAAGCGGGAGGTGGGCGGTGATTGTTCTCTCCAGAGGCACCGAAAGTGGAGGCGGAGACTAGATTAGGACTGGTAAGCGGCGGGATAAATAGATGGGACACAAGAGGCTTACCGTGGACATCCATTATGTCAGGCTGTTGGACCCGAACTGGGGAGGGTGGTCGAGGGCGTCGTCGTAGCGTGCTGCCGGTGTCTAATATCTGCTGGCTAGGCCAACAAATAGTACCAATCCTCCAAAAGAGGACGAGCAGAAGACACCGAAGACGTGCTTACGGCTCCGTATAGAGGGGGAGGGAGGGAGGGGAGAGAGAGACAAGAGCGTGCCGAAGGGCTCTTCAGCACTTCTCAAGATCCCAATGATGACTGCAAAATGCAGCCAATCAAGGTACCAACCACCCAAAAGGTGGCGAGTAAAGATCTTGAGAAGGCTTCCGAGAACAAACAACAGCTCTGCAGTACTGTAAGCCCACAACACGAGCGGGCAATGGTCAACGAACGTAGAGGCAGGGCGGGCAAACGGACGACGACGCGTGAAGAAGAGGCTGCTCAATTGACTTTTCAGAACCCACACCAAGCGACAGACTCAATACTTGTCGAATTTCTAGGGTTGTGGGGAGGTGTATCGTCGTGAGGCAAGTACGTCTGATGCTTGCTCATGCCCGCCATTGCCGAGCGCCACTGTGGCTGCATCCTTACACGCTCCCTGGAAATGTACTGCCTCTGTATTCAAAAGCGATGCGGAACGCTAGTGATATAGGCAAGAGTCCTCGGGGTGCTGCACCAAACGATAGACATCGTTGCGCAGCCAACCTCCCTTCAGGTCCCAGATGGCATCCGGGACTTGCTCGGTGAAGTCTCTGTCAAACCCAGGGAGACCGCTTGCCACAACGCCGCCGATGCCTGTTGCCTCAAGTCACCACCCTTGAAAGCCCTTAGGCGTTCTATCTCTCGCACTGACTATTTCTTTGATTTGGGAAAACGTATGTGGCATCTAGTCTGGTGTCTAGAAGCTCCATATGTGATTGGCGCTTCGTCGACGTTGGTTCAGCGTGATGCCCAAAGACGAGCGCAAGGCTACCGGTTTCTTGCTGCAGCCCATAACATCCCTGTGCGTCGACACCTAACCTTTGGAAAGTGAACTGAAGGAAAGAGAAAGAGAGGAGAGCCCATGGACTTAGCAGTAGCAGGGTTTCATTGTGCTCTACCTACTTCTCATTACACTTGACAGTCATTACCCGGCCAGCATCCCAGAGAGTCTTATGCACGTTCCTTAGTGCGGTACCCTTGGACCAAAACCTCTCTCCCGAGGAACTCACTACCAGGAAAGTCTCCTCCAGGTCCTTGCGCCCCTTCTTGGCCTTCTTGTCCTTCTTGTCTAGACGTCCCGTAACATGAATATCCCCGACAATTACCAGCCCGCATCGTGCTCGGGTAAGCATAACGTTGAGCCGTTGCTCATCCGAAGTGAAGCCTGGGCCTGGCGTTACGGCCTTGGTGCCCATGACAATGACGACAATGTCATTCTCCTGACCTTGGAAGGAGTCCACTGTTGAGGCAGGGGGCATGCTGGACAGCGGGGCGTATTTGGGCTCCTTGCGGCGACGGTAGCCAATGAGTTCGACATTGGCGGCGTAAGGGGCGATGATCGAGACGCGCGAGGCGGTGATGCCCTTGGTTCGAACCAGATCCAGGATCATGTCCAAGGCAACTTCGACTTGATCATAGCTTTTCTTTGAGCCCGTATACTTGTCCACAATGACCCTCGAGTTCTCGCAGTGCACAAAGACCGGGAGAAGTTTGCCACTGGGGGCCGCCTTGACCGAATCGGACTTGCTTCGCACGAAGTCCTCCAAGGTTCGGCCCGCCGCGAAGCGCGGGTTGTTGATGTCACAGATACTGTCGTATCTGAGAGGGACCTCAGGGTAAATGATGCTCGAGACCATGTCGAACATGCCGTTGGCCATGCGCAATTGGGTTGTCAAACGGTAGACAGGGAAACCAACACCTTGGAGGAACTGCAAGGCGGAGACTTTGCCATCCTTTGCGAAGCGGTTGACAGCATTGCCGGCGTCATCCTTGCTCTTCTCGGACAAAACCACGGGAGGCAACTGCTTGGGATCGCCAAAGAGCATGCAAGGCATCAAGGTGTTCCCCCAGACAGTGAGCAGGTCAGCCTTGAGCATGTTGGCAGCTTCATCCACAGCTACACCCCGGGCGACTTCATTTTTCCACCGGCGGAAGGGCGTGTGGTTGTGTGACCCGCTGGGGGTGACGCACAATATGTCGGCATTGCGGAAGAGCTCCTTGAACAGGGGCACGAGAATCTCCTTTTTGGGGGCTTTGGCCTGGAACTGCTCCCAAGTGATCGTGCCCGCCAGCACCTGGCGGAGGGGATCAAGCTGAGCATGTCCATCCCAGCCCTGTCTCATCTCGTGAAGGACCTGACTGTCGTCAGGATCCAGTTGATCCACAAACGGACATCGCAGGAGCTTGAGCATCCACCAAGACGCGGAGAGGTGGAACTTCCACTTGGAGGGCGGGCCAAACTTTGCTCTGCCGAGGGCATTGTCTCCAGCCTTTGGATTCCGCAGAAGCTCACGGAAGGCCCTCTCCTCATTGCTGAACCCCCGAACAACGAACTTGCGACGGTAGCGGGTGGGGTCATTCGCCCCCTTCTTGGCATTGAGTTTGGCGGTGATGGCACAAGTGCGGGAGTGGAGGCGGGCGGCAAAATTGTCCACGGCAACATTGGTTGGTGCGGAGCACAAAATCGGACCAAGGGATGCTTGCATGGCGAGCGTCGAGGCAGCCCCAGCGGTTGTCTTGCCAAAGCCCGGGCCAGCTGTGATGATGCCAATACCGAGGGGCCTACTGGTCAGATACGCGTTGAATCGCGTTCGATCAGCCCCGAGCGCCTCTTCGAGGATGGCTTGCGCATATTCCGGATCGTCCTTCCGGAACCTGAGAAAGTCCCAGGAAGGCAGAGGGCGCAGTCGAGAACCGTTTATCGGCATACTGGCCATGGCGTCTTCGAGACCAAGCTCGGCGGGAGCGGACTGCGACATCCATGCATAGAAGCCGGTACCACGAAGTAGCGTGCGGTGCAGTTCCATACGGTCCAGGATCGCGGGCGGGGGGAGATCGACCAACGCGGCGAGATTTGTCGGCTCACTGCCTGGACGGAAATCCGACAAAGCATCGACCCTGCGCTTGCACTCGAAGAACTGCGAACCCCAGAGCAGGGAAACGCAATTCTAGTGCTGCTTCCCTTCCTTCAAGACCCGGTTTGCCTCTGAGCGGTCGGCGAAGTCCTTGACGACGTACGTCGAATCTTTCGAACCCTGGGGACGACGCGCGTAGAGCACCAGATCGAGCTCCCCCGTGGGGTGTTGATTGAGGGCCGCGATTGAAGCTGGATGGTCCTGGATGTTGCATTCCCTGCGATAACTGTCAGAAAAAAAGGTTCGTGGACCACCACGAAAGACAAACGTACCATTTGGCTGCAATTTTGTCGTCGTCTTCCGCGTTATATAGCACCAGGGTGGGAGACGAGTCCCTGGATAGGCAACGCCAGCTCTGGGAGAACTTCTCCTTGAATTCCTGAGTGAGAGGAACCACCATGAACATCTCTGTGGCCTGAGATGCGTCACCTGAGGGAGGGCGGACGGTATATGCCGGCCATTTTCGACAGGATATCGCCACTCTATCCTCTTCCAGCCAGAGCGAATCCTGGAGGACGGCATGCATAGCATTGGTCAAGTGCTCGTCGTTGGTCTCGAAGCTGTAGCGAGCAGCGAACTGTTGACCCTTATGCGCGCTGACGAGGCGAGACCAATCCTGAGCGCCGGACAAGATTTCCAACGGACCGTAGGGGTAATGGAAGGGGGCAGGCAGGCATTGGGGGTCGAAGCTGGCCTTGATGTCGTCGACACGGGTAGCCACAACAAAGTAAAGTGTTTCTTGCCGCAGGAGACCACCCAATGAGTATTTGTCGACTATGGGCGCGTCTGTGTTGACCCAGGCATCCAGCTGCGGCATTCCAACATTTCTGAAGGGCATACCAAAGCCTTCAATGATCGGGCGGGAGGAGAGCTTGACGCGGACCCAAGCAAGTCTGTCTGGGTTTCTGGCATTGGCAAACAAATCCTTGACGGCGGTCGACGGCTCCGCGGCATCAATTTGCGTGGCACCATCGCGAGGGAACTTGACGACGATTCGGTGCTGGTCAAAAGGCTGTATCGAGCCGCCATCTGTACCAGCGCCTCGGTCCAGAGCATGGCGTACACCATAGCCCCATCTCTCGTTGTCAAATTGATCCTTGCCGAGAGGAATGTCGAGACGGAAACCGACCCATGACGTCTGGTCAGGCTGGACACTGACGACGAATCTTGCACTGATGCGGGCGTCGACCCCCAAGGCATTTCCGGCAGCGAGGACAGGACCGGTCGGGGTTGCACTGCACATAGATGTTAGCAGTCGATGACAGCGGAGGAGGCGGATACCGCAAAACGTGACTTACAGGACTGCACAGTCCTTGTAGTAGGTCTTCCTGTAGACCTTGGGCTGTTGTTGGGCCATGACGAATCCTGGCACACACGCACACTACTGCCGAAACTGACAAACGTACAACTCCCTGACTGATACCAACGTGGACCAAGCTCTAATGACTACCGAAGTAGATCAAAAGAAGTACCAACCACCCAAAATGTGGCGAGTGACAAGGTCGAGACGCGTAAGCAGAGTAGAACTGAAGAGAAAGCTTTTTAGGAGAAGGTGTTGTACGGTTCGGAGTAGACGGGCGGACGAGAGGGGCAGACACGACTCTTCAAAGAGTCGTAAGGCGCGGGAACACGAGGAAAAGAAAATGCCACTGCTGGGGTGGCGGGATCGCGAACTTGAAGCCTGGAAGAAGAAGAGAAGAGGGAGAATGGTGGGGGACAGGAAGATTTTATAGAATTTTGGGGGTTTGTCCTGTCAGCGAGGCTCACCTGCCTCACCGGTCTACGCCTCACTATCCCAATGACTCACTAGCTGCCCAGGTAGGTACCTATGTACATACCAGATAAACAGCAAGAAGGTGCCCACGCTCATTGCTGCTTATTGATCGCTGAGGGGCATGTAATCTACTGACCATTCCGGGGGAGTGGCTGCCCGCTTCGCATCCACCTAGGTACCTAAATGCATAGGAAGCATCATTAGCGGGCCTGCGGCTCCTATGATGCAATGGTCGGCAACAGTTGCTCAGTTAACCTTAAGTAGAGTTATTGTAACTCGGTGGGTACCGTTGCTGGCTGTGCAACCATTGCGTTGCCGACCGTTGTCGCGTTGCCAACCGTTGCCAGCCAGCCCGGAAATCACCAAAGGAGGGAAGCACCTAGGCACTCTACACGGACAGGAGGGCAAGCGGTAATGTTTCGCGACACAGGTCAGCATACGAGCCTGTCGTCGCCGTCTGAATAGCGACGGCAAGTCCTCTCTTGAAACGTACTTGACCTAGCCTATCTGGATAAATTGGCTCCTTACTCAAGCAGACTCTATTACTACCACCCTTCTAAATAGTAAAGAGTTTCTAATTTATTATAATATTAGGTCCTCCTTAAAGCTATAAAATATAACTACTTAATAGAGCTGGTCTCTATTACTACCACTCTTCTGAGCACTAAAGAGTCCTAATCTATCCAGTCTGATACCAGATCCTCCTTAAAGCTTTAAAGTGCAACTGCTCAGTAGAGCTGGTCTCTATTGCCACCGCCCTCCTGAGCAGCAAAGAGTTCCCGATTCATTATGGTACCGGGTCCTCCTCGAAGCTGCAAAATGCAACTGCTCAGTGGAGATGAGACGGTCCCTGTTGCCGCCCTGTACAGGACCGTCTTTCTCCGCCTGCATTCTCACAGGCATGTCTGCTCTGTGGAGACGGTCTCCATTGCTGCCCTCCTGAGCACACACAGGAGCCCCGGTCCATCCAGTCTGGTACCGGGTCCTCCTCGAAGCTGCAAAGTGCGACTGCTCAGTGGAGCTGGTCTCCATTGCCGCCGCCCTCCTGAGCACACGCAGGACCGTCTCCGCCCGCATTCTCACATGCATGTCGCAGACTTGGCGCGCCCTCAGCGACCACATGAGCTGGGCGCGGCTGTGGAGGCAAGAACTTGTACCTTCTCGACATCAACCAGCCATTGGATGACGCGACGCGGCGTCTGCTTCGCCTGGTCGAAGATGTCGGAAAACACAAAACGATCATTTACATGAAGGGCTGGTCGTACGAGATGCGCCGGAGCTGCTGAATCATTCTGCTAAGAATGTCACCACATCTTCCCCCGGCTCTAAGGAAGTCGACACTGATACCAAGTGCACTCCTCCCGACATAAATGATGATTTAGACTGTGCTATCAAGCGCACTCTCAATTCAAACCGTACCGACTTTAATGTTGATGGAGAAGAGCCCGAGGTGGACTTCACCAAGCCTTCAATCGCGGCTGCTCACAAGGAGTGCTCACCATCACCCAGCGAAGCCCAGGCCTCCTTGCCGACACTTGATGAGGCAGCTTGGCAGTACTACCGACAACATCTGGACGAGCATACAAGCCTCACGAAGCTTCTGGAGAAGTCAGAGGGTGATCCAACGGAGACCACATGAGCCTGCTCAACGTCTCGGCCCGCCCTCAGCGACCATATGAGCCGGGCCCGCCCTCAGCGACCACATGAGCCGGGCCCGCCCGCCCTCAGTGACCATATGAGCCGAGTACGCAAGCCTCACGAAGCTTCTAGAGAAGTCAGAGGGTGATCCAACAGAGACCACATGAGCCTGCTCAACGTCTCGGCCTGCCCTCAGCGGCCATATAAGCCGGGCCCGCCCGCCCTCAGTGACCACATGAGCCTGCTAAACGCCTTCTACGCCTACTAGGCGTGCCCTCAGCAGCCACATGAGCCTACTCAACGCCTTCTATGCCTACTGTGGCCTCTCGGCGCGCCCTCAGTGACCACATGAGCTGGGCGCGGCCCTCAGTGACCACATGAGCCTGCTCAACGTCTCGGTGCGGCCCCCAGTGACCACATGAGCTGGGCGCGGCCCTCAGCGACCACATGAGCCTACTAAACGCCTTCTACGCCTACTGTGGCCTCTCGGCACGGCCCTTAGCGACCACATGAGCCGGGCCCGCGCTCAGCGACCACATGAGCCTGCTGAACGCCCTCTACACCTACTGGGCGTGCCCTTAGTGACCATATGAGCTGGGCGCCTGCTCAACGTCTTCTACGCCTACTGTGGCCTCTCATCAGGAGCGCTTGATCGCTTCTTTGCCAACACGAACCTGGCGACAGGGAGCGCAATTCTTGGGTCTTTCTCTTGTCGCATCCTCTGTTCTGCAATTCAGAGAGCAGCCACCTATTGCTCTCTCTCCCCTTTCACGGACTACTGCCGTTGTTGTCCCGCTATCGTCATAGTTCATGCAATGCCCATATACTGACATTGATATCGTTTCAGCATCCGCTTCTTATCATACGCCGCGCGTGCCTCTACCGGCCCTTGTACCGACAAGCGGTCCATCGGCAGGTACCCATTCTCCGGAGTAGTGGCAAATGGTGGGGCATGTCCTTATCACAATCCATGTGATTGAGTCTTTGGACCTCGATCCGCGCGCGGCTCCTGTCCACTGTTGGAGACTGGTGGCACCGAGACGGTATTCCTATCTGGATGCGGAGCCGCTTCTTAGGGGCTCTGAGAGTCTGCATATGGCGGGGTTTCCGGCTGACTGCCTGATCAGCGACTACCGAGTTGTCGAATTATGTTGGAGAAAAGACGTAGATACAGCTGGGATCCGCCGCCCACGGTGTGGCGGCTTCTCCGCCGCGGCTCTGGGGAAGGAGTGAAATCGCCTTCTCCGCAGCGGTCGGGGAAAGCTTAAGACGTCGGGGGGCCGATCCACACAGGGAATTTATTACATCCGGAAAAGCGTAATAATAGTGGGCCGTTCCTCGGACTCTCTCAGCGCGGCAAGAGCTGTCATTGGCCCTTCTCTTTGCAACACGATATCTCCCCCACAGTCTCCTCGGCGATCTGCGCCCCCCTGTGCATGTCCAGTTTGCTCTTCGACAGACGCGCAGACTTGTTGCTTTTAATCTTCCATTGCCGCCTTGGCTCGTTGACATTGTTTCGTCGTGTCATCGTCATCCGTTTGCCAAAACCATGCCCCTTCCGCCAACCATGGAGGCTGGTCCCAGCCTCAACCCCCCGAGGCAGCTTGGTTATGCTACCGAGCTGCCCAAGACCTTGAGCATGATGAGCATCATGGGCATGTCCTTTGCTATCATGGCTGTGCCATTTGGACTATCCACTGTTGAGTTTACACCATGGAATTAAAGAGGTCAGTTCTCTTGGAAGGCTAATGGTGCTCAGACTATGTATATTACCCTTGTCAACGGTCAGGCGGTCACGATTCTCTGGGGCTGGGTGCTTGTGTCGTTGATCTCCCTCTGTATCGCGGCGTCCCTGGCTGAGATCTGTGCCGTCTTTCCCACTGCTGGCGGAGTCTACTATTGGTCTGCGATCCTGAGCACTCCGAAATATGCCCCTGTCGTAAGTTTCATCGATGGCTGGATGACCTTGGTTGGTAACTGGACTGTGACGCTTTCCATCAACTTCTCGGGCGCGCAACTGATCCTGAGCGCCATTACGATTTACAATGAGGATTTCGTGCCCAATGAATGGCAATCTATCCTCTGTTTCTGGGCTGTGATGATTATTGCAGCACTGGTCAACGTTTTCGGCTCCAAGTACTTGGATCTGATCAACAAAATCTGCATCTACTGGACCGCAGCGAGCGTCGTCATCATCCTGGTGACCGTCCTGGCCATGTGCGACAACAAGAGGTCTGCCGAGTTCGTCTTCTCTCACTACGATGCTTCAAAGAGTGGATACCCTAGTGGCTGGTCCTTTTTTGTAGGTTTACTCCAAGGTATGCAGGCCCTCGCAAAGTGAATCAACGAGACAGCATTTGGGTCTTGGCTGATGAGTTTCCTGTAGCCGCATACACTCTTACCGGCTATGGCATGGTTGCAGCTATGTGCGAAGAGGTACAAAACCCCGAGAGAGAGGTCCCCAAAGCGATGGTCCTCTCAGTTGTGGCCGCGGGCCTGACTGGTATCGTCTACCTGATCCCGATTCTCTTCGTCCTGCCCGACATTCCACACCTCCTCGACTTCAGCCAGCCCATTGGCATCCTGTTCAAGCAGGTCACACGCTCTTCCGCAGGTGGCTTCGGCCTGCTATTTTTGATCCTGGGTATTCTCTTCTTTGCTGGGGTCGGTGCCTTGACAGCTGCCTCGCGCTGTACCTACGCTTTCGCTCGCGATGGTGCGATCCCAGGACATGGCCTCTGGAAGCAAGTGAATCACAAATTCGACGTTCCTCTCTGGGCTATTGTCCTGTCGACCGTCGTAGACTGCCTTCTCGGCTGCATCTATTTCGGCTCCTCCGCGGCTTTCAACTCGTTCACTGGCGTCGCCACCATCTGCCTCTCGACATCGTACTGCGTGCCAGTTTTGGTGTGTCTGATACGCGGGCGCAAGGCCGTTAAGAACTCTCCCTTCTCCCTCGGGAGATTCGGCCCCTTCATCAACTCTGTCTGTATTATCTGGATTGTCTTTGCCGTCGTCATCTTTTGTATGCCCGTCTCGCTGCCGGTCACGGCATCCTCGATGAATTATGCGAGCGTGGTATTCGCAGGCTTCGCGGCCGTCAGTGCGATTTGGTACCTGGTGCACGCCCGCAAGAACTTTAAGGGCCCCATGATGATGGAAGTGGAGGATGTAGTCATGAGCGAAGAGGCCAGTCATGATCAAACAAGCAAGTCTTAAACGAAGGGGTGGTGGGACGAAGAAATGCATCCCAGGTCTGTGACATCTCTGTCGGTTAAGCGTCAAGGTTTCATGGTCTATAGAACTTAAATTGTATCTAGTAATAGCTTCTGTCGCAAACGAGGCACTGCTGCAGCGAATTGACATCGCGCGTTGATCCGCTTCGAGGATGTGATGAGTAGTGTATTTGGATCTACTGTGTCCCGCCTACTCCAGAGAGGATTCATATTAATAATCCAGTGCTTCTCCAACAATCAGGCCAATCGCAGAGAAGTGGATACATCGGGTTCGGGATGAGGTAGGTCACTATCGGC